GGGGGCGACCTTACATAGATAGGTCTCCTTAATTAGGGCGACCGCCATCTTATACGGACACTTACCAATTGTTTGGACAGCACACATATGTATCCGTACATTCTAGCCACATTGTCAATGTGGGATTACCGGTAAGATATAATTAATATGCAAGGAAACCCGGCGGGTTGGACGCTGACAGGGGCCGGAGGATGTGGAGAAGCGGGTGGGTGGGTAAGGTCTCTCCCGCGACGTGAAGTGTGAAGTGAGGCGGGCAAGAATTCATTGGATCCCGCCTTTGACAAGGTGGTCAGTTTTCCGACGAAGATTCCGAAACCTTGCCACCGTGGTTAGGTATGTATGGTATTCCGTTACGTCTTGGTAGGCCGAGCAGAGATTTGGGCCATAGACGAGAATCCATAGGAAGAGTCTGCGAAACCCCAGCCTGGACACTGGGCAAACAAGAAACGGCAATAGGGCGAAGTAGGGCGACCGACCGTATGGAAGACGGAATGGCTAATATTCGCAAACCATTGAGCCATTCAAAAGTCGATGTGTGCGACGAGGCGTGGGGATGTGCCTGGGAAACTCCGGGAACCGATTAGAAGAAGCCCAGGGCCGGGGCTGGGCATCCGATAGGCGATAGGGTGACGCCGGAGAAGGGAACGGACAGTTGAAGGAAAGGAAAAAAAGAAGAAAAATAAAGGGGAAAAGAATGCAGAATGCAGACTCACCGCTCGCCCGTCCGTCACACCACTCTTCTCGCACCTCACAGACCGATCCGGCAGATGATTCCAGCAACTTCTGCCGTCTGTCCTTACCGGACATCGCTAGACTGAGACTGTACAGGACCTGGGTAGCCACGGGGGCCAGCGGCATACCATACCTACCGTAAGTTATTACCGGACTTCTTTCCTTTGCCGAGATGGACAGGAAGAGATGTCATTGAAAAGGACGTGTCAGGCGAAAGCTTGTCGTGTCGTTTGGGACCGATGGGGAGACGATGGGCGGGATGATGTTTCGACAGATGCATTCGATGGTTCCGACGGTGCTGCATCTCAGACGTCTCGCTAGGTTCTCTGTTCATTGTGCTCCGAATAAACTGCATCCCTCTGGCGGGTGCGTATGCGTGTGTACTCCATGCGTGTGTGCCCTTGATTGTGTGCATGATATGGAGAGATGTTGATCGTCTTTGGTCACTGATGGGAAAGACGGAGAAGAGATAAACTCCCGGAGTACCTACCTAAGGTAGGTACCTAGGGAGCACTAAATTACCTTACAACGTACACCGGTACACGGTTGCCGTTGTACAATTACCTACCGACGAACTACCTTACCTTAAGGGAAGGTACGAAAAACAGTCGGGTTCTCGGGCAGTCGTTCCTTCTCCTTCCTCAGGTACAGATATTGTCGTTTTCGGTTCTTTGATTCTTCAAACGTGATTACGTGAATGGATTGAGGTCACCTCGGTGAACGGTCGGTGTCCTCGGTCTAGGTCTATTGCCTATTTCATACCTCCTCACCCGTGGCTTGAAGAGATATGCACTTGAACCTGCTTTTGGGGGGGAATGTTCGCACGATCCTTGTTGGCTCTGTACGAGATCGTCACCCTCAACCCAAGTGCTACCTTTAAACCGGACACCACTGTCCAATGAACCCCGTCCCGTGTTTGCCTCGTCCTGAATGGGCTTCTTTTCCCACCCCTGTTAGCCAGCGACTTCATGCTTCCTGCGTCACATATCGAGGCAAAAAGGACCTCATGATCCTGTTGGTTATAGGCAACTTCGTCTTCTTGCGTTGCAGACGCTGCAGACGTAGCTGAAAAGTCTCACTTTCCCCACCACTGATGTCAGCCTTCTCTCTGGCCTCCTTTGGCCTCCTCTGGCCTCCTTTGGCCTCCTCTGGCCTCCTCTGGCCTTTGTCCGAGACAATGATTGGGGGCAAGGTTTCCAGTCCCCAAAAAGTGGGAGGAGAGGATTCTCGAAAATAACCTGTTCAAGTCGTCGACTTGAACACTGCGGCAAAACGCAACGATGGCAGCTGAAGCGAGACTCGAAGAGCGTGCGTCGAACCTCGAATAAATACCAGCAAAAAAGCCAGACTGTGATTTGCTGGGGATTTCAGAAAATTGTTTGTTACAAACCTGATTACAAAAAAATCATCGCTCATCGTACAAGCAAAGATGACCACGCACTCCCCCCCTACCTACACCTGCAGTCGCTCCAACCGAGCACTCACTGCCTCCACGAGCGCCGTCTCGCGCGCCAATAGACCCATCACCTGCTGCATCTTCGCCTTCCGAATCTCGGCCGGTACCCGGAAATCTCCTCCCAATCTTCCTCTACCTGGTGATGCCGACCCCGACCCTTCTTCCTTGGGCCCTTGCCCATCCTGGCTTTCCTTCTTCTGGATCCGTTCGATTTCTCCCGTGAGCTCATCCCGCAGCCGCTCCACTTCCTCGACCCGCCGTGAGAGCTGGTGCTGTGGTTTCAGCACCTGTCCGCCCTGCGATGCCGGCCCCAGGAGGCTCGCTTCCATGCTCTTGACCTCCGCCACCAGCGCCCTCTCCTTGGCGCTTAGCTCCCGCGTCGCCGATTTGCTGGCGTGCCTCCGCAGCCCTTCGAGTCGCTCCGCCAACTCTTGCTGTCTCTCCTGTGCCCTCGTGATGCGTCGCTCGAACCTCACCTCGTCGCTCTCCTCCTCCCCGCCGTCCTTGTCGTGACCCGCGATCCTGTCGATCTTCTCCTTGACCTCATTCGCTTTCCGGATCTGTTCCCGGAGTTCGTGCTGTAGAGAGGTGCAACGCCTGAAAAGCTCGGCTACCGCCGTGGCTAGCTTGTACGTCTCTTCCCCCAGCACCCTGTGCGCATCGGTGAATATCTGCAGCGTGACCGGGGACAGCCTGATCTGTTGTCCGAGGAGGGCCCTATGCCGAGAGCTCTTGAGCCTGCCGTGAAGCTCAGGAAGTGCCGACTGTTGATCAAAGGCGTGCGGTGGCTGAAATGCTGGTCGCGGCTCGTAGAAATCCAGCGGCTGCATGTCGCTGACCTTCTCTTCCGGTACGGGCGTTTCGTCGCGATCGCGATCGCGATCTAGGGGGAAATCCTCTTCCGGCGTCTCGAACGTCAGCGCAATGGGCTCGTAGGGTGTGCCCGAGAGCAAGAAGTAGCCAGTGTCCGCGTCTTGTATGGCCACAGACGCTGCCAACGGAACGGAGACGTCGGCCGATGGCTGCGTGAAGAGCCTCTCGCGGGTCGAGTTCCGTCCTTTCGAGAGGAGCCGGAGTCGAAAATCGGATCCCACCTCGGACGCGCCCTGGAGCTCGCCCTGGAGCCGGAACACCCAGGGTGTCGAAGACACATAGGTGATGCCTGCGTGGTGCGTCACGAAAAACGCGTAACGTGACATGACATCGCGTGAGAACATGGGCCAGCTTCCTTCTGCAACCTCACTGTGCCCCATGGTATCGATCGACTGGAACGTGAGCAGGGATGCCGGCTCAGCAGCATCCTGCATGAGCCGTCCAATCTTGGATTTTCCCTTGGGAGGCAGCCACTGGGCTTCGACGCCCTCCAGGTCGAGCAGGATGCGCAGCTGACCAGACGAGGAGAGCAGGCAGACCACGGACAAGGACAGCCCTTCCCGGGCCCCCTCGTCAAGAACGAGGTCGTCTTCCTCGCCCATCATAAGTCCCTCGGCCTCAATCTTCTGGCCAATGACATGAATATCTGTCAGCGAGCTATCTAGATCACCCCCTTCAGGGTCCGCCATGAGCTCAAAAGGCCCTTGTAGCCTAGGGACGACACCGGGTTTCGAGGGCCGGGCGTAGATCTCGACGGGCGCTTCCCCGAAGCCCGTATCGATGATCTGAGGTTCTTGTGCGTCGACCTCCCCCATCCACTCGAGCTGTTGATGCGCAAGTAGCCTCTCGCGCTCTGAAACGTCGGGGTCGTCTTCTATCGCCGCCACGTTGGCAACGATGGAAACAGACAAGGAGGGGATGAGGGCGGGAGGCGGAGACCAGCGTTGTGGCAGCAGGGGGCAGAGGGCGTACACGTCTCCTTCGGTCATGGCTACCCAGAGCGTCATGGGACTCCAGCCTCCGGATTCACGTTCCGCAAAACATGCCGACGCGACCTCCATCTCGAAAACGTCTGGGGAGAAGTTTGTGTTGGTGCTCATCGTAGAAGCAGCGAAATCCTGGTCTAGGCTCGTACCGTCGGCGAGCTTCTTCAGGTCGATCGAGAGAGTCGGCGTGTCGAAGGACCACCTGTTCTTGAGCGATAGCTCCCAGACCCGAACAATAGCATCCGTCGTCACGGTTACCAGGCAGGATCCCTTGACGCCCAACGGATGCCATAGCGCTGATGCCACGGGCGAGCGTGAAGTGACGTGGGTGGTCGGTCCCAGAGTCCAGATCTTAGGCTTTAATGGTCCGGTATCTTCGGATGTAAGATGGGACGGGTCAGGCAGAACGCATACGTGGACGGTATGGGAGGTCAGAATCGCGAGGTAGTCCGAGTTCGGGGAGATGACCAGCTGTCGAATATTGTCGGCTACGGTCGTTTTGATGGTCTATGCCGTCGCCCCGAAAGTTAGCGAACACAAAATCGTGTGAACAGCAATGGCAGTGGCAATGACAATGACGACGACAAGTAAAACCTTGAACCTACACGAAAGCCCTGGGCAGCCGACAAGTCAGCGTCCGATGGCGTGGAACCATCCTGCGTGTTCATGAAAGGCAACTGAGATCCCTCTCTCTTGACCCGGGCAGGTGACCGGCGATCCTGCCTGGCCGTCCATTTGTCCTTCAAGTAGGCCAAGTCTGCCCATCGCAGTTCCTTGCCCACTGCAGCGAATACCTCGGTGCCACGATGAGCAATCGGCCGCCTGGTACCCGGGATCTTCTTCTTCTTGGAGGTGAAAGGCGACTGAGCTTCGGATGGCGCAGCAAATAGGCCCTGGCCTGGGCCTTGGGCCAGCCAAGGAGCCGTATAGCTTTTGATCTTGGGCATGGCGACTGTTTGGACGTACGCGAGGTGTCACAAAGTTGAGGCCTCTGTCGCCGTCCAAAGAGAAGGATGCAAAAGCGCCGGCCCTCGAGTTTCGACGGTGCTGTGTTGTTTGGGGGAATTGTACCTGTGTAAGGTAGGTAGGTAGGTCGGTAGGTAGGTGAGGTAGGCGACAGACATAATATTTTATTATTACATATCCGTATCCGTACAGGGTGACATCCCTTGATCCCAACAGGGACGATATCGTTATCATCACGTGCCATGGCTCTAAGCTCCCGTCAATCTGAGGCTGCCGCTCGTGAGAGCTCCCATGCAGGCAGGCAAGCATAAGGGTGTTTTGCAGCGTCAATTCAGATCCTGCCCATTTTTCCTACTCAAGACACATCCAGGCCAAGCTTCTCCAGCTATATCGTGTCAACATGGCGACGATGGTGCGAAGTACAGTCGATCGCTTGGATCGGCCGAGCGCCTACTTTCAAAATAAGGTCTGTTACCCTTCGACAACATGGCAGATACTCAACAAATGCTCCGCTTGGTGCGAATTGATTTCTGACTCGGTTTTTACTTTACACAACAGACCAGGCGAAGAAGAACAGATTCCATGGATGATAACGAACCTCAACCTGTGCCCGAAGATCCCCTCGCAAACGCAACGACCCTCTACGTGGGCAACCTGTATGTCCTCACCCTTCGTCTCAGCAGGTCTATTCTTTGTCGCCTTTCCCCGCTGCTAACCGCGCAATTTTGCTATCTCCCCCTCCATTGCGTACAGTTCTTTTTACACCACAGAAGAACAGGTCTACGAGCTCTTCTCGAAGTGCGGCGAGATTAAGCGCCTTGTGATGGGACTAGATCGTTTTAACAAAACGCCCTGCGGCTTCTGCTTCGTCGAATATTACACCCACCAGGACGCCCTCGACTGCATGAAGTACATCGGCGGGACCAAGCTCGACGAACGCGTTATCCGGACCGACCTGGACCCAGGATTCGAGGAAGGCCGCCAGTACGGCCGCGGCAAGAGCGGCGGACAGGTTCGCGACGAATACCGCGAGGATTACGATGAGGGCCGTGGCGGTCTTGGCCGTGCCCTGCAGCAGGAGCAGCGCTTGCGTGAGAGTAGGGAGAATAAGGGGCCCGAGGCCGAGTACGGACGGTTGAAATAGGTTTCCTAGGATCACAAGCGCCGGGGCCGCGCGGCTTAGGGTGGAACATGAGGGATCGTGACGACAAAACAACAACAACAACAACACTGGGTGTTCTCTGGAATTTGGGCATAGATACCCTGGGATGGCTTCGAGAAGATGACAACATGGCATTCAATATATCGGCAGCATTGACTTTGATAAATGATTCAATATTTGACCTATTCAAAGGGCAGATGTTTTCTCCTTTCGACCAGTTGAGATGCGTTGCATTTAAGACCCGGGGTATGTATTCTCACCCTTTACATGGTATTGTACAATAGCAGTTCCCGCCCATGCTTCCCCACGCCCGTTCTCTGTCCAGACCAAGACTGCGATTGCTGTTGCAAGTCGCTTAAAAACAACACACTGTAGCTGTCGAGTTTATATCAGATATGTATCCGAGCTGAGTCTCCGTATCCCCGAGAGTCGTAAGCCTCGCAGGGCATCCATCCGAGTAAAGAACTCTCCGACACAGGACCCAGCATAGAAGCAACGATCGTCGTATTCACGTTGTTTAGAGCCGGAAAGCCGCTTAATAACCCGGTGGATTGAGTCTTTGAGAAACCCTCGTCCATTTCGGTAGCTCTGTCACAAGCACGCCTTTAGCATACAGGACCGGCAACGATAGAAAAGAAGTCTTGACAGAAAGCAGGCGGCGCAGAGGGAAAGACTTACTGTGGATTCCTTTCCTGTACCTCTTCTCCTTCCGGTCAAACATGGTGTATTTGTCGCGCGGCAGCATCTCCGCCTCGGTGGGCATCTCCTTCTTCCAATGCTCTACGGCCGCGACTGTCACACCCTTCTTCGCGAGTGCCGCATCCACCGTCGCGACGACCGAGTCCACGGCACGGAGACGTTGCCGCTGCCGCCTCTTTTGGAACTTCGACAACCGCCAGGGGATCTTCCAGAGGAGGCCGCCTGAGAGCGGAGAGGTGATGCGAAAGGGGCCGAACATGGCGTGACGGGAAGCAGTGCGGCGGCTCCTGCCGAGATGGGAATTCGGTCGCGATGCAGGGACGGCGGTATGGTCCAGTGAGATGTAGATGTACGGAAGCCAGAAAACGGTCGGACGGGACGTTGCCAGTTCCCTTGGGGGATTAAGCGTGCTGGTAGAGTATGGTCGTTTGGTTCGTTGACCGTCGAAGCATTACGGAGTACAGAGTAAATTTTGGATGCAAGCCGAATACCCCCAATAAGGTATTTTAACCAGTCACGCCGTCGAATTCCCATCGGGTACCTTTGTACCTATTGCCCGCTCAACGTGGAGAGAATTGGGTCCGTCAAGGTTGCAGCAAGCCAGGGGCGGAACTCCCCCGCGTTCCATTCGGTGAGCTCTTTGCGCTTTGAGTTTACCTTATTAACACCACAGTTGTTGTACTTCGTACCTCGCACTTCGTACGCTGGCGGAACACCGACACACCTCGTTCGTGTTCGATTCCCAGATGTACGATCAAATTCCCATTGACGCGCGACTCAGCCAACCGTCCCTCCTGAATCGAACGATCGCAGCTTATACGTAACTTGCTTCCATCAACGGCAGAATTACCCGACGGGCCTTGTGTCCCCTCGACCATGTCTTACTACTTCGCCATAGTCGGAACCCAAGACAACCCGCTGTTCGAGCACGAGTTCGGCACCTCTAAGCAAGGCGGCGATGGCCAGTCCCGGTTTAACGAGCAAGTCCGGCATCTGAATCAGTTCATTCTGCACAGCAGCCTCGATGTCGTAGAAGAAGTGCAATGGGCGCAAGGGCAAATGTACGTGCAGCATACCTGCACTCCTTGCTTCATTCCGAAATGACAACACTGACCGAGTGACGATACACATTAAAGGTACCTCAAAGTAGTCGATAGGTTCTTCAACAACTACGTGTCCTGTTTCGTGACAGCCGGCAACGTTAAGTTTCTCCTCCTCCACCAGCCCGCCCTGCCGCCCGGTCCACCGACCTCGCGCTCGTCCACCGCCATTGGAGCGAACCCGACAAGTCCAGCTACCGAGGAGGCCATCAAGAACTTCTTTGCTGAGGTGTACGAGAACTGGATCAAGGCTATTATGAATCCGTTTTACAAAGTGAATATGGAGGTCACAAGTCCTGTGTTCCGACAAAGGGTGGCCGCTGCAGGCAGGAAATACCTGTAGCGAACAGTCGTGGAAGTTGGGAATACGAAGATAATTGGCATGATGTGGCTTCGGGGCCTGGAAGGTTATGTTGCTGTTATGAATACTACACAGATACCCAATGGAGAGAAATAGGACAGCCGTGTTGTATTCTTGTCAAAAACTTATGATCAAAAGAACCATTATGATGGTTATGTGTATTCATTCCGTCGGCGTCATACCGTGACGCCTACTGTATCTCGTGTCCCGAAAGTTCATAATGTCCCGCCCAACGCCATAATAAAACCAGAACAACCAGGCCCTGCCATGGAAACCTTCCCCTTGGGCCATGTTTCAACCCATCAGCATATGCCCTTGCCGATTATCCTTGCCATCAACACCCAAAGTCCGAAAAGTCCCGAGTAGTGGTCATGCACATGACCGGGAGCGAATCTGATGGCAAATAGAATAGAGAACCCAGCAGGCAAATGCATGTGCCCAGTGGAGAAAGAACGGATGGTTGTTTAGCCACCGAAACCGTAGAGGGTACGGCCCTGGCGCTTGAGAGCGTAGACAACATCCAGGGAGGTGACAGTCTTTCTCTTGGCGTGCTCAGTGTACGTAACGGCATCGCGGATAACACCCTCGAGGAAGGACTTGAGGACACCGCGAGTTTCCTCGTAGATCACTAGAGGATAGCATGTTAGCATCGACCCGGATTATTACCCGACTTGAGAATCAAACTTACTAGCAGAGATACGCTTGACACCACCACGACGGGCAAGACGGCGAATAGCGGGCTTGGTAATACCCTGGATGTTGTCACGAAGAATCTTGCGATGACGCTTGGCACCGCCCTTGCCAAGGCCCTTGCCACCTTTGCCGCCTGAGAAATTGTCAGTACAACGTCTTGCAACAGTAATACACGAAAGATTATCGAGACTTTGGGTGTGTTTTGCTTTTGAGGTTCGTGAACCACCCATGCACACTGGCTGTGGATCGACTGGGAAGAGAAATGGAGTGGGGACAGAAGGCGCGTCAAGGTGCATCACCGAGGCGCGATGGACCGGCCTTGATGCCCGAACCGCGCCCCGAGAATACATCAAGACAGGCAGATAAAATAGAAAAGTACTTACGTCCAGTCATTGTGATAGATTAGAAAGTGATGGAGATACTTTTGATTGATGGAAGAAGACGGGATGTGATCAGATCACGGTGGATGGCGTTGATGGAAAACAGTGGTATGGTATAAGTGCGGGATAACGGAGTAGAAAGAGGGACAAATGGCAAATGGAGAGAGAGAGAGAGGGAAAAGAGGTAAATAAGAGGACTAGACTAGTTGGGGGAATCAGATTACCTACTACTGATTGCGCAGGTGCGATCAGTAAGGCGAAAAAAAAATCGCATTTGTGGCGCTAAGCCAGTTTCGGTGGGGTCTGGAAAATCAGAAAATGGCAAGGGCTCTATTTTTTTGGACTGTGGTTTGGAAGTCGCTCTTTCCTGGTATGATAATAACGCGTTTTATGTCTTATGTCTTGTTTTTCTGGCTGGTTTGCTCTTTGGCAGGTCAGGGGTTTAATTCGTGTTGCATGCGGGAATGCTCTGTTTTGGAGAAAGAGCGGGGCAGGAATGTGGTCCGAGCTCCCACCATTCCGTTCCGGCCGGTTCAAACGATCGATGTTACTGATACGCTATCCGATAGGATGTCCCGGACTCGGTGTCCGCCTCTCGATTCACACGTAATTTTTCTTCATTTCTTCAAAATCGACCACTCCCCGTTCATGGTCTCGGGAGACCATACAATCAATTCACTTTTCGAAGCTTCGCATACGTCTAAACGATTCGGTGAATTCTTTTTCGCTACTTAAAACAACCCCGCTATGGAACGGCATGGAAACAAGCATCAAAGCCATGGCCTTGAGTCTCAGCGCTTAAGCGTCCGTTTCCGTTTCCTTCCCGTGATATTTTGTACAACCGGCCGATGAACAAGCATCGGTGCCCGTTCGGGAACCCTGTTCAACCCTCTCGGCTCGGATCCTATCGCTTTCAGGCCCGAATCTTTATCGGCCTCTCCAAATCTCTCCATGTCTCGCCCCGTCGTCCTTCTCATGAGGTTTCCTGAAACGCCAAAACCATGCAATGCCGTGATGCATCCTATCCATTAGCATGCACCCGTCGTGTCATCGTGTCCGACTTCGTCACGTCCCCGATGCGATCCCGCTGAGTTCAGTGTCCCAAGTACGAAGCCCTCCCACTTCCCATCAACTGAAAAAGTTCCCAACCGAAAGCCGTAACCCACGAAATATATAGAAGCAGCCCCGGGAAAGAGCGCCTCTAATTCCGGCGCCGCAGCCCAAAGCGCCATCAGACAAGCAAGGAACATCACTCAAAAATGCCGCCCCGTGACATTTCATCAGTCCATCATAGAATCGTCCATGTCAATGTCGTCCTCTAAGCTCTCAATGGCTTCCTTAACTTGCTGACTTGCCTGAATTTCAAATCATTTGTTAGCAAAATCTGGTTCCGAGAGACAGCAAATCTTTGTGGCGGCTTTTTCCGCAACTTACCTTGGGATCCAACGCCAGGGCAATGGTGAAATGCCGCACCGCCGATTGCTTCTCGCCGGTCTGGATGTACATCTTCCCCAGCAAGAAGTGCACATTCGCCTCGTCGGGGGCAAGGTCTTTGAGAATCAACAGTTCCTTCTGGGCGGCCTCGAGCTGTCCGATGGCGAGGTGCGCTCGGGCCTTCTTGTACCGAGTCTGCGCCGCTCGTGGGGCCAACTCGGTCGCCCGGGTGAAGGCCTGCAGGGCCGCGTGGAGGTGCTTTTGTTTCTCCAACACGTTGCCAATGCAACAGATGAGGACTGCGTTCGTGGGGTTGATGGTCGACGCCGCCTGGAAGTGGATCCGGGCCTTGTCGTAGTTGCCAAGCTTCTCGTGCACTTTGCCCATGCCGTAATACGCGTTGTAGTGGCGCCGGTCCGCGGAAATAGCTTGCCGGTACGCAGCCAGCGCCTTCTCGTATTCCTCGTTCGCCACGTGCTCGTGGCCTTGCAGGGTGAACGCATAGGCAAACTTGGGGTTCAGCTGCGTGGCGCGTTTGAAGCACCGGAGTGCCTGGTCTGGGTCCCGAACGAGAGACCACGCGTTGCCCAGAGTGCACCACGCCTGGGGCGACGTCCATGCCGCGTCGACAAGCTCGTGCGCGAGGAATGAGAGGTCCGTTTCCCGTTTCAGGTGCCAGAGGACCGTCGAGTAGACCTCCATGTCTTCCAGTCGCGTCGGCGCAACCGCTCGCAGCCTGCAGAAGAACTTCTCGGCTTCCGAGTATAATGCCTGTTCGTAGTATGCTCGCCCCATTTGCGCTAAGACCCAGGGCGTATCCTGTTGGCTCCTGGGAAGGGTGCTAAAGGCTTGCACGGCTTCTTTACATCTGTACTGCGAACATGCCAAGTACCCCGATGCTGTCTTCTTGAGCAACTCCATGATCCACCGCAGAGCCTCTTCGACCTTGATGCTCTCATACTCGGGAGGTGGTGGCATCTTCGTGAATGTTTGCTGCACCATCGGAGGATCCTTGGGGCGCGTGGATTCTGCTGGATCGACATCCATTCCGCTGTCTTCCAACCGTGAGGTGCGGTTCCCGCTAACAACCCTCCCTACGCTGGAGCCGCTGGAGCCGGGGCGGAAGGCCCGTGAGATGGGTGGCCTGGCCTTCTTCAACTCTCGCGTCGCGGTCGTGCCGATAGTAGCGGCGCCCGAGTTGGCCTTGGTGACGGACGGCTTGAACATGTTCAGTCTCGCGCTCCTTCGTTGTGGGCCCGGTTCTTCTGATTGTTGCCTCGCCTGCACGGGGTGGCCCGAGACCGTCCTCTTCCTCTGCGACGCCGCAGCTGACGGTCGCCACATGCCTCCGTTTTGATCGGGCAGTGCCTCGGTGTGCTGGTCCGACTCTTTCTCTTGGCTCCTACTCCCGGCGGGCCTCTTCGTTCCCGCCCTGGGGCCCATCCTGGGTGGCGGTTCGGCGGCGAAAGCAGGGTCAACCGCTTGCGTCGCGCGTGTCCTGCGCGCGGGTGCCTGGGGCGCTTCGGCGGCAAAGTTCGAGCGCGAATTATGAGTATCGGCCGTCGAAGCCGATGCGGGGGGTGTTTCCATCCCATCCCCGTTCGCGGATGTCACTGATGCAGAGGCCAGCCTTGTGCGGGCCGCAGTGATTCTGGACATGAAGCCATTCTCCGCCGATTCAGCGGATGATGCGGTCAAGCTAGAGGGAATTTCCTGATGAGCCGAGGAGCGTTGCAGTTCAAAAGGGTCGGAAGTATCGAGAACATTGCGCGCGGACGACTTCTTGGAGGCAAGGTCAAGAGGATTAGCCGTTGGCATCTCTCTTGGGTCTGTGGGAGGGGCCGATTCGTGGTCGAAAGAGTGGATCAGCGAGTCGGTCACTCTGAACATATTGGGCACTCTGACAGTAGCACCCATGTTGCAGAGGGCCTGGAAAGCATCGAACATGAATGGGTTGAGCTTGAGCGCGTTCTCGAAACACTCGATCGCTCGCTTGTGGTCATCGTATGCGTGGTACAGCTTGCCCAACAGGCAGAGGACAGTCGGCTCGTCGGGCGAAAGCGATCGATTCGTGGCGGAGTGCCTTCCCAAGTTGGATTTGCCCGACCATCGATCTTTCGTCTTCTCCAATATGCTTATCCCCTCACGGTACCGCTCGAGACGTAAAGAAGACTGCGCGTATACCCACAGAGCGCCGAGGTTGGATCCCTTTGTAGCTGCTGGCCGGCTAATTTCGAATGCCGATCGAATGTCGCCAAGACGGAAATGGGAAAGGGCCAGAAGATGGGCCGACTCGCTAGATCTGGGGTCTTGGGCGTTTAGCTTTTCGGCGAAGAAGAGGGCGTTCTCGTATGAATTGTTGTCGAGGTGATAGTAGACAACCTGCCGCAGCAGATTGGTGATGGTAGCACTCGACGGCGCCATGTTGGAGGCGCAGGAGAATTAGACCGGGTCGGGTAAGAAGTCGGCGTGGGCACCATGAGAGCGCTGAAAAGAACTGCAAGGTGGCTGGCGAGAAAAACGGCCAACTGCCTTTGTGGTGACCAGCTCCGAGTAGGCCAGCCAATATGTCCACCAGCTAGGCAAAGTCTGTTGCAAAGCAGTATTTGTGTTGAGTTTTGCGGCGCTCCTCAAAGGCAAGGATGGAGAAGAGACGAAGAGAATAAAGTTATCCCTTCCCTTCAGAGGAGAAAAAGAAGAGGGAGAGAGGGGCAGCTTAGAAGCGATATAGTTCGTAAGCCGTTCTCAATGCGACCAGCCACCAAAGTAGGCAGATGCAAGTTCGTCGGCCGGTGGAGCTTGAATCAACAAGGTATTTTAGATTCTGCCAACAAATAATGAACAAGGCGGAAGGTGGCGGATTTCTTCGGATAATGCCAAGTGTTCTCTCGAAGGGCGGGCACTCGTAGCTATGAGTCGTCGGATAATTCGTGACTGAAGAACAGGGAGTGGCCAAATGTCAATAACAATCGTCGTGGTGGGCTGGTTGTTTGGATCGTGCGACGCGTCGGCGTTAGCAGACAAGATAATCACCCGAGTGTGTGGAGCTTCTTAACGTCCCAATAATGGGCAGCAGTGCAGACTTGGTCGTTCTAGAGGGAGGAGAATGCCTCACAGAAGCTACCGTCTTTCGATGTGTGCATCCATTCGCAAAGCGTAGTCCTTGTTGATAGGGAGGTGATGCTTCGTGGGTTAGAGGCGAAAGCTAAAGGCACATAACGCCCAATACTATGGCATTAGAAAGAAAGAAAAAAAACGAAAACCAAGAGAGGAAGAAGCAGGGGATGAGATGGCAGGGAGAGGAGAAAGGGTTTGGTCGTAAAGACAAGGAAGATGAGATGACGAAGACGACCAGAAGTGTGGCGGGTAAAGTGTTGACAGCGATTGCCTCGCACGCGCTGTGTGAATGCGTGAATGGGGTGGTGATAGGGTGCATGGCGTTGAGGTTGTTTTGGGAGCCTTTGCCCTGATTGGTCATCGCGACGCCATCATGAACGGCGGTCCCTAGCAACAAGAAAAGTGGGCGGGTATTGAGAACGTACACTAAGTACTAAGTACCTGGTACGTACTCTGTTTGACCGGCTCCAGCCACTTGAATTCCCCAACGCCTGTACCATGTACCACAAGCCACAAACCAACCGTCTTCCTTACATGGTGTCCTCGTCCTCATCGGTCTTTGTCTGACCACGAAAGTCTACCTTCTTTCCCCTGTCGTCACCATCAACCACGCCCAACACTTCCGCCATCTATAGAAACCACATTCCTCACTGAAACCCGGGCTGTTATTCGAAACATAAGGTCTTTGTTCGTTTTTACCTCTCAGCTCATCTCAGCTCACCACAATGGCCCAAAAAGCGAAAAAGGACCGCGCCAAGTCCAATGCCGCCGCACTCAACAATCTACATCTCGGCTCCGCTATCGTCCACGTCGCATTTCTTCTCTTCTACTTCGTCTTCAAGTCCCGATCCCTCTTTTGGTATATTCTCATCTCCGTGCCGGCCCTCGCTTGCGAACTTGTCCTGGAAAAGTCGGGTCGGCCCAAGTACGATGCCACTAGATCCCTCAAGACGGCCGGTGAGGACCTCGCCGCCCCTGGTTTGACCGAGTACATGTTCGACATCATTTGGGTCACCTGGGCATCCATTGTTCTGGCTATCCTCTTCGGGAACTGGGCTTGGTTCCTCTGGCTCGCTGTACCCGCGTACGGCGCTTATGCTGGCTTCGGGCTGGTGAGTGCTGGCAGGAAGATGGCCGGCCTGGCGGGTGCCAACGACTCTCCTGCCGCGGCACCTGCAGGGAACAGAAAACAGCGGAGGGCGGCTTGATCTTTCACGCCGCCCTTGGTGATGACCGGTGTCTGGACCGAACTGCTCATGGCCCCGATCTTCAGAGTGGTCTATTGCTTCTAACGCTATGTATGGGGCTCGCTCATCTTTCGCCCGACTCGGACATTTAGTCTTCTGCCCTCGTCGCCCTTGTCACCCTCGTCAACCTCGTCGCCCTCATTTCATGCTCTCTTCCGGGGCTTCCCCACGGTGCCACGACTTCTCCTCGGTCCAGTCCCTCAAGATCTCCGGGTCCAGGTTTCGAACAATGACGTGTATATGCTCCAAACTCCTCACGCTCTGCAGGGCCACCCAGTTCTTGAACCATATGACGCGGTTCTCACCATCCTCTCCGACCGTGGCCACAAAGAAGCGATCCACAAAGTCCTGGATGAGGCGCCGGCTCTCCGGTGTCAAGTCTCCCCTCACCCGCTCCGTCTTGATCCGGGTGCGGGTCCATACGACGAGATGGGTCATATCCGGGGTGAACCCGTACGGCCAGTCGTTCACAAGAACCCTGTAATCTGCAGGGCTTTCGAAGGGCACCGTCGACACGGGCGTGAAAGGGGGCGAACCCCATGACTTGGGAAGGCGATGGGCGAGGATGTAATTTGTTATAGAGCCGTACTCGGCTATCGTCTCAGCCGTCCATTGCATGTATTTGCGTTGGGCCGACGGCCAGCGCCTGAAAACTTCCAGATCGTTCGCTTCTGCAGTTCAGGGGAAGACTTGGGTCAGCAAAATAATTCATTAATCATTCGAGCTCGGTCACCGCCATGGACGCCGGAAGATATCATCCATCTCATCCATCGACCCTGTCGCATCCAGCCTCTCAAGCATGCATACCAACGGTTTTTCTCAGCTGGTCCCACTCGTGTGGCTTGAAGTCCGCATCCGACTCTGTCAATATCAACCTGTCCACCTCCGTTATTAAGGGCAAAGGAGGGCTCGGGTCGCGAGTTGCCTCGCCCATTTTCTTTCGGCTTCAGTGATGAGTGAAAAGAAGTGAATGATGCTGGTGATGCTGATGCTGATGCTGATGCTGATGCTGATGCTGATGCTGAGCCTCCGTCAATGGCGCTTATTGACTCGGCTCAGGGGGCGGTGTTCGGGTTGGGTGGGGCAAAGTGGCCAATTGCCAAGTCGTCCCAGATTTTCGTTTCGCAGTGTGTACAGTAGTGTATGTCCGAAAGCCAGAAGCGAGCTTCGTTCGTCCGGGTTGAGGCTCAACTTCGACTTCGTGATAAGTTGTCTGTTCATTCACAATCGAGTCCTTCTTCACTCGTCTCCACCGTTTCCTTCCCTCCTACTTTTTCAGCCTTGTAACCCTTTAAAAATGGGTTGCCCTACCCCTCCCCTTCCTTTTCCACCCGATCCCTGCGCTGTAAAATCCGTCGTGTCAAGGATGCCGACGTGATTGGAGGACTGCGCAGAAACGGTGTAGGTGTAGTGCTCCGTACAGACCGTTGATTGAATGCATCGCACACCGCCCTGTGGGTTGCAGTGGCGAGGGACTTTTGGTGGAATAATTCCTGTCCGTGCAAGTATTGTGACCACTATCGTCTTCGCACGAACAAATACTCTCCCAGTACGTGTAGGAGACTCGTCGACACCCGGGCATTGACAGACACGACACTCACAACACCACAAGATAGACCAACGAAGAACAATTAAATTTACAGTGAATAACCCCCAAAAAGATGGCTCGCTGTTTGAGGCTTCTTATCTCCTCTTCCTCCCGCTCTCCTCCCTCTCCAATGCACCGATTGCCTCCCGAATAGAACTCATACTCTGCCAAAGCAAGACTGTTCCATCGTGATCTCGTTAGCATTTGCACTTGAAATGATGGATTTCAGAGATTTCTCGGGGGACCTCGTCTGGCCAATGGTCCTTTCTGGAGTCTTCGCAGGCAGAACTGCTGTTATCTAGACAACGGGGAATCCGCCTGGGGGAAATCCGCCTGGCTGGCAAGGAAAACGAGAAGGAGGAACATACCCATCGGGACGACGACCCAGGGCGCGTTGAAACCAACGTAGTACACCCAGAAATACAGAAACTCGGGCCGGCTATGCACCGTCCCATGCATCGCCCTCTCCGTCAGGCTGGTCGAGTAGTACAGAGCCACGCCATACAAATGGCCCACGCACATAATGACTTGGAGTGGGTGGCGGAGAGCGTTGCGCGTGACGATAGCGAAGACGATGGCCCAACAAAGGGGGCCCCAGACGATCTGTGTGTGATTTTGCCCCGGCGGTCCTCAGCGTTTCATTCTTTTTCTTGCCTTTGGTTGGTCTTTTATTGCTCCCTTTCCCATCGCGTTTCATAGTCTTCATTCCATGGGAGGACCAGATCCGAGCCAGGTTGGAAAAAGGGGGCAAAGAGGGGTAAAAGGGGGAAAGGGGGTTCCCATTGGGAGCGGACTCACCACAGTTATGGACTCGACACACAGCATGAAGGGGTCGGAAGTCAAGTAACGAGAATCAGACAAGGCGTACTCCTTCCATGCTTGTCCAAACACGGATTGTAAGCCAGCCAGGGTGCTATGATTCCAGATAAAATACCCTACAGTGTACTCGACTGTCAGTCCGATCTCGCCCATGCCCGGGTCCCCGGGGACCCGAGAGCGTAGAGATGTGTTATCCCACTCGTCACTCGAGGGCAGAGGGAAATGATACCTTCGAAGAAGCAGTGTAGGAACCCAGCTTCATGCACGTAAAGTCAACTAAAACCGGCCACATATACGTCGAGCGAGGATCTCAACCAAGCATGGGAAAGGATGGATGGACTCACAGAGCGCAAACCAACACACGGCGAACCTATCTAACCCCCTCACCTTGGTCCGTCTCGCTATCCAGGCGGCTCCTATCACAACCACACCTACGATGCCTCCAAAAGCCGCCAGTACGAGGGGCAGGTCCGTCTCGTTGGCGCGAAAATGTGAAATGGGCACGTCAATGGGGTAGTAGGGGTGCTGTGGCTGGCTTTGCTGCGATGGTGGCACATCGCTGTGGTGGTGAAAGGGCATCGTGACAGCACCCGGATCTCAAGCTTCTCGATCCCCCCCCCCAAAAAAAAAAAAAAAAAAAAGTTTTCCGTTACGAGTGGTCAAGAAGAAGCAGTGCAGGTTGTCAATATAAAGTTTCCCAGTGGTAGTCGACTAGGCGATGTTCTTGTAGACAATGCCGAGCACACACTCGAGACGCGTCGGTAATGGTACGGGATACCTTGTTACTGTACCTGCCAAGACATTGGTGGAGTCCGCTCACTTGGGGGCTTGTTCACCTCGGTGAGAGGCCGGTAAGCGGATGGTTCACCGAGGTCTCAGAGGTTGGAAAAAGCCGTTCGAAATGCTGTAGAGTAAAAGAGCCCTGCTGTTCTGCACGTGTTAGGGGTTATTGGTAGATATCAGCCGTGCAAAATGTGAGATTGAGCTGTTTTTGTTATTTTTTTTCTTTTCAAATCCCCGGTTGGAACTTGGAACCCGATATCATGACCTTCTGCTTGTTTCCTCTATTCCAACGTCAGGAGTCTCCGAGTGTCGTATGTAGTCCATTAATTGAGAGCCGCTTTTGTATATACATCGTACCAACAGAAAAGAAGGAGTCTATCTAGGTAGTCATAATTTACCAGTATTGGGTCTAGGTCATAGTAACATTTCACTCAATACATGTCAGGTCGAGTCCGAACCCGATTCGATGGTCTCTCCAAAGTACTCGTCCAAGGTCCTCCCCCAAGCTTGGTTGTAGGGAGATGAATCTAAAAATCCGGTTGCCTAATTGCAGAACAGTCGACCAGCCGCACCGTTCTTCGTCCTTTCGAAGAAAATTCCCGGCGGATTTGTTTTGCAGACCCTCAGCTCTGAAGTCTTCCGAGTGCAGTGCGAGCGGCGGCATGCCCTAGCCCTGTTCAGGGGCACGCAGGTCATCATATGGAAAGCCCTTGTAAAAGTCGCATGAGCTGAGGCTTTGAGCCCTTGAGCAGCATGAACCGACAGTGAAACCGGTCGGCATCGGCATGGTCTCCCCAACGGCCCAGCTCCCGGGCCATCGTCCTCGCGTACGGCCATGGACGTAAACAGCTCCACGGATATAAACAGGACGCCACAGTAGGTAAATGCATCCATTTCTCTCAGTAGAAGACATCCCCTTTCATCAGAACTCGCGCGGTGCGGTGGAGATCGGCAGACACGATCTCGCCCCGCTCATTGAGAGTGGTCCCAATCTCGACCCTGCCGCTGGGGTGCCCTACTACCACGGAGCTCTTTTCGCTAGCCCCCCGGCGACGGAACAATTCGAAGCCGATGGTACCGGGGATGTAACACGACGAGCCCAGACACAAGGCCATGGTCAGGGGCACGGCCTTGTGGGCTTGGCCCATGGACATGGCGAGACAGCGAACGTCAACATCAGGTGACCCGGGGTCGGAGAATAGGAGAACGATCTTGGGAACGCTCTCAATCTCGGGATCCAAGCCCATTGCCGACGTGCCAGCTCGTCGAATCTCCGCTAGCTTGTCCTTGAGTTGGTCGTCGGCCTCGATGGAGGAAGGAGTCAGAGATTCAGGGTCGGACAGCCCGAGGTCGGCGGCCCTGACGAAGACGGCAGGATTGCTCACGTCCACAAGCGAAGCAGGGATGGAGGAACCGTCACTGAGCTGTAGGGAATCAACTGGATTTCCCGTCGGCAATGCCTTGCCGGTTTTCGCGCCGGCCGGGTCGAGGAACTTGAGGGTGATCCTGCTGCTCGTTCCGGGAACGCCGTCTATCGCGTAGTCGCCGTGAGGTACGAAGCGCGGCGGGGTTCCGTCGACTCTGAACTGCGACAGGATCACCTTGGAGGTGTTGGTGTTGAAGATGCGCACGGAAGCCATGGTGTGCTCACCGTCCTGGTGCAGTGGGGGGTTCTTGACGAGTCCCTCGTCTAAGCTCAGGGGCCCGACGAGGGAAGACATGTTGCCGCAGTTCCCGGCTAGGTCTAGGAAGCCATCCTTGATACCAACTTGGACAAAGGTGTAGTCTACGTCAGTGTCGGGGCGGGACGGGGGCGAGAGGATGACGATCTTGGAGGTCGATGAGATGCCAGAACCTATGCCGTTCAGCTGCCTGGCGTAAGGGTCCGGGGATCCCATAGCCGGAGGGAGGACAGAAGGCCATTGGTCCTCTGGGGGTAAATCTTGCTTTCGAATGACAAGGCCATTCGAAGTGCCACCGCGCGCAAAAATGGCCTGGAATGGTCTGGTGTCGAGTGACCTGGTGGTGGAAAATGCTGCTCTAGCCCACCGGCTCAACGAGGGCCAAGCCGCCCCCCGGGCAAGGCGGAAAGGGACTAGGTGCATCGGATTTCTGGGGTGACTCCTCGTGGAAAACTTGGAAATTGATGTTGAGGATTATGTTAGGGAATTGACTGATGCTGTTCAAGTCGTCGTTGTGATGATGGTTTGGGGGATACATATCTAAGGAGTTCTGTTCCTGGATGTAAATAGAATTATGACCTCGCGAGTCATGAGGGACGTGGTAGGTGTTAAGAAGGGTAGAGCGAAACCAATATATGACATGGATATTCGTCGATTCCCATCCTGATACCAGGCAAATATCTTAATCTGGGATGAAAGGAGGTAATACTTGCAAGTTGGTAGTTGGAATTCCCGAGGTACTGTCAAGGTGAGATTACATAAGCCGCGATACTCCGATATCCATGTCCCATTGAGCGTCTCTCCATCCCGAGTCGTCATCACAGCAATGTCATATCTAGCAATGTTGCGCATAAAACGACCCCGTTTATATGTGGTATATCCTCCAATATCGTTTATCCTGTCGGCAAATTCACGACCCTCAAACTTTATCCGGTCATTATTGAACCACCAGCCTTCCAGCGCCTTTCTACCTACTCCAGCGGGAGCCGTGAGAGATACGCATCAGCATAAGCTGTCGATAACGCCAATGAGAACCGCCATATCCTTGGGACCTCGAGTTTATTGGGGCAAATGTCCTGCCTGGTCGTCCCCCGTGATAAGCGCAACATCTGTGGAGAAAAGGTCAGCATGGGCGTCGTCTACCTCTAGTAGACTCACAAGTCGAAGGCGTAGCACTGGGATCCCAGTCCCCCATAGACGTGAATGCAATGCTCCATGACTCGGGAAAGCAGAGTCAGAAATAAGCCATACTTTTCTAAAAACGTGGAAATTTAGATCCTCTCTATTCAGATAGACATATTGTTGCAAAGCATATTTGCAACCACCGTGCCCATGACCAGTTGCTCGTGGAGGGTGTGCGAAGCTACGCTGCTGGTGAACGTGGCTGCGCACCGCGAGGAAGAAAAGACGGGTTCACAGACCGCGGGTCAGCGAAGAATCCGTATCTGTAGACCCACGTCCCCCCCCGAACTCTCCGTTCTGAAACATGGAGAGCTCCACGTCTCAGTCGCAAGAGCCATCCCCGGATTCGTACCACCTCGAAAGTATGAGAATCCCCCGATGAGCTTGCGCTTGGGGTTTTGGTCGTATTCGGTGTACCCTAGTAATTGGGACCATGACCCGTTTCGTTTCCCGTCGGCCACGCAATGTCGTTGTTTGACGGCGTCGGGAGAGGCCATGGTTCAAGACCTGTCGAGGCGTCAACAACAAACCTTGTTTGGTTGAATAGGCCTGCGTTTTGCGTGTATGATGCATAGTTACTTGGCATGTCAAAGCCCACACCCCCGGTCCCTAATCGACTGCCCGCGCCATCCCTGGAGTGTCGTTCCTGGTCGTTCTGTGATGTCCTGTGGTGTTTTTCCCGAAAGTCATTACTGTTTCCCGTCGGGGTGCACGAGGTTGTGTTGTCGCCGCCATTGGATAAAACTGAAGACGATGCTGCTGCCAGATTTCTGCGGTGTGGCAAGTCGACAGCCTGGCTGTTGCTGGTCATCGGCGTCGTCCCCGTAGCCCTTAGCAGTCCGCCGCCGCCATACGCCCCGCGGCCTCCGGAATCGTTCTTGTTCCGAGCCTGCATCAATGCGGCAGACGACACGTAGTCAAACGAACGTTCTCTGTAGCCCGTCGCCCTATCCGGAGCATCTGGCGCCGGCGACACCCGTTTCCGCTTATTCGACATGTTGGAGTTTGTGGCAACTCCGCCGTGACCATCTCGACTGTTGTTGGCATCCACTTTCTGCTGCCTCCGAGGGGGAGACGGTTCGTAAGCGCTAGTCTGAACTTCGAGTGGCAACCTCCCTGGTAATGGCGTCTGGATGTCGGTGTGCTTTGAGAGATGATTCCTAGCTAAAAGAGGAATATTGGACGACGGCCAACCGAAAGGGTTGCGGTACTCGGCTAGGCTGGGCAAGCGAATGACGGAACTCAGACCGTTTTGCTCAACATCGGCACAGAGCTGCTGAAGGAAGCTTCGTGTTATAAAGTGCGTTCGGGAAATAGCTTCCATCGCCTGAAAGATGAGCTCTAGGTTGCTCATGTCGGAATCGGCGAGGCCCGCCTGCGGGTCTAGCTTCGCAATGTACACGTATACCGAAGCGGCGCAATACATCGACAACGCGGCAAGCGGGCTTTTCTATAATTTGTGTATCAGCGATTTGTCTCGTCAGTCATGAGGGCAGTTCCGAATTCTCTCCTTACATATCCGGAGCTAATATTGTGGCTGCTCAGTCGAATAATGTTGACAATTTCCTCAGCCGCCATCCGTAGGCGGAGTTTCGAGGCGACGCGCAAGGATTCAGGGAGATTATAGGTGTCGATCTTCTCTATCGCGGCATGATGAAGGCAGATGACGGACGCGTGGAGGTTCAGATTGGCATGTACGGCCGGAGGATTCCTGAGGTTCTGAGGAGACCGAAACGCAGGGGGCAGGAACATGAACGTGCTGGAGAGCATATTATCCAGCTCTCGGTGCTTCTTCCAAAACTCGCCGTACTGCACGTCTTCTGGGTGCGCGTTTGGTTTGGAGCGATGAACGTGGGCGAGGATTTCGTTGTATATGTGGCAGAGAAGTATGGTCCCCCCAAACGTAGAGTACGACGCTCCCTTGATCGCTTCCGGGAGGGTGCACGTCTTCTCGTCCCTGCCCTCGTTGAAAGCTTCCTCTGACGCGGGGAGGGTGGTGGTAATCTGCCACGGGTTAGCAAAAAAGTATTAAAAGAAATGCCCAAAAACCACCAGCAAAAAGTGATCGCCGAAATGCCCTACATCGGCTGGGTTGATCAGCGTTGGCCAACCCGTTGAGAGACTGGCATGTGTGTCAATAGAGAAGACACCCCAGAAAGCCCTTCGGCGTTCCTCGACCTCCGTCCAGTCCTTAGGCGGCGCCAAAGTCGGAGCCATCTCATGGCCATCGCCATCTATTCGGTGGAGGCCCATCATCTGAACCAGTCGTATCGCCTTTGCCGAACTCATGGCGGCTCGGGTAAAAAGCATGCTGCGCGCTTCGTCTGTGGCGATCAGCGCCCACGCCTGGGCATGGGACACTCTCACAAAATGTTCACCAGTGTCCTGCGGTAGCGAGAAATCACCGATGAGTAGTAGCACTTAGGGGTTGGTGGGATTGGGATATTTGACTTACGCGCAGCTCATCTGCATCTGCGTATTGCCGAGCTCGTTTGTAGAAAACGTCGTGATATCGAGAGTACTTCTCGTGTCCATTGGATGCGAGGGCCCAGATGGCATATTGGAGACACATCGGGGGTCGCATGTGCGGCACCGAGTAGAACGATTGGAAGTACCGACCAGGGTGAACGATGGGGAAGAACTGGTGTTGTCGTTGGAAATAGGTGTTGTTCCTATCAAGCGATGAGTCTTTGGTTAAGGTCACAACATGGGGGTGGGGGCATATGTAGCCATACAAATCTTCCATCAGTTCCACAGGGGGAAGGAACTCGAACTGACCGAGGCCTATGATTTCCCCGGGAGACGCGGACGCCGTGAACGCGATGTTCGAGAAATCACTTTGCGGGTGACCATCGGGCATAACGGGCAGCTCGGGTGTCGTCCCGTCTGACGCCGGACGGACTCCTGGAGGCCCAACTTCCCCTGCTAGTAGGCTTTCCACGTCAGCCGGGAAGCCATCATGACGCCCGAACGATGGGCCTCCGCGCCCAGCATTGGGAGGACCAGCGGTGGTGGATGTGCCGGACTCCCTGAGGAGACCTTCGACTTGTGCTATTATATCGGTATGAGCGACGTGGTTCTAAAATGGGGCACTAATCAAGAAAAGTGAGAACAGGTTTTCTATTTACCTAACCTCTCCTCCAGTTCCCGGACATTTCTACGTTTAGCGGCCGGTTTTCTCCTCGACTCGGGATACACGCAGTCCCCGTTCGCCTTCAAGCAGCGGCCGCAGGCCGGCTTTACTCGATCACACTTCAGTTTGCGGGAGCGGCAGGTGACACAAGCCAAGGCCCCCAATTCCTGCATTGCGCGCGCCCCAGACTCGAGGTGGGTGTTATCCGGTTCCATGGTGCTCAGAAATGAAAGGATGACATCGGGGGATGAGAGCAGTTCCGGCTTCCGATCGGCACAGCCGCGCAGGATGCCTTATGTGGGAGAGTGTATGTACATGCAACAACTCAACGCATCTTGGGACGATTGGAATGACCCATACGGGAAGGACAGTCTCGAGACCGCAAAGCCGTTCCCCACGGGTCGTCGTCGCGGTTCGCGATAGCTTGTTGTTTTACGATGAGGTACGTATCGTAACTACCTGTGGTGATCGGATCCTTTAGGCTGATGTGGTCCGTGCAAGTTGATCCCGCCGAACGGAAATAACTTTGGCCGATATCCGATTGATTGGTCTTGCCATGGACGACGTGGATCACAACTCCGTCTTGCCGAGAGCTTTCAAACTTTGCCATTCTAGCATGTGAGCAGTTACTTGAATCGGAGTCTCTAGGTGATGTCGCCGTGATCAGGTCGGGATGATGGAGGGAACTTCCCAGGAGCAGAGAGGAAAGTGTCAGAACCAAACGCCAAGTCCTAATTAGATCTCTTGACATTTGAGATCAAGTACGAACACGTCTTCAGTCCACTAACTAGGACACAGCGAGTACGAATGCTGGTAGGTATAGAGTTGGGAGGATTGGAGGGTTGGCGTCTTGAATAGACCCCTGTTAGTACTTCGTAGTAACAAAGTCTTCGTTAGGTTATAATAATGGGGGGCATGTTCAGCCTGACCAAGCACGATATGGATACAACCGTCCAGGGGGGCTCAAGGGGTTGACAGCTGAACTTGGGGGCCAGGAGGGGCTAAGGGTCGGCCCCCTGTTCTAGCCAGATATAGTGGGTTTCCTGGGGGGCTCCGACCTGATACACGTCGGAAATAAAGGTGGCAGTTGACAGGCGCGAAGATCCTTCCACCTAGCCGACCCTGGTATAGAATAAAAGAAGGTCGCCGACCAACTCACGACTAGCGGAGTTTTCTATGCCATGCCCCTCGCGTTTCCCAGTTCGTACTTCGTAATTAATTACATTCTAAAGGGTTTTTGATATGTACAGGTAGGCTCCAGGGGAGCCAGGGGAGATGACCATCAAAGTGGGGAACCGGTGCGAACTCCGAGTTGACCCGTATTGTACCGCGTAATTACTTGGTACAAACTGCGATTCCATAACCGAGAGCAGTAGGTATACGTCGTAAATTTTCAAGGGCAAAGCTAAGGTATTAGATACTCCAAGGCGATGTTTCCCTGCCTACCTAGGTAGTTGACAGAATACGTCATTGAGGTGGGTGGCTTCGTCTCGCCAACGTGGGATAGACAATGGAGCGCCCTGGATACCAACCTGCCTCGTCCGGCCGGTCCCTGCCTGTCTCTCGAAAAGCGACGGGGGGACGTTGTACGAACATAACGGCTGAAAGCGGCGCACCGACAGCGAGTAGTCATGGCGTCGAGTCCGAGGGCAGTGGGAAGATCCGCCAAACTGGGCCGCCCAGGCCTCTGTGCACGCTGTGCACTGCGGTGACTGCGGTGGGGTCCAAACGCTTCCGTCGATCGACGAACTTGTCGACATCCAAGAGGCTTTCCGAGTCAGGGTCAGGGAAATTTGATCGGGGGTTCCCGAGCTTGTCAAGTCAGTGTGCCTGGGTAGATCATAATACGTGTAATAAAAGCCGGCACATGTGGCGCTTCGAGTACAGGAATGAAATACACGTTGTACCTTAGGCTAAGACGGACAACGGATACCTACAACGTATGTACCTCGTGTCAAGTGTACCTATCCGTATTTAGGTAAGGTACCTTTGGTATTTTAACGCGATGGCAGGAGCCGGATGCTCCCATCGGATGACGAGGTTCCCACAGGCTGGACCCGACAAGAAATTGCGATGTTAGGTTAGGTACCGTAGGTAAGGTCCCTACCTCAGGTAACTTCAGGTTAGGAACCCTTAGAAGTTATCCAGAGTACCTACCGAATCCGTACAAATCCGTCGTAGATCGAAGTACCTGTACTTCTTCGCGGAATTGAACCGCCCTTGTTCGCTACCTACCTTAGGAAATAGTGCACGAGCCAAGATGTTTCTTCCTCCGGCTTAATTCGAACTTCCAATGGTGTCTCAATTCGTACCCGTACAAAACACTTGTACAAGTCTCTTTACCTCTTTAATTGCCTCTTTCCCTCCACCGACCCCGTTCAGCTGCGTCCGCTCACCCAACTCCTAATAACGGATAAGTACTTCGTACATACAACGTACAGCCTTCATATGGACAAGAGCGGTTCACGAGAGGGATCCGCCCGCTTTCATAAGTCCATCAGCACACTGCCCCACCACGCGCTACCACCCACCTCCTTTGACGTACATACATACATACGTTGTACAGTGGATGAGGCCCGCTCTAGGACTAACTGGGTTCATCCTTTCAGTTCAAGATACGTATCCCGACGAACGCATGAATGGACCAGGGAAAGGCAGACCTTGTCGGCGACATGGCAGGAGTGCAAAAGGAACGTGACTGTTGCCTTTCCGTCCGTGCTGCCTGTTCTGTTCTACGAAGATTCTGTTCTGTCTGGAGCCGTGACAGCTAACTGCGATAGCGCCAAGTAAACACGGCACGACCAACATAGGGACATTTCAACACTTCTAGCACGTGAACGATACATTGGGGGGGGGAGGGGGGAGGGGGGAGGCAAAGTCTGTCACGCCGCCCAATGTTCGGTGCGTCTCGCCAGATTTATATCCGAAGGACGAATATGTACGCTCCCACCGAACAGTCCAATGCCGAGGCAACTCTTTACTTTTTCGGTTCCTCCTAGTTGGTTGGATGGCGGTGTATCCGGTCACAATAGTCCGCTCCTCGTCTTTGTAACCCGCTTCCCTTCCTCCACACCCATTTGGCTCTTGTCGAGCATCAGCATCACCCTCCCCACCGCCCGGCGGGACTCTTCCCACCATGGCCCTCCTAGCATCCCTGCCAGCAAAGGAGGGGAGGGGAGGGGAGCGGAGGGAGGGAAAGGAACGGCATTGGCTCGCATAACCCTCCGGCCGTCTTCGACTCCAGGTCCTTTGGATCTGCAACGGTAGGCCGCATTCATAACGTATCTGCATATCCGTATGTACAGTCACCCCCATCTGTCAGGATGCATGACACCTGCCCTCCTTTTCCTAGCCTGCCGTCGCCAGTGACAGATTATTATGTCCCGAACTCGACCCCCATGTCTGCTGTATCTGCACGTGCCTCAATCTGGAAGAAACAATCAACCGTCTTGACCTCCATGCCGTCTTGTCTTACAACGTACATACATACGACGAGATGTGCTCAGGCTCAGTTTCGAGCCCAGCTGGTCGCTGACTCTGCTTGGCATGGGGCCTTCCACCTGTCGACCATGTCTCCCCGGACACTTGACTAGGTATGCAAGCTCTACGAATACCGATCTGAATCGAGTACAGACATACTCCCAGGGTTTTCGTCTATCCGGGGAGTGGATTTCAAAGAAGGGCCGATTTCTACCGTCAAACCCACATTTCCCCTTCCTCCAGAACTAGTGTACGTGTAGAGGTAATTAACCACCTGCCGTCTGTTTCCTCGGCGAGGGTGTGAGATACCTAGGTGGCTGCCCTCTACATACCCCCTATGGCTGGAGTCTATGTACGTTGTACCTGTCACCTCGCCCCTTACCCAGCCAGTCTAGAGATCTGGTGCTCTGGAAGGCCTGGACACGCCTCACTCCACATTCCTTCACTCAGAATTATTTTTACACAAGGCAACAGAAACATTCTAGATCTACGTGACACAGAGATTACTGCCATGCCTGTCCAACCCCGCCACTCAAGGTACTACGAAGTACAAGGTACTACGAAGTAACAACCATCTATCGTGGCAGGACATGCAGACAAGGACGAGGCCTAGTTCACGAGAAGCTATTATATGGGGTAGTATAAGCAGCAGGTCTTGTATGGACCACCTCTTCATTGTGTCTGTGATGGCTGACGGGTGGTATGAATTGAGTCAGGTTGCGGTACAGTGTAGAGCAGGTTTCCCACCGCTACACTAACAGGTTTGGCCATGCCTTTTGACCATGTCCATGTTCCGTGTTCGACGACCTTCCCTGTATCCTGTCTTTGAATGTCCAGCAACACTCCAAGAACAGCAGCTGGTTGGGTTTCCAAGACATATTCCCGTTCCCTTGCTTGCTTCTTTGGGCAGATCAACAACACGGGCGGGCTTCGACGACCTTCTTCCGGCAGGAAGTCTTGTCCAGCCCATCCCACCCTTCGCCAAGTGAGACAAAACCTTCGATTCGAGAAATCTCTACCGAGAAACATGGCGCAAGACAAGACACAGACACCCCCACCACCCTCGAGACCACCTGGCCTATCACTTTGCCACTTCCCCTCGGTACTGAGACATCATGAATAGATATGTCTGCGTGCCTATTTTGTCGAACACTCCAGCTCGTGGCCAACGGCTCTCAACACGTCGCTGCCCATTCTCGTCTTCTTCCCCGGCTTCTCCAGCCCTAACCTGGTGCCTAGCCGAGTTCAAATCATGACATGTCTCGTCCTTCTTCGCCACATGCGCTTCTCATACCATGATGACGACCCCTTACCCTAATCCACTCTTTTCTTTTCTTCTCCTTTCCCCCGTTTTCGAGGTGAGACGTCAGAACTGTAACCATGGACATTGTTGGCATGGGAGATGAACAAAAGACAGGAGGAACAACCTATGTTAGTCACAAGATGAAAGCAGCGGCAGAGATGCCGGGAAGGGCTAAAGGGGATGGCTAGACAGGGTAGAGACTAGGGAAACTGGGCTGGAAGAAGATGCTGAGCCATATCAACACCTCTCGTCTTGTCCCACACCCTACGTACCATATTACCCCACGCCGGCAGCAAGGGGAAGCTGTTCGTCATGTCAGTGGCGGAGATGACCCATCCCTCTAGACCCCAGTGCCCACAGAGGATGGCCCCCCGCCGGGGACCAGGCCTATGTTTCTCACCCTCGTAGCGCTAACGTAGAGCCCCTATCTTGTAGCGTTTTCAAGTCAAAATGGCCCGCCCCTATTGCTTACCACACCCACCAAGCCCAGTATGGATTGTATGCCGACATCATTTTACTCTACTCCGCTTTCGAGTTGGACCGAGTGCACTAGACGGTTTGATTCATGGACGATTGGGAAACGGGGAACCATTGATGCGTGGGCTCATTATTCGATATCTCGTTCCTCTTTCTGTCTGCATATGCTTTCCACCAACCTCCTAGATATTGCCCAGACAGTACAGCGTATTTCGCATGTATTTCGCATCTTTCTTCCTCCTTGTAGTTTGTACCTCATCAGCTGACCAGACTTCTACCGTCCTGTCATGCATTTCCACAAAAAAAAACATATACATGAAATGACAACAACTATGCCAGTGCTAGTGTTTGCCTTTTGCCAATGACAAGTAAAGACACGAGACCGCCCTTCAATGCCGAACCGACCGCCGAGTAATAACAATACACGCGTAAGGGATTTATACATATAAGATGCGAAGAAATGTGAAGTTCCGTAGAGGCATTTCCGGATACATGCGGAGTGAAACGTTGGAAAAGGGGGGGGGGGGAGGAACGGAAGACAATGATAATAAGAAAACAAACTTTTAAAAAAACGATGCAATCCAAATGTCGGCAAAGAACGCACCCCTCGTGTCTCGTAGTATTCGTGGTCGTTCCCTACAGGCACGTGAACGGGAAGCGATATGAACATAGCCTCCTTCTTCTCCCTTTTTTCGTCCCTCTATACAGTCCCTCGGTTGGCGTGTGCCGCCCCTGGGCCGTCCAACTCTTCATCGTAGCGACCAGGCTCGCCGTCGCTCAGGGGGGCACTAGATCGTTTGCCGTCGTCGCTGCCAAAGTCCCCTCGTTCCGTAGACGGGAGGATCTTGGTGTCACGCCCCGCGGGTGCGGTTCCTGCGGCTCCCCCCCGACCCGAGACTGACCGGGCATCAGACTCGGCACGGGCGTTGTTGATCATGGTGGGTAGCTGACGACGCCGGGCGTTGATGAACCAGTTGGAGATTTGGTCTAAAGTAGCAAAGCGCAGTTTTCGTTAGCGTTGTTTCTTAAATATTACGCCTCCGTGTAAGTTTCGAGGGAGCGCCGCCCGTCAATTAGGCTTTTTTGCTAGACAATCGTTGGGAAACTCCAGCGTTTCTGACACCGGCCACCTGGATCAAGCTTTGGGCGGTGCGTGGCGCAGCTCGGGGAGCAAAAAGAAAACAAGGAAAATAAAAATAAAACAAGACCATACAAAGGGTGGAGAGGAATAAGGGGCTGGAAGGTTCTCAAAAAGGCAAAGCACAACGCCAACAAATTGAAAGGATGAAAAGAATTTCTGCTACTCACTCATTTGCAACCCGGTCTGACGCATCAACTCTTGTTTCTCGTCCTCTGTCGGGTATGGGTGCTGCAAGTGCGCAATAAACCACGCCCTGAGTTTATCGGTCGTCTCTTTCGGCAAGTTCCCTCGCCGCTTGCGCTGCTTACTGTCGCTGTGCGCACCCATCGTTCCCATATCTCCCACCCTCATGAACTCCTGGTAGGGTTGACCATAGCTCCCAGCCGAGAAGGGGGACCGTTCGAATGGCTGTTGGATTGCGCCCACGGAATTGGATTGCCCATGGTTCGGGTGCTGGTATGGATACGCATAGGAGCTGGGCCGATACGATGGCCCTGGTTCAGCAGGTGGCCCACCAGCCACCGTTGGCGCTGACCGGATCGGTTGGAAGTCCTCGGTAGCTGTGCCCAGCGTGTTCGTGTTGGGCGGGTGAATCGGTTCTCGTTCGAATTGGGGTAATGATGGCAAGCTTGGCAGGGTCGTCGGCCGAGGGTCTGCATGTGGACGGTCTTGCACCTCCCTCGGAACTGGAGATCGCATCGCAGGAATCGGGGCGTGAGCGACATAGGGGCTTGTTCTCGCGGGCGCTGTCCAGGCATCAGGTGCCGGTGCAGATCTGGGTGCTGGCGGCGAGGTCGGCTGTCGCTTTTGTGAAAGCCCGCCTGGCGTCTCGTAGAGTCTTGGAATACGGCTCGCTCTTTCCCTCTCTTGCTCGTCTTCCAAAGATATCCGCCGACGCTTATTGGAGTTTGGTGAATAAATGTACTCGGGCGACGTCATAGCGCCAGGCATACCCGCCATCGCGGCAGCAGCAGTCGCAGTCATAGGCCTCGAGGAGACGGGTTCCTGGGAGTGGACACGGAGGTGGATCTCCGGAAATGCCTGAAGCTCGCGTTAGAGACAAGGAGAAGGGAGGGAGGAGTTAAGAGATTGCAGGAAGGATACAAACCTGTCGAATGGAGGGCAAAGCCACTCTCTCCGGCTCTGCCCTGGGCTGCGGCCCATGTTCCGTAGAGCGTCCGCCATCCCAAAGAAACTCTCTTGTGAAGCCTGAATGTGGGGATGGGCCAGTCATAGCCAACATTGACATCTTGTGTTGTGCCCCCGAAGTATTCCTTGAAGTGTTGGTGTTGTGGGCAGACCACGGAGGACTATATCCCATAACAAGCCAAGACAAACTCGAGTCGAGCTCCCGCGATAGGCGGTAATGACTGCCGTCTCTTAGCACTGTTGATCCCCACGCAAAGTCATGCCGGTCCAAACCAAGCGGGCTTTTGCCTACCTCAACTAGTCTTGCTCGTAGCAACTGAGCAAAGCAAAGAGTCGGTAACTATCGAGATCAAGAAGGTGAGATTTCGTACGAGGGCAAGAGAGCGGTCGGAGATTTAATGGGCGAGGTATGTGGCACGGTAGTTTGTATAGAAAAAACGAGAGCGAGATATGACGAGGCGTTATTGAAGGTCGTTATGGTCGCAGGATGATGAGTGGCAGGACGGACGACAGTTGGGCGAATAGGGCGGAGGCGAGCGATCGAGGCAGGATATCCGGGAGGGGCCTGATAATATGTCCTATGAGGAGGAAAGAAATACCGGGCACACCAAGAGTCCGAAGCACTTATGGTGTCTAAAGAGGAAATATAGCAGAAGAAAAGCCCAGACCCAGACAGAGGTCGTCGAGGGGTAGACTTTGTGAGATTAGGAAACAAGAATGGCGTCAATGTATCGTGAAAATGTCATATAACGAGCTGGGAGAGAAGAACACTTCGCTCGACAAGCAGGCCTAAAGGAAACGATCTGATCTGTGTGCAGGGTAGGCAGTGCAGGTACGTTGTAGATGAAGAAACCGGGCCCGAGGTGGAAAGGGACTATTACTTGAGGATAATAATTACTATTCGTACTTCGTTGCTTGCGAATGTTACGAAGTACAGTTGTATGCATGCATGCCCATAGAGCTGGGGAAAGGGGTGGCCGAGCGGAGGGAGGGGGGTTTGTCGATGTCCCGCTGTGTGCTTCGTGGGTGTGGAGGAAGACGGGTTACGACGGGTGTGGGACTAAACCAGGAAGGGGCCGGGAAGCCATGAGCAAGGATAGCATGGCGGCGATGGATCATGGACCATATCCAGAGAACACCGCAGGACCGTGACAGCACCATAAGGCAGGTGTCATAGGTAAGGAGGAACTCTAATTACATCGTAGGTACATATCCGTACTTCGCAGTAATCCTGTCCTACGCTGAACCGCTTCGTACCCACAACCAGCCAGGCTATGGGACGCTTCGGTGGCGTTTCCTCCTCGTAGGTGGGCACCTGTGCGCTAAGCTGGGATCGTAGTGGTACTTGCGGATGTGCCAGTAAGGGGGGTAGGCCGGGGGTGCAAGCCACAGGGAACATGGGTCTAAGAGGGGAGGTGCAACTCGGGATTGGTTCAAGAAGTGCGAGAAGTACAACGTAACATGTACTCCTTCCGTAGCTACCTTACCTTAGAGAGCTGGGCAGAAACACACTTCTTAGGAGCCCACTACCTGACCAAGCAGTGACACGGAAGGGCCACTCGACCAAGGAAGGGTCGTGCAGGGGTGTTTTTTTGACGCTCAGTCCCCCCCCCCCCATTTTCCCCTTCCCCCGGCCATCACGCCGGTCGACAACTAACCAGTGGGTCGGTCGTGAGCACTCCGTGTCCCGAGGCGGTTTATGTATGTACCTGCTCTGCATGTTTGATGAAATTGCCCGAGGCAGAATAGGAGGGCCTTGGCGACTCGGCATCTGCATCTGCAACACGATTAGGCCTGTGAGAGAAGAGGGAAAAGAACAAAAGGAGGGGATATGAACGATATGGGAGTCGCGATGCAGATAAATTCATCACAACTCGCTTCACTTGCACTGGTGTCTTTTCTGGGGAAATGTGCATAGTATTCGTAAGTGTCTTTCTAACAAGCCAGTGTTTTCCATTGCCTTGCAGACAGGATGTTGGCCCTCGTCCTGTCCCGTCTTGCGTCTTGGTCCTACAAATCAAAGGGAGTCGGCCAAACCGCTACTTTTCTCCGTGCCGTTGTCCTTTTCTCCTGGTCAGCCGGCCCCCTTTTTTGCCGCTGGCTGGTTGGCTGACATATCGACAAATCATCAAAATTACTTTGTAACCGGCAGTGTGGAGGGAACAGTATGTGTCTACATGCGTACATCGTACCGTACATCGATGGATCGCTCAAATGCATGTCGTATGCGGTCTCCGCATATAGGTGTGAGTGTGAGCGAGGGAATCGGCTTCTACGTCTTCCTTCCCATCTTATTACTCCGTAGGTGCCGCTCGTGCGGCACCCATCTAGACTACAACGGTGTCCATTGCCGTTAAGGGAAGGCCGCCAGAGTGGCGGGAAACTAAACAAATAGGAGGGTGGACCCCGCAAATATCCTTTTGCTAAGGTAGGTAGGTTTACAACGTAAATTACGTTGTTCGTATGTATGTACTCCGTGCATACTTCTCTCTCTTTTTTTCTCCGTTATTAGGGTTGGCATCCCTTCCTCCCGCAGTCGAAAGTCTTCGGCAGTCATTTTGGTAGAAAGACACGTTGTGTTCTAACCATGGGCTGGCACCACCAAGTTATGAGGTCTGTAGGTAAATCGTACTGTCATTTCGGCACTCTTTCTAATTGCATCGAGTCGCGCGGATCCGCTAGAGTCCGAGCTCCCATTGAACCGCTCCCCTTGACATGTCTTTCCTTTCCCAGCACGCACACGAGTGAGGGACAGGCACCGCCTGTCACCTTGTAGGGTTGTGGGTGGTAGTACGAACGAAGTACAATGTACCTTATGAAGGGTAGGCAGGTATTACTTCGTAGGTACTTTATGTGCGTCGGTGTACAACGTAATTACGAGGTATTTCGTAGGTATGAGTGTACTTGGTGCGTCGAAGCGGCATGTCCCTGATAAAGGGTGTGAATACAAAACGACTTCCTCAAAACGACACCCCTTTGGCCACGGCCCTGGTCCCCAAAGAGATTGGATGTCAGGTGTTCGAACATGTCACCCAATCACTTCAAGATGTATTCCCCGTCTAAAACAACAAGTGAAAACGACATATCGGCGCCTTTTCAACCGTCACGCAAGCCCACCTACTGCCGAGATTGATGATCGTCGAATGCAGTCTTGTTGTTTCCAATTCGCAATAGAATTAAGCAAGGCGCTTGTTTGACGTGAACGATATATTAATACTTCATCCCTAGCAGTTACAGGTATTACGTGTAAAACACAGATAGGGCATCTATCCAGCCGACCACACCCCACACCCTCATGCTTCCCCCCAACAATCCGGGACAGCGATCCTTCAGGAAGCTTTTGGTGTTCCGCTATTCGTGCTAATAATAACCCGATCTCTCCTGACCCCGATTTAGTAATGTTTGCTTGGTGCGAAACGATACGAGGTCCCCGGAATAAGTTCCGGGCGAATGATCTGCTCTCCTATTAGTGCGTAAAAGAAGTATAGATCAGCTAACTTGGCTCGTCCTGGGCCTAAGCATTCGCCGTTGTAGTCTCTGCAGTAATGTAGATCGATTGTACAACGCCAGCCTAGCGAACTGCTAGCTGCGGTCTTCGGCGCTGTCCGTGTGGCAGACAGAATGATATACACGTGTAATATAAAAATAAAAATAAACCAAAGTGTAAGGTATGTACTTTATACGTACCTATGGGGCTGCTGTTAAAGTTTGTGCCGGGAGTTCGGTACGGTCTAAAGCAGCGGTGGTTGATTGGTGTCTCCAATGAACCAACCGTCAGCATCAACCGAGCCAAATCTGCAAAGATCTTGTCTAGCTGCCATATACATATTGCATGGCATCTGAGCTTGGATTTTCTGTTTCTTTTCTTTTTTGGAGCCTTATCAACCCTGTCTGCCCGTTGGCGATGCGAATGCGAGACAGCGGCAGTCAGAGTCAACAGTTCCCAGACTGGTGGTTAGTAATTACACCACCCACCCCTTCTCTCCCTTGTGATGGATGGCGCCGAGCTGTACGTGTAGGTAATTAATTACCCAAGGGACTAGCTGCAATTAGCTGGCCGGATCTGTCATGGTTATGTCGATCAAGATTGCCGTGGGTGTCAAACAGGACTGGGACCCGTGATTGGCTTCCTCGAGTCATTGCGCATTTGTTCGAGAGCACGCACCACTGGCTGCTCCCATGCATGCCGTTTCGTCTTTAGTTTTCGAAGCCGTACATATACAACGTATGTACGAAGCAGGTTGTATCCGTCCTGTCGAGTCTGTGGCTTTGTCCCCCTCTTTTGAGCATTGGCCATGACAGACAATAAGGATACGAGAGTACGGAAGAGTCGTCGGTATTGTCACTGGGAAGCTGAGCCAAACCCGAACCAGGTAATGTCGGCCAGGGTACTCCGACCCCGAATGTCGCTCGCGGCGTCGTTGAGTGTCCGCTCGTTTTTGCCGGCTTTCTTGGCTTGCTTGTCTGGGCTACACCTAATCGCAAGCCTTTGACTAGGGTTACATAGCACCTTGATTGATTGGCTCGCCATTCCCAGTGAGCGACACACCATCGATTGTCATCGCGAAGATACGTAGCCGGAGGGCCCCGTGGCGTGGAACTGGGACGGGCGATTTGGGAACAACCACGAAGGGAGCTGGAGGGACGGGATGAGCCCAGAAGCTACGTCTTAATCCATTGATCGAGGAACGGAGGGTGGGGGTTGAAAAGCTTGTCTTGGACTCACATATATACAACGTATGGTGATTTTGCACGTAACGCTGGCCTGCGAAGGGCAAGTTCGGGAGGTGCTGACGTCTCGACATGTCAACGTCGGTAATTTCAGACTAGATCTAGATCCCTGTGGACGCCGTATATACAACGTACGCCAGTATCACCTGCTCCGCTCACCCAGGTTTATCTTGTCTTCACCTGCGCCATTAACCCAGTATTCTCAATAAGGCCTACGAACTAGCCCCTTGCCTTGTGTAACGCTCGATGTACTTTATAAGAATCGGCTTGGGCTCGGTGTGTACCTTAAGGTATCCTAGTCTGAAGATACCTACGCAGTACACAAATTCAGCTACACATCTACCCCTGCTTCCCGAATTATGCCATACTCTGTCCTCGCAATACCCACCTGCAGCTTGTACAATCATGTACCCATGTACTATGCTGATACTCTGGGTACGTAATTATTTCTCCGGAGCTGCACCAGTCACCGATATATGTTCTCGGGAATCAGGCCATCAGCAGCTCGCTGGGACGTGGCCGACCAGCCATTCGCATAATCTAAGGTAGGAGACCTCAGTGTCCGTACAACGTACTTACCTAAAGCAACTACACGTACCGGGACCCTCTACGTTAACTTTGCAATATTACTCCGTAATAAGGTAGGTAGGATGCAGAACTCAAACCCGATCCCATCTCAAACATTTTCTCCGCAATTCCAACAAGGGGGCCTATGACATGTCCACTGATAGTATCGACGACAGTGTGTCCCCAATGTTCCTAGGAGTCTTCCAAGTAACTGGACAGCCAGGCTTAGGAGACGGTTAGCACCGTGGCCTCTGACTATCAGGCCGCGGGGAAGAATTATATATGCAGGAAGACGCAAGCAGACCAGCGAACGCACCGTGCCACATCAAAGCACAGCGTCTCGAGTCCAGGGTACGTTGTACGGCTAGCCCACTGTACGGCCCGGTGGGTATGTGCGAATATTTACTTCTTTCGCATCCGTTGAACGCACGGATAAGGTCCGTGGGCAATCTGAACGAGGGGAACCGGGGAATACATACAACGTATAGCTGCTGGGATATCGACCTACCTATTCTTCCAATGGCGCTCGCACGCATACTACGGCATGATATGCCGTCCCCAATCGAGCACACAAAGACGTTGCAACTCGCCAGGGGAACCACCATCACTAATCAATAACCCCTCATCCCACTCGTGCATATGATATAAGGTACGGAGTAATTACTCCCCAGAAGTCACCGTCCTTCGGGTGCTAGCCTAAAGTCTGTATTGATATATTTTCTCTGGCCTGAGAATTTCCATGTCGTTCTGTGACCGTTTAAAACCTGCGTGCTTCGTGCGTTGTACGTCCTGGGAGGGGGCTTACTACGGAGTAGGGCTCAACCCATGCTTCTTCGGACGTCAGGGACTGTCAAATGTCCTTTATCCCTGCAAGGCAAATGTTAGATCCTGAGAATAACGCCTCAGCATGGACCCCATGGATCGCCTGATCGCCCGGCGAGCTGCGTGGAGATGCGCTGCTGTTTCGCCGCACAAAGCGACCGGGATCAACGTTTATTCAATCATAGCTTGAAGCGCGATTTGCTTTATTTCAGACCAGAACCTTTGTCAGAAACATGTCCAGGCGTTGGAGCATACCAGGGCCTCATGTTTCAGGCTTGAAGCTTCACCGTCTTAATAGACTTTGCATCCACATCTATGGATATGGCGTTTTACATGCTATATTGTATTTCTTTTCCTCTCCCTTGCGCTGGTAACTAACGACAGAAAAGATAAGGTCTTCGCGCCTCGAATCCCTATGGCGAATCGTCATACCGGCTTTTGACGGCTGTCCGCGACTGTTAGAGGAACGAAACGGCTACACATAGTCGCTACAATAATAACTTCGCGGTACGAAGGACGGATACCGTAAAGACTTAACAACTTCGGGAATGGCACTAACGACTTAGCGCCCCGTCCCCCCAGTTTTATTGAAAACCAACCAATATCATTGCGATTCGTTTAAGCCTTAATATTAGCAGTCAAGATTTTCATGAGTTTAACGGAAGTTAGTACAGAGGTACTTCTTATCCGTAATTAGTCATCCATGATATGCTTAGCAGGAGTCAGGCCGATATTATATTTGGAATAGAGAGGAAGTGGAGATAGTACTATATAGCCCCTGTTTAATTGTTTAAAGCGGTATATTCCTGTTTTACCTAAAAGGGTAAAACAGGAAGGTATAAGGAATATACAGTACGTACAAAACAGTATTCATGGCCCAGGCATATGTACAACGTAAGGCCATCTCGGGGAATGAGAACCAATGCTCCGGGATCTATCCCGGCCGTGATATCTCCCGGCAGGGCGCCCTGACCCGTCATCGGGGTCCATAATAATTCGGCGGGCGGAGACGCGGAACCGTAAGGGGGCACTGAATGGCGCACGGGACAACTGCGCAAAGAATGTCAAAACGCCAGAGATCTCTCGGCGAAGTTGAGGTGTGGGGGGGAGGCGCTTTGACTAGGTTCATATTGTGCAGGGTTGCATTATGACATCTCGCAAGAAAGACTCGAAATGGTGAAGATCATCCGACATCCGCCGTGCACCCTGCTGACTTTGTCGGCAGGTCCCGTCAACCCCGCTGGATGGGAGAACTTGGCCCCACAAGCTAGGATCCGGGGTAATACGTCGTAGAATACTACATTGCCTCAACCACACGAATGGGTGATTGTAAGCACGCTGGAAGTCATTCACTGTGGTGTGGGAGAGACTTTTGATATCAGAACATTATTCATGACATTGTGATGTCCTGTCCGAGCACTCTCCCGATACAGTGTATTGTACTGTAAGAATGGAGCGGGGCGTACCCCCGTGGTGCTGTTGTCTACGAAGTACAATTACTCCGGGGAAGGGGGTCAGATTGGGGGCTTGGAGATGGGTTCAACGACCTTCCGCTTTAAAGTCGACACGAGGGAATTCAACGATTTAGCCGAACCTGCTAGGATAAACAATAACCTGCATGGGCTCTGCTTCCGAGTGCTGGACAGTGTTCCATGACCTAAGGAACTGCAAAACGTGCCAAACATTCTTGTGGTCCTCGGAAACGGTCATTGTTTTCAAACCACCTAACCTATACCTGCCTCTGTGCCACTAAAGTGTACGGAGTAGAAATACCGGTACGAATGAGCCAACCAGAAGACGATGGCCAAGACTGCAAGACAGACTGCAAGACAGACTGCACGACAGACTGCACGACCACGACGTCGGGTCGAGGAATATCACCGCCATGCAATCATGGAATGGTGCGAGGGGGATATCGCCGATCTTGCACTCCTTCCGCATTCGCTGCTTCATAATCACTTGCGAGGCAGCCGACGTGTGTGATGTGCGAGTGTGTGCGGCATGCAGGCATCCGGCCCCTTCAGTCTCTTGGCGTACCCATCACCTCTCTCTCTGGCTCTCCCTCTCTCTCCAGCGTTAATGTTCAGGGTCAATTGTCAAGTCGAACTGGCGAATCCCACGATGCGACATACTAAGGTATTTTATTTCTTCCCGAATGATAAGATACCGCGTGACAGAGTCTCAATTATCGGATACTCCGAGTCCGTCATACCAAAGTGTGGTCCCTCGTCGGACGCGTTCCATCCTGTAAGCTGCTAACCATCTCGGCGGGCCTCCAGCGTGTGCCTAACCAAGACGGTCATTTGACAGACATACGAAGTGCACGGCTCCCTACCGCGATGACACCGTCCTACATGCATAGTTCCCGCTCTTCTTTCCACGGGACTGAACCGAAATAGGGTGTGCTCGTCAAATCCCATCATTTGGAATCACTAGCATTCAACGTGTAAGACTAACTTATGGGGCAGGCCGCGTGTGAAACTTGTGGACTGGGCTTTAGAGCTTCCCTGGTGACTCTATCACGTGGTCCGTCCATGTCCAGGGTTGGATGCTGCTTCCCGCACCCTTCCTCGGCATCTCTGCTACTGCGCGCATGCCCTGGTTCCTGCAGCCAGTATGACATGGAGACACAGCACAATACGACGTTCCGGGCTATCGGACAATGCCTTCTCCTTCCTGCCAGATTACCATTGCTTTGCCATCCATATCTATGCCTTGGAGGTGGCTTATACTGCCCGGAAAGTTTGCAGTTCGCACGGTAATTTCGTTCTCATGGCGGGGAGATGGGACTAGGTCGTGGTCCACAAGACGCAAGGAACCTCTGGCCAGATGCGGCGTGTCTCAGAACAGAGACAGCGAGACGGTCGGTCAGCGAATGGTTCGCATGGGGCCACCAAGCCAGTAATGGAGCAAGTTTAACGATGGATATTGGACCTTCCTCTTTCCCGCGCCGCTGTTGTGGCATGATAAGATTCAGGATTCGGAAATGCCGTCTTCTCCCCCCTCCAACGGAGGGGGTTCAACGCAAGATTTGACGCAAGCCAAGGCGCACGCCACGAAGCCCATTCGGCTTATAATCGGCCGGGCTGAAAGACCTTCCCTTGTCAGTTGTCAGACCAAGAAACATTTGTCGTGTCCCGAGGCGGAAAGTCGGGATTACACAAAGCTGCAAGTTCCCTGATGGGACCGATACCAGATTGGATCTCGTACATCCCGCCTTCAAACAGCTTGCCTTGTACAACGCAACCTGCCTCTCGGATCTCGGAATCCAGTGGCCCTTTTACGATCCATTCGTTTCCCGGTGCGCCGTGAACAAGAAGCCTTACGGACCGCCACCAGTGGATTTGCAGTACTCGTTCGGCAGCGGGGCCCGGACGAAGGAATCTGGTCCACAACCCGCGGCTGCGGACATGCGACACCTTTTCTTGGTCCCTTTGTGTCCAGCCGTCATACTTCGTACGAAATTGTCACGGGTTCTTCCTTGGTTTCTTCTTCTTCTTTTGATTTTACGGGAACGCCAGGGCATGACAACCGTGTTTCTTCCTCCTCCTTTACCGCCATTTCATCGCGCAACCCACATGTTCGGGAAACTCTGTTATTCCAAGTCTCATCCCGCCTGGCTTCTAGCTCCTGCCAAGATAGGATGTCTTGAGCGGTGAAAAAAGGCGAGGGGGGGGGACGGAGAAAAACACTGTGAAACCGTACACAAAGTTTATAGCTTGTTCACCTGCCATCATACCACGCGGCAAATATAACATAGCTACATACGAAGAGAGCATGCTGTCACATATGTCCCATATGTACCTTAGTGGGGTGGGAACAAACATATGCGCCCCACCTACTCCCTCGCTACGCCGTGCAACGTACAACGTACTTCGGACGTATTGTGTTGAAGTGTCAATTTCACATGGGCGGAGCAGTGAGACCCATGTTCGGTCCGCTTTTGGGTGCAAACCTACCCGCGTGGTCAGACGGGGGGATTTCGAGTACTTCGGCATTTCAATTAAGATCATTGATGCTCATGCTCGTAACATGCCAAGGTCAGAAGCCAGATATATCGTAGCCACCGAGGCACATGAGTGGTACTATCAATTTGCCTATTGAGATGAGAACAGCAATATAACGTACAGATATTAGTTGCTAAGCTCGGTGGGAGCCTGTCAAGCTTGACCTCAGGTATCCAACTAACCTTGCTCGGTGACATTTTGCATCCCGGATCTTGGGCTTCGTCATGGTCCATGGTCACTCCATGCATAGATGCACAGGGACTAGGTCCTAAGCACAACAGCGGAAGAAGAAGAGAACGGGGGATTGGTGTTTAGAAATCATATTATTATTCGTATATTGACTGGTCTAATTTCCCTCGCGGCATTTCACCACTCGTTAGGGGAGGACAGCCTATGCCTGTGGGATTACTCCAAGACTGCTCAGCCAGAACTTTCAACGAGATCCCACAAACCCCCCTGTCTCTCTCTGTCATGTATGTTATTCGACTAGCCAGCCAGAGAGAGCTTGTCCCCCTGTTTCGGGCAACGCTATTGGTATCTGACATGCACGATACAGGTCGTCCAGGCCCCGGGTCTTCGAGCAATGTTCCCTCAGAGATCCGACCACGCACGGGTTGGCAGATCCCAATGTCAGACTCAGACGCGGCACCGACGCATATTTACATGTATGTACTCATACTGTACTCTGTACTCTGTAATTATGGTATGTACGTACGTTGTACAAACAAACATATGGGGAATGTCCGTTCCAGCTAGGCTAGGTATGTAACTTGACCCTGGTAGGCAGCGGATAAAGGCGCAGCATGTCAGCCCGGCGGTTATCGGGCCCAAGCGTCTGTCAAAATCGAGCTGAGAGCATTTGGACAGGGGGACAGTGTCAAGGCCAGGAGAGGAAAACGATTCAACCCCCTCTCGCGCCAAGGAAGGGGGTGGAGAAAGAAGGGTCCTGTCATTCATGCGACAGGCGAATCGCAAATCGTTTCGGGCTTCTTTGGAGGAGCGCCCGAAATGACTGATTTGCCCGCCCGGGTGGCTTGGTGGCAGTCTTTTTGTTTCTCGAAGTTCGAACTGCAGATGTTGGCACCACCCCCCGCGCTCAAGCTGAGTGAAACGGAGTTTGGGGGCAACATGACCCCGCGACCTCACCTCTCTCCTCCACCACGTCTCCCCGTCTCGGCAGCTGACGGTTAGGTGACAGTGCATTATGTGCAGATGGCAGTAAATGCGCTGTGCTCCTGGCCGGGACCATACGTTGTAAAGTGAGGGTGTTAATGGCTGCCTCGTGTGCGGAGTACGGAGTAATCGTAGGTCCCATCATGGGGTTAGTAGGTACCCCCTTTCCCCCCTTTCCCCTAGGACCAGTACAACAATGATGAATAGGTACCTTAATAATGGGCCTAATAAGACGAGGAACTTTTGGGCTTATCGTCCGAGTTCCCACTTCCCTTCCCGCTTGCAGATTACGCGCTCAAAAGGATGACTAACCGACGCATCCAAGGTCTCAATGTCTTAGGCGTCCTGCCAAGTTCTGGAAGCACGTCCTCGTCCACTTTTTCCTTCCACGGAACGACGTTCCGAAGACGCTCTTGTTTAGGTGCGTTGTAAGTCGACAAAAGTCAAAGCGTGCGTTGTCTTATTCTCCGTTTCAACCCGTCCAACGAACTGGTGATCGGTAAATGTCAAAAGCCTCTTTGCCGATGGACGGATTCGCCGACCCATAAGACCATTAGCTCAGTTCTCACAGCCACTCACTCCCCTTCAAAGCCGACGCCATATATTACGGATAGGTCTTGTCATGCCTCGAGAGCTCCCGGATTAGGTGGGGGAGGCCGCCTATAACACCGTCGGCTAATGCCCTCTTTTCATGTCTGCCTATGCAAATTCTGTCCTTTGACATGACCTTCCTCGATGCGAACCTGTCAGCTGCCAGGCCTTTGCCGCATTTTCACTGGGGGACTTGCCGTGTCGGGCTTTACTCCGCTCCCCGATCTTGTTAGCTTCCCTCACTGACACCTGTCTCAAGCGGCTGGGTGCTTGAAATCGGGTAACTGGGCCGTCCACCGTCGCGTCCGATGAGGGGAGGGGGGTGGAGTGGAACTAATTGTATTTTGCAGGGGCAGGGGGGTCCTGTCATCATTGCGATGCGACATGGCCATGGACAAGACGCCGGGCGGGATCACGAACGACGGCCGGCAATCCAGTTCCTCTTCGGACTTGGGAGGATGTACGTTGTACGTGCAAAATCCTTCGATTTGATGCAAAGAGCAGGGGTTCACTTTGTGGTGGAGCCTTTTTTCCCCTTTTCCGCCGTGCGCGTCACGTTTGTCGCTTAAGCCATGGCCTGTCGCTCTTCTTCTGGCACGAACCGCCCCCACTTCCTCCCTCTCCCTCGCTAATTTTTGCCTAACTCCATACTTTCGGAAGTGGGCTTTGTGTTTTCTCCCCCCTTCTCTGTACATATGGAGGTATTCTGTTTGGTACGGATTAGCACTAACTGCACCCGCGGGCGTTTCCCCCAGATTCTAACAAAGTCAATCTGTTCCCAAGTAGGCCGTTGTTGCGAGCGTTGGCCCCAGTGGCAGTTTTCGAAACAGAACAAGGATGGCTGACCTGAATCCAATGCTACCATATGTATGCAACTGTCCTGTTGACTACTGGTGAACATCCTTTGCGAGTTCAGCGTTCAGGCATGTGTGTGTCTCAACAAGGAGTCGCAACCCAGCTAGCTGTCTAAAGTACCGGTTTGTGGTTACAATGCGAGCCCTCGGACTGGCGTTTGTACCAGGAAAAAGAGCAACCGGTTCGCGGGCAAGGGGAGCTTCTGGTTTCTAAGCCCAAGAGCGCAGTCCCAACCTTGCGAGAGGCTGGCACTCTGGTCAGCATGGTTCGAGGGATTATACGGCCCCTGGAAAACTGAACTGAGCCGCCTCAAAAAATAACATCGACAGTGGAAGCGGAGTGAGGCAATACCTACGTCGTACGTAGGCGAGAACATCTAGCCGAATGGCCCTCGAGACCTGGACTCCCCGATGGTAGATCCTTCAGCGACTCCACCCGTCCTTACCCCGTCCTTCAGATGAGGTTTGAGGCTTCATACCCGGGACCCCGATCATGCCTGCGGAGTGTTTCCGCTGATGCTCGCTTTCGAAAGCGACTCCTTTTGCTGGTCGCATGTATCGTGTAAGCTCGGGACTTGTGTTCGGCATGGTACCCAAAGATTCCATACCCCAGCTCCGACTGTCGGTCAGTCAACCCGCCGGGACATGACAGCATACCAGTACGATGACGGCGAGAGAGGCGAAGAGACGGCGACGGCCAGGGGCTCGCTCTGCTGGGCGCCGCTCCTCGCCTTCTTGTCGTTATTCGGCACACGCGTGCGTAGTGGGAGGATGGCTCCATGCTGATGGAATGCGTCGTTGTCGCCGCATTTTGGGGGCCCTTTTCTACAAGAACAAGTCACCACAAACATTCTTGGCATCGCCTCTCTACGAGGAAGCCTCGGTGAAGTCAGGGCCAAGACGAGAGTTGGTCCCTTGGAATAGGGAGTAGGCGTGGCACGAGTGCCGCGGCTATGGATTTTGTGGCGTTTGGTGGCTGACGAGGACGATCTGACGGCCCGCGGGTCCGCAGCCACAGCTGGCACGTCTGGAACAGCCCCGGGTCTGACCCACACAGTCTTTGAGACTCTTTGATGTATTGTACTGGGACTGTATTTCCACGGAGTACAAAGTACATTCGATACTTCAGTCAATGGAACTCAACAGTTGTTGTCAGGCTCAGCTGTTATTGGCTCGGTGCACGGTGAAACTTTCCCTCTCCAGCTTTGCCTCGCGACGGTGAAGCTACCTACGGTGCCTTACCTACCAAAGTAGGTCCCGTTACTTGTATAGCGTAAGCATCAGGCATCCGAGATCTGGGGTAGCTCTACGCATAACTATCTTCACACTCACAGAGAACAGCCGCAGATATACAGCACGGGACACGGATTATCTTCAAAGCATTCGATAGACTGCGGTCCAGGTTCTGAGACGCGAATTCTTGCCCACTCAGCTGCGATCTGCTGGCTGGGCAACATACCCAAAGGGGGATCTTGACAACATGCGGCAAAGGATCACCTTCATCCACAAGCCCGAGCAGGGCATAGACGTCCAGGAACTTCAGATAGCTGGGTATAGTCTTGGCGGACCGGAATTCCTCGCTGCTCGCGAAGACCGCATCACACTCGCACTTGACGAGCTGCCGGCTGAGCTCTCGGACGTCCTCCAGAGCTGCCATGAGCTGCATGTGAGATGGGTCAGCCCTTTGGCCTATGAGACAGTGGCACCGCTTCTTTCCAGGCTGTCACCGGGATTTCATTTATTCTACACGCCGGGGAAAACGCGAGGGGAAGTCGAAGATGGGCCAGATACGTATGTGTTGCTGTCATCGCACCAAGAGGTTCACAATGAGCAGGAAACCGCTGACGAAGAAACGGCAGTGCTATGCTCTGTCAGGCATTGAGCAAGAGTTTTGGTATCCAGATCTGCTCATCTTCCAGAGTAAGTACGCAAGATTTCTTCCCGGGCTCTGGCTCACCTCTGTTTGTTGACACGGGACTGACGCGGGACTGACGGGCTGTAGGCTTTCGCCAGGCTACCGAATGATCGCTTTTCTCATTCGGCAGCCTTGTATTTCTATGAGCCTCGTGAAAACCTCAACTCCCTGGTTGACTACCTCAGCACCCGCATCTGTGCGACTTTGGGTGGTCACGGTGATTCTGCAGTCTCTCATTGCAGGGAACGAGCCGAAAGGTTACGAGACGCCGCCTCCTTAGACATATCCTACGATACCATCTCCCATGCCCTCAAGGTAACAGCCCAATGGCCCAAGAAACGCCAATCAGTCTCTGTTTCGTCGTTACCAGGTCACCGGACCGAGGTCGGAATCTTGGGCGAGGACCCGTCGGTGCGCACCGAGGCGGAGGAAGTCGGCATCTCGGGGGCCCTGACCGTGCTGGGCGACCAGAAGACGCCATCCCCCGTCATGTTCGCCGTGCCATCGCGCCACAGGGTCTCAGGGGCGTCCTTCTCGTCAGCCTTTGTCTCTCCGACAGGTCTGCACCCCACGCTGCGGCTCCGAATCAGCTCGGGACAACGGCCGAGGGAGGACGCGAGCTGCGCCCTCCATGCCTACTTCACCTTGCCCAAAAGCATCTTCCCGGACCGGTACCAGCTCTCGGACGAGTTGTTCCTCCGGTCGAAGAACCTGACGGCTCTCCGGTACGCGAGCTCGCCCATCGACCTCGAGGCGCCCGCCTACGCTACCGAGACGTGGGGGTCCAGTATCCTCCTGGAGCTCACACCCCCGACGTCGGGAGAGAAGGAGGACGAGGCTTCGGGCCCGTGGACGGCCGAGGTGCCGCTTCATCTGCGGTATCTGGCGCCCAACTCGGACGGATACGCTGAGGTCGAGGCGCCCTACCCCGCTGTTTTCTGGGCGTGCCCGGCTGAGGAGGGGACCAAGTTCCCCAACAACCCTTTTGACCGGGTTCACCTTGGGTACGACGCGCTTTTCGGGCCGCGGACGGCGTTTTGGCATGTTGAGCCGCGGGCGGAGGATGCGGGCGGCAGCGGCGGCAGGCTAATGAGTCCGATCCGGGTGCCTGTGCTGGATGAGGACGATGCTTCCTGGGTGAGAGCTGGCACGGCGGCTGCGGTCGTTGTGGGATTTGCATGGGTGTTGTGGACGTTGGTGGCGGCGTATATGAAATCTGGGTACGGCAGAGAGAAGGAGTCGAGGGAGGCGAAGAAGAAGCAGTAAGTAGTAGTACGAAATGTGGCTTGATATTTATTTAATTTATTTACCCCTGATATTTGAATTCCAGTTTCTTCCGGAAGAATATATTCCTCTGCTCTGATTCCGTATTCTTGACGTGTCAGTGACATTCTCCCTACCTAGTATATCAGGTCTTATTCCCTTGAACAGACAGAGCACATCACTTCACACACGAGCAATTCATCCTCCCTTTACTTCGAACAGTGCAGGAAGATACCTATGGTACAGTGTACCGTCGTACGTACTTCGCACTTTGTAGGTACTTCCAGGATGCTTTGCTTACGTGAGTGAAATTCCAACCTCACTCTCATTCTCACTCGTCCGACTTCATTCACGCTGCCGGTGCTTTTACGAGTCCCGAAGTATTATCGATATATAAAAAAGAAGTCTTAAAATCCGACCAACTCAACTCGACTTCTCTACTACCTAATCTCAAACCCACATTCATCTCGTCTATTCCAATGTTCTCCTACATAATAGCTCTCATAGCCTTCATCCTTGTCTTTTCCAACCCAATCACCAAGCTCTTCTTTCCCACTTCATCTCTGCCTTCCCACTCCGCAAGACCACAGTTGAACGAGTCACTCCTAGCCCTCGAGTCCCCCAACGATGCAGCACTCTCCTGCAATGAAGACGCCTACTCGGTCCATATCCTATCGTCAGCCCCCCTGGTGCTTTATATCGAAAACTTCCTGACCCAAGACGAGCGCTCTCATCTCCTTGACATAAGGTCCGTCCGCCCCTTGAAAAACACCCTCACCGTGGGAGATCTCTCACCGCATGCAAGAAGAGGAGAATAAAACTAAACAAAACGAAAAATAAAATATAAAAAATCCGTACAATAAAGCGAGCCGCTCTTCGAACCTTCCACCGTGACAAACGACGGCGGCGCAACCACCCAGCGCGACGCCGCGGTCCGCCTCTCCTCCGTGGCCCTCCCCCCCCGCACCGAACCCGTCCGGTGCATCGAGGCCCGCGCCAGGGCCCTCCAAGGATGGCGTCCCGACCGGTGGCTCGAGAGGCTGCGCACCCAGCGGTACGATGCGCCCGCCGGCCACTACGGGCATCATTTCGACTGGTCGTCCAATGCCGGCGGGTGGGGGCGCGTCGGGAGCATGATGGTCTGGGTTCACGGGGGGTCTGACGCCGAGAGAGAAGATGAACGGGTGGAGGGCGGGGGGACCGAGTTCCCCCTCCTGAGGCTGAAGGGGGATCGTAGCCGGTGGTGCCGGTTCGTGGAGTGTCGTGAGGATGGTCGCGACGATGTCAAGCAGCAGCAGCAGCAGCAGCAGGAGGAGGAGGAGGAGGAGGAGGACGAGGAGGAGGAGGAGGAGAGTAAGGAGGAGGAGGAGAGTAAGGAGGAGGAGGAGGAGGAGGAGGAGGAGGAGGACGAGGAGGAGGAGAGCGCACGGCAACAAAAAGACCCTGACGGTGACGGAATGGGCATCATCTTCAAGCCTCGTCCTGGCAACGCCGTGTACTGGGAGAACTTCCGCCCCGACGGCTCCGGGTACGACGAGGCTTGGCATGCCGCGTTACCTGTGACAAAGGGCGTCAAAGTCGGACTGAACATCTGGACATGGGGACGCATCGATTAATAGATTCTACATGCTTCAAAGACAAGAAGTAATACGGCCCACTTCCAAAACCAAGCGAAAAATATCCATGCATATATATATGCGCCCCCCTCCATGTTTTTGGTTTACGCCCTCTTACGGGGGCGGCACCCATCCCATCTCCTCAGCAGGCCACTGGATCCACAACCGATGCTCCTGGTCCAGCGACGTCCAGACCAACCGCATGAGATGCGCCGTCCAGCCCTCCAACCACCACTGGCTCTCCAACTTCTTGATCAATATGAGGAAGTGCGCGAAAATGGCCACGGCTTCCTGGCGCACCTTCTGACCTTTGAGCAGCGGGAGGAGATCGTCGGCCACGGTCCACTGCCACACGAAGACGTCGCTCACGTCGAGCAGCAGCAGCTGTTGGGTGGCCCGCCAGTCGCCGTTGGGGGCGCACGGGATCACCATGCCCAGGATGCGGCGCAGGTGGCCGATGGCGGTGTGGTAGATGGGGATGAGGTCGGGCTCGGTGCACGTCTTGGCGACGAGCCTCTCTAGATCGCCCAGCAGGGTCCGCGGCGTTTCTTCCGAACGGGGATCTCGGATGAGGACGGGTTGCTGGTTCTCGGGATGGGCGCCGTGGGCGAAGAGCGGGGCGAGGGGCCCTCGATACGTAATCGGGTCGATGGCGCAGAGGATGGGTTCGATGTTGCGGAGGAGGAAGAGCCATTGGGGGAAAGCCGCCTCGCCTATGAGGAAGGAACGCTCCGGTTTGTGGGGGTATCCCAGTGCTGTTGCAACGTTTTAACGGGTTTGGTCTTTTTTTTTTTCTTTTTTTTTCTTTTTTTTTCTTTTCTTTTCTTTTCTTTTCTTTTTTTTTCTTTTTTTTTTCTTTCTTTTTTTTTTCTTCGTCCATCCATCCTAGGTAGGTCCGAGAAATACATACCAAAATAGATGGTCAAGATGGAAAAGAGATAGAGACTCTCGCAATCTCCGGGTCTGAACTGGGTCAGTAGGGGTACGGCCGACTGGCTTGCGGCCCGGTGGTGCATGACGGCGCGGTTGACGTAAAAGTCTCTCCGGTCGGGGCGGAAGTGCGCGAGATGGAGGGCCGACACGGCCAGCAGACTGCGCATGACGTAGTCGCAGACGAAAGCCATGCGCACGACATCAGTACGGAACATGTTGCGTATCATGCCATCGCTGGACAAGGTGGCGTAGGTGAAGCTGGTGAAGTTGTGCATGAGCTCCAGGTCGAGCATGTTCAGGTCGCCGTCTAGCCCGTTCAGGCTTTCGCCGGGTAAACTCGAAGCTGCGGCCAGACCGTCGCTGATGGAAGGGCCAAACGCGCCAGCAGAGCTTTGCGGAACCGGGACGGGGGCGGAGGCGGAGACTGGATGCGACTGGAGAAAATCGCAGAGGACGGCATGTTTGACGCAGTTACGGCATGCGGGTTTCTGTTCGTCGCACTATGGAGTCGATCGAAGCTCCTGAGTTAGTTAAACGTGAGGTCTATCAGCAGCAACAGATGACGACGCGACGCTTCCGCATTGTTCGTTGACCATCGTCGTTGAACCTCTAAGCCCTCCTTGAGAGAAGAAAAAAAAAAAAAAAAAAGAAAGCCGTACCTTGATTTTCCGAGTCTTGCAAGTCCGACACCCAGTCCTGGACTTGGGATGCGACCGCCGTGAATTTCCGGATCCTGTTGGCGCGGCCGTAGCAGACGTCCCTGGAGACTGCCAGGGGAGGGGAGGTGAGCGCGATCTCGACCTTGAACTAGTCGCCGTCTCTACCCCGGCCCCTATCTCCGTCCCTGTCCCGGGTGTCCCAGACTGGGAATGGTAAGATGCTGTAAGAGGGCTCCGTGACATGAAGGATGAGCAGAATGGGGGGATCGGTAGGATGATGCGAGTCGTAGGCGCAGTGACACGCCGATGGTGCAGAACATATAAGCGTATCGGTAGGGAGATAATATCTAGGCGATATAACTCATATAACTCCCAGTCTTGAGGTCAGTCCTCGTTCGTGTCCTTGTTGTCTGTCCCCTTGTCCGCGAGGAAAGAAAATGGGCGTGTGCTGTTGATTCGGACGGACCGAGGACGAAGAATCCAGGACCCAGAAGCTCGCTCTCTACTTGAACCGCTGGCCGTCTGCTGCCTGTGGGAAGAGGGAGAACGGATCGGTTCACCGTTGATTCATGAAAGTGAACGAGAAAGCAAAGAGAGAGAGAGAGAGAGAGAGAGAGATTGCTGTGGCTTGACGTAGTTTGAGGATTGACGTCCGTATTTACGATTGCCCCTTCGTATTCGGGACGCTCGACGGTAAAAGAAAGTACAACGTACTTCCTCGATAAGATACGGAGTAAGATGAAGGCATAATCAGGATGTACTGTACGGCACCAAAACATATGAGGTACCTATACTATCCGTAGTTTCAGTAGGTATGTTTAAGTACCATAATGTACACTGATTACTCTCCACACAGTTTGGTTAACCACGCCGTAGGGTTCGCACACGGAGTACCACCCGGAAAACGGCTGCCCAGCCACATACGACTCAAAATCGCAACATCGTTCATTATTTCGTCCTGTTCGTTTTCCCCTAAGAACGCCTTTTGCCCATTTCATCCATCGTTTAGCTCTCGCGTGTCATAAGTAACAGGAACAGATCACCAAGACCTCACAAGAGCCCCTTCTAGCATCTACGCCGCCGCTGGATCATGCTCTCCTCCCATCTTGCCGCCTCTGCCTCCTCTGCCGCCTCTGCCGGGTCTGCCTCCTCTGCCTCCTCTGCCCCGTCCAGCCCATGTCCTTCTTGTTTTCATGTCAACCGTCTCATGTCTATCCACCGGCGAGGCGGCATATTTCTTAGCCCCTGTACAAAGTATGGGCCAAAGTGCCAAATCTCCTGTCTTCCAAAGCCCCTCCTCGTCAGGCCTTGGACGTTCATCGCACCCAATGGAGGCGCCTTGCTCAAAATGCTTGCTTGCTTCTGCATTGTCGAGATGTGTTTTGTTCTCTCCTCCGAACCACTTCCATCTTGTGTATCAGGTAGGAATACGTATCGGCTGCCCTTTACTTGGCATGCTTCTTAAAGGCCAACAGCTCCGCAAGGCTAGCCAAGGGGCAACCGTGCTTGAGGAAGTCGTGCAAGAGCAGTTCCTCGGCCGAAGCTCGGCTCTTGACGTCCACGCACAGGCAAACCGACAGGAACGCCTTGAGCTCCTTGCTCAGCCTCTCCGGCTTCTTCAGTCGTGGCGTGCCGTTGGTCGCAATCAGATACAGAGCCTTGAGCGGTTCCTCGTTGAGGTACGGCGGTTCCGACTCGATCATCTCAATCGCCATGATGCCCAGCGACCAGATGTCTACCTTGGGGCCGTACTCCTTCTGCTTGACCACCTCCGGTGCCATCCAATAGGGCGTGCCCACCATCGTCGCCCGCTTCGACTTGGTCTCCGTGAGCTTGGCACAGAAGCCGAAATCCGCTTCACCGGCGTTAGTCTTTTACAGGTCTGGCTGACCGACTAAATGAATGGGCGGCTTCCAACTTACTAATCTTGACGTTGCCACGAGCGTCCAAGAGAACGTTGTCACTCTTGATATCTCGGTGAATGATATTCTGGGAGTGGAGGTGCTGGAGGCCACGGCAGGTCTATGGTTTTGATTAGCGGGGACAAGCGAGTTGGGGGGGATAGAAAAGAAAAGAGAGTGCCAATCTTACCTCCAAGCATATGGTGGCGATCTGCTCCTCAGTAATGGTTGGATTGTTGTCAATGACATCGGTCAGTGCACCTCCCTCCATATACTCCATGACCACCCAGAGCTCCGAGTTGTTGTTCCGCAGGAAAGCGTCCAAAAAGTTGACAATGTTGGGATGCCTGCTATCCTTCATCACCATGATCTCGTTCACGATGAGCTCCTTCCTCGGCTGGTGAGCGAGGTCCATCTGCTTAATGGCAACCTGCGCGCGCATGCCCTGCGACCGGAGCACCTCGCGCGCAATAGGCGACGTCGCACCCTCCTTGATCTTAGCCACGTAGACCGATCCCGACGCGCCTTGTCCGATCTTCTTCTGCTTGGAGTAGGACAAGTTCGGATCATCCTTGGACACCACCTCTCTGAGTCGGGCCATGACCTCACTCTCCGACATGGTCGACATGCGCACGTCCTGCTTACGCTCAGACGGCGACGGCGACGGCTTGGCCAAAAGCGGTGCCTCGGCCGTCTTGACCGGATCGGCCTGCTGCGGAGGCTGTGCCTTGTTCACATTCAGGGGCTTCACGGGCGCAGGGAGACGGGACGCCTGCTGGGCCTGGGCTGGGCCGTTGGCTCTCGGTTGACCGGCACCGGCCGCGCTGACGTTAGGATACCGCGGAGGGCCGGGCTGGTCGGGCCGGTCGGGCCGTGTCCGTTGCGCCTGCGGATCACGCATGGAGCCAGACGCGGCTTGCGACGCCATCTGGTTCCGTGAACCAGCCGTCGGCGGAGAAGGAGCTGGCCGTTGGGCGCGAAGACCATTGACCGGTTGGTTCGACGGCTTTGGTGCCGGTGGTGCTGCCCTAGAGGGGTTATATCTGTCCGTTGCAGGCGAAGACCCGGCATAGCCTCCTCCGATCTCCTGTTGTGCGAGAGGCAATTTGGACTTGGGGAGCGACGCATTATACGCCTCCAACTCGCGGCGGCTGGCCTCCTCCGTCTCTCGCTCACGCTGCCTCTGGGCTTCCAATTGCTTCTGACGCTGAGCCTCACGTTCGCGCTGCTCCCTCTCTCGTTCCTTCTCCCGTTCACGTTCACGCTCTCGTTCCCTCTCGCGCTCTCTCTCGCGTGCCTCCTGCAATTGCATCTGTTGACGTTGGATCTGCTCCTGGGCTTCGGACATGGAGGGCTTCCTGGGTCCTTGGGCCGCGGACATGGCACTGGTGTTGCTCGCCTGCCGTTGCATCTGGGAGGGCGGCATGGGCCGGGGCGGCGCCACTCCCGCGCCGCCACCGCCACCGCCCCCGCCATAGCCGAGCTGTTTATTTTGCTGGCTTCCCGGAGGCGGGGTAGGTGTGAGGCTGGAGTATTGAAGAGGGTTCTGTTCGCGCTTCTTCAAGTCGGAATAGAAGTCGAGCGCCTCAAACACGGCCTGGGGGTTGCGCTCGTAGTCTTCCTTGGTAATGGCTGACGAATTCAGCAACTTGGACCATTCTGGTGGCAGTCCGACGAATTCGCCCGTCTGGGGGTCGAACCCCACATGCACGGCATGCGAGAAGTTTGTGGGGTTGCTGACGCCGCCCATTCCGGGACACGACCCGTAAATGAGATCGATCCAGTCGTACAGGTCATCGTCGCTCTTGACTCGAATTTGCAGCGTCTTGGTCTGACCGTCATCCTCGCCGGGGCTGTTGGAAGAGCCATTGGCGTTCCGTTTGATTTCGAAGATGGTGCCCGCAGCTTCGACGCGGCCCACGTTGACCACGTCTTTGAGGTAGAGGGTATAGGCTACCTTGCCTCCTTCTTGCTTGTGGAAATCGAGCGACTCTTTGCGGAGAATAAGCAGTCTCTGCTTCCAGGGGTTAATGAAGTTCTTGCCCTCCTTCACCTGCGCCCAGCCCTCTTTTCTCACGGCGACACCGCCCATACCATTGGTCTGGTTGGAGTTCTGGCGCGCGATGGGTAGTGAGATGGTGGAACCGGTGTATGTGGATGTTGCCGTGCTCCGGACGGGGGATATGGTCATGTTGGCCATGCTGCCGGGAAGGTTGGTATTGGGAGTGAGATTGAGGCGGGGGCGATCGGTAGGAGGTCGAGGAGCCGGGCCAGGGTTCATGAACTGGCCGGACGAGTACACACTGCTGTCGTTAGCCATTGTGGAAGAGCATGGGTGTGAGTAGTAAAGTGGTCGAAGTGCAAACAAGGCTGCCTGCAAAGTAGAACACGCGGGTTTCTCGAGAAGAAAAGGAGAAGATTCAGAGAAGGTACTGGGGCAAGGTATCCAGGCTCTAGGCAAGAATGGCGAGGAGAAGAGAACAACCCAAATCTTCTTCCTATATACCTAGATTGTAAAGTACCCAAGGTAGGTAGGTAAGGTAGGGAATAAAGGACACAAGGGGAGAGTGATGAGGAGTTAAGGAGGGGAAGGCAGCATCAAGGAGAAGGCAGGTGCGTGATCAGGAGGTGAGGGCAAAGGGGAAAGGAAAGTAAGGTAGGTAGGTAGGTAGCCAGCAAGGCGGTGGAACAAGTATCCGAACAGTAACCAGTAAGTGGAAGAAAGTACGAATACAGTCAGGGTCACCCAACTGCACTGCACTGCACTGCACGCCCTGACCAGCCTACCAGGGCGCAATCGAAATGAACCCCACTTATACTCGGCCATGACCACCAGCTTGGCCATTATGGAGTGCTGCGTTCAAGCTATTGCAGGGAGGTAATAAGGGAACAAAAAGGGGCTGCCAAGGAACAAGAGAGGGACACCGAAAGATGTCATCTTCATACCTGTTCTGAGAAGCCATTATGGTAGCTGGCTCTTGATAGTGCTTTCAATCAATTTCTTTGCGTGGTAAGGTAAGGTAGGTAAGGTAGGTAGTGAGCCAAACCAACTGTATCTCGATAAGGTGCCTGCCGCTGTTGCTAAATTAAAGCACACGACGTTTCACGGCCTGGCTGATTTGTGGTGCCTGTAGTGTAAAGGGTCGTTTTGGCGCGCGCTTTTGATTAAGTAGGTTATGATATCGCGGCTGCTGGTAACGTGATCAATCCGGGGTTGATCATAGAAATGCGGTGGGTATCTCGATAAACAACAAAGATGAGGTAAATGGATGAAAAAAAAAAACCCCCCGAAAGAAAGCCGCCAAGTCAAGGAGTACCCGCAGAAAACGTAGTCGAGGCCGAGAACGAAAGCATTTGTTCGGATCGCGGCTAGTGGACGACGCGCCGACGGCAATGCAGTCCGACGGGGTCCTTTGGAGGAGACGAGGAGTTGATGTTGAGCGCGCTGCCCCAGAGAAAGGAATCGGCGTTGAAGGGCTAAGGTCGCCGCCCAGGTGGACTTCGGACGAGGGACGATGTACGGAGTAGCTATCTGTCGTCGTCGTCGCAGCAGATGTGACGAGCCCAGCAAAGAGAGGGAAAGGAAAGGTGAGGGGAGAGAAAGAGGATAATGTTTCGGGCAAGTGAATGGCGGAGCCCGTTTAGGAGAGGAGGGGGATCTTTTTCGGGTTTCTTCGTAGGCTGTCAACTGGGAGAGGGGCCGGAATCGGTCCTTAGTTCGTATTACAGTAGGGAGTCCAGGTACCTCTGTCGGATCGGTGGACTGCGGAGAACACTGGGTATCCGAAGGTCTACGGAGTGGTACACCCTTCTTCGTCTGAAGAGGTAGGTACTGTACCTTTTTTAATAAGAACGAGAGACTTTGAGGGTGGAGACAGTCGGGCATTTAGGCTGGCGGAAGACCACACCAAAAAGTAACACTTCCCCTGACTTATATGTACCCACTACCTTATTAGACTAAACGTTGCTTCAGGGGTCTCGCTCTGATACCTGCTACTTAGGGTGTTCGATTTGGCGGAGAAGGGGACGTAGCGCCGGCAGCATAATATTGTAGGAAGTGCGCTCCGTACGAAGTAACAACGTACGTATGTGACGAGGTTGGATCATAGTATGGGCATTCACTGTCTCTTCCAATATTTGCCCGAAGCATTGGTGAATTTAGGGGTCAAGAACTTCTAGGTAAGTCAGGTAAGTCAGGCAAGTCAAAAGGACCAAAGCGGTCTACATAGGTAGTTTGATTAGGTTGGTATATAAAGTGCTTCACTCCTTTTGTCAGGCCACCACCTATTCATACAGCTTCATTCACACTGTGTGTAGACTTCAATTGGATGCTCGCCGCCAATTGACAAACATCATCTCCGCCCGGCCCATTTCACCACAGCGTCGGTATCTTAGGCAGTACGTTGTACAGCACTCCGTAGACAAGGTAGTTTTGGATCTGGGATGGGGGCTTATTAGAATGTGTTCCTGTACGTTCAATAACTTCTCCCTCCGCCCACTGTCTCTCTGTCTATGCAACCCGCACACGCCGACTCTTATTCTTGAGGCCTCCCCTAGCTCCTTCAGAAAAGGGGCCACGGGCGAGACGGAAATACCATTCAAAAAGGGATGTACTGAGGTACGTTACCGGTACGTTGTAAGCCCTCCCCTCCATTACGAAAAGGCCGGCCTATGAAACGGCCCCGTTAGATCTTGCCGCATCCATCAACACCAGTCGAGGAGAAGTCAAAGCGTTTCAAGCCTCACGGGCTTGGCATCCCCTGCGATGAAGTTATCCGCCCATCTCAGCCTCTCGTTCCGACAAACGCAGAAAAAAGTCAGCTGATGAGCGGAGACGTCTTGTCGATCACTATTCCTAGTCCATGCATATAACCCGGCCTAAGAGGCCTTCTCTCGTAAGGTAGGCTGTAACGGCGTCTAAATCGCTACCACGAATACAACATACTTTACAAAAAAGCCCTCGAAACAGAAACGGTTCCCTAACGTCGCACGTGCACGATATCCCTGTTTCGGATCCGGCCCATTTACCCAGTGCGATGCGTCCCTTGAGTTACGGGTGTCGAAATCAGTACGTTGTATGGAGTAAGCACCTAAATACCCATTAAGTGCTGAGTCACAGGAGGGATTGCATGAGCCGGTGTTTCCGCTGGTGTGCGTCGACGCCATATTCTCGTTTCCGGGTTTTGTTTCCAGGACATCGTCACAAGAAATGTGATTGATATTCAACACAAAAAAGTAAGAATGGCAGGCGGACTAACTTCCTTGAGACTTGTGATCCTCTTCTCAACAAATTACACGTCTTTCTCTTCAGCAACTCCATGACCCGGTGTATCAAAGCCAACCGGAGCCCTCTATGCTGTCTTCGCAGGTTGCTCAAATGATCTATACACTTCCGCATCCCCAGTCGTCTTGGTCTGTCTGCGCATGCTTCGCGAGTGTGCTCTCCACCCGACTACCGACTACCCTCTAGCGCACAGCGACATCCACCTCCTGGCCCTCAAAGGCCGGGAGCTCCGCCTCCACATCCTTCCACTGCTTGGTGCCGTCGACGATGCTCTGGACCGCCGCCACGATCTGGTCCTCGTCGGCGCGCACCTGCTTCGTAGAATCGCGGTCTCGCAAGGTGATGGTCGAGTCCTGCACCGTCTGGAAGTCGATCGTGATGCCCAGGGGCGTGCCCAGCTCGTCGTTGCGGCTGTAGCGCTTGCCGATCGTCGCCGACGAGTCGTCCACGCGGCTCGAGATGCCAAGCTTGCGAAGCTTCTGCGAAATCTTCTGGATGAAGGGCTTGAAGGCCTTGTTGGCCGAGAGTGGTATGATCAGAACCTTGGTGGGCGCCACCTCCGGCGGGAATGAGAGTACCTAGTTCAGGTGTCAGTCAGCCCACGACATCTTCAGGAGACTTGTAGAAAAACACGTATAAAGAAGAAAGAAAAAAAAAGGCGTGGGAGACGATAAACTTACACCGCGAGCCTCATCTCCACCATCACTGGCGCGCGTCCAGTAAGAGTGCTCAATGAGCGAATAAAGGATGCGACCGATACCAAACGAGGGCTCAATGACATTGGGCGTGTACTCTCTGGTGTTGATAACGTTCTTCCGGAACTCGATCGTAACGAGGTCCTTGGTGATCTGTACCTTGCCATCGCCGACACCGGCGATCTCGAGCTCCGTGTTGCCCGTCTCAGTCAACTGCTTGGCCAGGGCCTCGCGCTGGTCCTGGGTGGTAGCCAGGAGAGCGGTCTCGACCGCCTTTCCGTCCTTCTTGAAATGGGGTCCGAACTTCTTCTTCTCGATTTCCACCTCCCACCGCTCTTCAATGATCGGCTCATCCAGTCGCTCCCTCACGATCAGGGGGGCGCCGGTCTTCTCCTTGTGCACACTCAAATCGTACGCGCTCCTGTCCGCACAGCCGACACACTCAATCCAGCCCGAGGAAGTGAAGAGCTCGGCATCCCAGCAGTCAGTGGCGTAATGAGCCATCTCGTTTGCCATGTGCTGCCGGAAGCGGAGCTTGCTCTGGTCGACGCCGAGCTTCTGCAGGAAGAGGAAGATGCGCACCAGGAAGTAGCCGAGCGTCTCGTTGTCGACGACCTTGTTCCGGACGGCGTCCCCAATCGTCATGCGAACGAGGTCCGTCTTGCCGGACAGCTGCACATCCCGCGGCAGGAGGTCAAGCTCGATGTTCTCGATGTCGGCAAACTTGGGGTGCTGCTTGCCACTCTTGGGGTCGACGTAGTGCTCGACTTCGGCCATCAGGAACTCGCGCACACGCAAGAGGCCACCGCGGGGCGAGATCTCATTCCGGTACGACTTGCCGATGGAGGCCGAGGCGAAAGGCATCTGGCCCTGGTTGAACTCGAGAAGCTTGGCGAAGTTGAGGAACTGACCCTGGGCCGTCTCCGGGCGCAGGTAGCCGGGAGAATTACTGCTGGGGCCGATCGAGGTCTGGAACATCAGGTTGAAGGAGACCGGAGGCGACGGCTGGACGCCGGTGGCCGGGTTTCTGAGGTCATACTTCTTGATGAGCTCGCCAAGCTCCTCGCCATTGTAGTTGTCAATCTTGGCGAGAACCTCCCCGTATTCCTGCACAACCGCATCGTCAAGTTTGACGGCCTCGGTCTTCTGCTTCCTCTTCTTCTTCTTGGCATCGGCCGCTGGCTCCTCTCCGTCGACTTTTTGTCCGCGCGCCTCCTTATCGCCGTTCAGCCTAGCCTCCAAGACATCCTCGACGAAGTGGTCGGCTCGGAGAATGTCGCCGTTCTTTGGGTCCTTGCACATCCAGTCGGCGAACTTGTCCACATGGCCACTAGTCTTGAGCACCTCGAGCGGTGTCAAGACCGTGCAGTCGACCTCGAGCATGTCCTCTTCGAGAACGAAGTGCTTGCGCCACAAATCGATAATGTTCGCCTGCAGCGCACAGCCGGGGGGGCCGTAGTCAAAGAGACCGGCAGTGCCGCCGTAGATCTCGAATGCCGGGGTGAAGAACATGCGGCGACGCAGCATGGCATCGAGGACAGGGCGGTCGAGGGGCTGGCCCTTGAGGGTCGTAGCCTTCGAAGTCATATTGGGCTGCTTCTTTTGCGGCACGAAGACTTTGGCTCGAGAAAGTTGGCTTGTGGTAGAAAATGTGCGATGCGCGGGGGGCAAATGGGCCTGCCAGACTTCACAGAAGCTGGATTTTGAACGAATTGAAAAGGATGAAAGGGAAAAGTAGCGAAAAGAACTCATCCACCTCTCGGTTCAACGGTTGCTACACGAGGAATGCAAAGTGACTCACCAGCCCTGGACCGTAGACACTTACTCGATCGAGGCGGCGGAAGAGAACAGGGTAAGTGCAAAAGAGGTTTGCATGGAGGGGTTGCGAAGCAGTGTGACGGTGACTCTTAATATGGGCGTAGGTGTGGAGAGCGGTACAATAGGTCCAGTCCGTCTCTTGTTTTTTTCCTCCATAGGTATATATTTGCTGCAAGCCCCGCGTCTACATATGCACGACACGCGTGATGGGGCGGGGAGGTACCCGGAAAATCCTTGCTCCGATAAAAGGGATGGCCCGACCAAGCACGACTCGAACTTCGTACCGCACCAGGGGCTTGACTCGACTTCCCCTCTTCTAGCCGAGAAATTTGCCTTTCGGATTGTGAAAACCACCCTTATGTACCCCCTGGCAAGTAACCTTCCCCTTGACAACATTGCTTGATTCCACGTACCTTACGAAGTGGACTGCCCTGCAGAGCAAGCCTACCTTACCTAGGTAGATCCCCTACCTACTACCCGGGAGGGGGGGTTTATAGGTTAGAGCTCGGATAGAGACTTTTGCTCTGACTAGAGCCAGGACAGAGAAATTTCTGTCGATATGATGTTCTAAGACTGTTGACAGACTGACAAGTTATCGGGCTCTGTCCTATACCCCCCCAAACCCGGGTACCTTAGGTAGGTTAGTACTTACCTCCAAGTCCATACAAAGCAGCCAACTTCCTGAATACCTAGGCAGATTATGAGATTATGGATTTTCTATAAAAAGATTTTGCAGAGCTTCTTCCGTACATTATACCGTCTTATCGGCCTCCCCAGCCTGCTAGATACGAATGACAAGCATCCCATCCGTCAAAGTATGGTGATCTTGCCGAATCCCCGTATCCGGCGCTTCTCGCAAGGTATTCGAGGATCATGTTGCTCCAAAGCCAGCTTCCAGGCCCTTTGCCCGGGTGTGTCTGGTCCTTGTACAGCATAGAAAGCGAGGTGATGATGCGTCCCCACTCGAACACCTCGTGGTCTGCCTGTTCAGCAACCGCTCTCGATAGGCGGTCCAGCTCGTAGATACTCGCATCCGTGGCGTCGCTTTCACGGTGAACCGTCATGGCCCTGAACATGGTAGGGACGTCGGGGAATCGCTCGCTCAGACGCCGTACCATTTTCTTGGTCCGCGCTGCCACGAAGCGGATCTCCTGCCACACCAGCTGCCTCTTCCGCTCGCCCATGGGGTCTTCTTCGCCGAAGTGCGCTTCAGCCGCCTCCCACAGCGCCCGCTGGTCCCACAGGCCGTTTTGCCACAGCAACAGGTCTGGCTGGCCGGTCGGTCCCCGGCCGGTCGTCTCCAGCAAAGGAGCCCACATGGATTCCCAGCGTTCCTCGAAGGCAACCTCTTCCATGTCCTCCATCCACCACCACTCGGGCTTGTACGTGAACGAACCCGGGAAGTGCCAGTGAATGAGTGTCAGGTTCAGCGTCGGGATCGCGCAAGTGGCCGTCGTGTGCGGCTTGGGCTGCCGCATGCCGCGGCCGAATTCTTCGCAGAGGAATTGGATCATGAACCTGTCGACCGAGTCTCCCAGTATAATGACGCGCCGACCCCATAGCCAACCTAGGCCGCCGTCATCCTTCATCTCCGCAAAGTGCGCCGCCTTCTGCTTTTTCATCTCGACCTGCACGGCATTGCCGCGGCGTTTGTCTTCCGCAAGGGCCAGTTGCATCCACTGTTGCGGGTTGGAAGTAGATTGGAGGAAGGCGGGCTCTACCTCGGTGCGGTTGAAGAATACGTCCATGCCCCCAGGCGCAGGGTACTCTGCGTAGCTCGGAACATCGCCGTCGAGGAATTCTTGTGTGTACGGTATCCAGCGGGTGTTCTTGTAATCGTCGGGATCGATATAGAGATAGCCAGGGCGGCGATAGGGGTCGGCGCAGTTGTAGACCTCTGTGGGGGAAGCGTGTCTGCCAAGTGAGGAGAGTCAGCGCCGAGCTCACATGCTATGCCACGTTGGGATCTGAATCGGTCCACCCCTGGCCATGCACGGTTGAAAGGGTCGAGCTCGCCAAGACAGATGTGAAGATGAGGAGCATACTTATTGATCGCTGAACCTATTTTATCCTGCGCCTTTTGTGCATAATCCCATGAAGCTTTTGAAAACGACTCGGAAAAGATGAAAATAACTATGAAAAGACAGGCGCAGCATGCAATGAATATGCTGATGGCAAAGCGTGTCGTGCACCCTGGGGCGGACAGCATGGCGAATGTTCAAGAGACAGAGTCACTGGGCATTTCTCAGACGAAGAGCATTCGTAATATAAAAGGGAGGGGGTCGCTACTTAAAGCGTCTACTGTAGTTTGTAGGTAAAAAGTAATTCCAGAGTATTTGACCAAGGGGAAGGCTAAAATAGGGGGTATGGAGTGCTGCCGCTGATCGGCAAGGGGTATAAACCTGCAACCGATCGGCAGTAGCAGTACACGTACAATGAAGATGAATGCCGGCACCGGGAAGTGATCGGAATTACTTGTATTTTCTGCTTACCTAGGTAGGTACAAACGTGGTAATTAAAACGGCCTCAAGGTCAAGGAACGGGAATTTTCCCCTAGGGCGTTTCGACGAACCACAAGCCTTACCTTAATTACCCTATACCTGAAGGTAAGGTAGGTGGGTAGAAGGTGTCCGTTTTCCGTCGCATCAAAATTATCGTCCATCTTGGACTTCGAGATCTCCAATCAGGTGTACACCGTACTCCGTACCTACCTTATAAGGTACCTTACATAAGCCCACCCTTGCTCGACGTGGTACAAGTACCTCAGGTACAGACCCCACTGTAGGTACTGGTTTCTCAGTCTCATTGCTTTATCGCCCGACGTCGAAATCAAATTTTTCTTCTTTTGAATCGAAGCCTGATTTCAAGGGGTCAACTGATGCTGAGATAACTCAATCTCATCTCATCACTTGCAATGGAATTTTAAAGAGTTGGTCTGCGCCCAGAAGACGATTATACACCGTAACCCCTGGCCTTTCCGATATCGACTGTGGGTACGGAGGACTGACATCGGTACACGTACTATTGTCAAGGAGGTGGGGCATGTGAACTCCACTAAAATTTCTATCCTTCAGATCTTTTTGATAGCAGACTGGAAGAAGCATCAACTCAATCAGAACCATTTTGCGCACATTGTTCCGCCATCGACACAATGGGCGCCCACAAAGGCAGGAAGCCCTCCTCGGGAGACTCCCTCTCAAAGAAAACTAGTAACAAGCTGAAGAGGCAACAACTTTACATCCTACACAAGAAAGACAAGGACAAGGAATTGCGCGAGCAGCGGTTTCGAAGGAAAAAAGAGGAAGACAAGGACCCCGAACTTCGAGCTGCCCGACTCGCCAAGAACAAACCGCAAACCCTCGAAACGAAACGAGTATGGGATGACGTGGACGACGACGGTCTGGGCGTACAGGTCGATGTCGAGCAGCTGAAAAGGCGGCGGCTCGAAGAGGAGGAGCGAGCGCAAATGGGGGCCATTGACGAGGAGGAAGAAGACGACGACGATGACGACGACAGCATGCTAGCGTCCGATGACGAGGAGGGCGAGGATAACGAGGCTAAGAAGGAAGCCTTGGAAAGGAAACGAGAGAAGCGCGCGAAACGAGATACCAGCCTGGCCCCGTCCACGACCAGTACGAACCTCGACCTCACGCCCTCGTCGCTGGCGGCCAAGTTCCCGACGCTCTTCACCGACATTCCCCCGCCCACGCCCAAAGTCCTCATTACCACTTCCTTGAACTCGACGCTGCACAACGAGGCCGACGTCTTCTGCACCGTCTTCCCCAACTCCACCTACATCCGACGCACCAACCATCGCTACGGCCACAAGTACTCGCTCCGCGAGATCAGCCGATTCGCCGCCAACCGTGAATACACAGCCGTGGTCATGCTCCGCGAAGATTCCAAGAAGCTCACTGGCCTGACCGTCGTGCACCTCCCGTCTGGCCCTACCTTCACCTTTTCCATCACAAACTTCATGGAAGGCCGCAAGCTCCCGGGCCACGGCAACCCCACCAACCACTACCCTGAGCTGCTCCTCAATAACTTCAAGACTCCTCTTGGACTGCTCACCGCTAAGCTGTTCCAGACACTGTGATTAGCCCCCTGCTCCCCTACCCACTTGGCCCCTCCCAGGGGGTGGGCGACGAGAGAGATGGGAATTATGCTGACCAGTCTGCCTACCCTTGCTTGTACAGATTCCCGCCCCAGCCCGAGTTTCAGGGGCGTCAAGTTCTCACGATCCACAACCAACGTGATTTCCTCTTCTTCCGCCGTCATCGGTACGTATTCCGAGACAAGCGAGCGACAGAGAGGAACATTACCGGAACGGACGGCAAGGACATGGAAGGTGTCGAGGGTATTCGGGTAGGATTACAGGTAAGTAGTATCTACCATTCGTCTTTTTTTCTTCATGCTCCGAAAGGGGCCTGCTGGGGTATCGATTCTGATGTAGAAGTGTCCAGGAGGTGGGACCTCGATTCACGCTGAAGCTGAGAAGAGTGGACAAGGGCATCGGCCGTGCGGGAAGCGAGGGCGACGATGCGCTACAGTGGGAATGGAAGGGCAAGATGGAGAAAGACCGGAAGCGCTTCAACCTGTAGGGCGATGCGGTTGAGAGATACCCCCTTAAAAAGACGATCCAACGATGAACAGGATGACAACATTATTTCTGAGCGAAATCCATATGGGTGTGTGTCTAGTGAAAGCGATGAACAGTGACCTAGGCCGTTATGAAACGACCTGCGAATTTGGTGCGCCATTCACGCCATCTCGTCTGCGCCCGGAAACTGAAGAGTGAAGAAATTTCGAAGAGGGCGGAATATATCCAAAAACGCCAATGCATGCAGAAAAGAAAGCTAAGTAGAAAAAAACTCCCCATGTATGCCCTCAGTTATCTATTTTGTCCGTCCATCCCTCCGGTTTTCAAGGATCTAAAAATGTTGGGGGTATCTAAGTATATACAGAAGAAGCGAAGGGTTTGTCTATAATTCATCATGGTATGTCGTAATAACACAGGTGGAATTGTCTATGTTCCCCCGAGAGGGCAAGACGGGAAGAAAGCACAAGTAGAGCAAGGTCGCCGCAGCTCCTACTTTTGCTGCAGTTGCTGTCGTTCTTTCCGCTTGTGCTGTAGCATGACAGCAGAGTAACTGAGATGCGCGTCAGCGGTAGTTCAACAGAAAGGAGCAGGGAAAGAGGCGCAATAGGGAACCCACATGATGATGCCACTGATGGCAATGAGGACGCCAAGGATGGACTTGTCATGAATGGCACGACCCGAGACCATCCACCCCAGGGCCACAATAGCGCATGTCTTCACATGGCCGACAACCGTGCTGGAAACCGGACCTGCCTGGGCAACAATGAAGAATTGGGAGATGTTGAGGACGGAGGCGCAGAGTCCAGACTGAAGAGACGGGTCACTGATTAGCATCTTGGCCATACTGGAAGGTGGGCGTGGGAGTGGGAGACGGCAGGTGGAGGGAAGCTTCTGAGGGCAAGGACACAGAAGGGGGGGGGGTTCAAACTTACAATCAGAATGAGGATCCAGCGGGGCAAGGGGACCTCAGTCCAGACGGGGAAACGGTCGATGAATGGAACCAGATAGAGGAGCATGAAAGCGGAGACGGGGGCTTGGTTGTACAGGAGCTGCATGCTGGACATCTTGAGCTTGCGGTGGTAGCTCCCAATCCAGACGGTGTATAGGGATGAGGCGAAGATGCCGGCGAAGGCAAAGATAACGCCGAGCATGGACGTGGTCTTGATCCCAGAATCATCAGTAGGGCGCGAGTCGTAGTAAGACACTATACCGACGCCAGCGCAGGCCGGGACCAGGGACAGGACGGCGGCAAGGGGCATGGTGGCGCCATACAGGACGAAGTTCATGAGTGCGACAGTCGGAGTCAGGAGGATACGGGCGATTTGATAGAAGGTGACGGAGGAAAAGGCGAGTGAGAAGTTGGGGAGAACCACGTTTAAGCACATAGCGACGGACAGCGGGATGAGATCCTTGATGCTGGCACTCCGGGGAGTGAAAAATGCGAAGCGAGGACGCGAGAGGATATGGAGGGTCAGCCAGGTGATGAAGAAGTGGAAGGTTGCGAAAGAGAGCTGGAGGAATTTCAGGCCAGGGTCGGAAAAGATGGCCTTGTTGGCGAAGACCTGGAAATATCAGACTAGTTAGTTCACAGACCCCAGAACAGAGAGGTCGAAGGAGGGAGCCATCATACAATGCCAACCGTCGCAATCGTGTTGACAACCATCCATATGAGGGCAGACTTGAAGTTGCTCTTCGGAGTCTCGCTTTGCTCTGTCCTCCGTGGCAGCAGCCTGGTGTGTTCGTTTGCCTCCTCGTCGCCGTCGTCACGGCGAGCCTCCAAATCGCAGGCTCGCTTTAGCTGCGGGAAATCATCGTCTAGTTCGTCCTCGAGAGGGTCGCTCTTGAGCAGGTTATCCCTTTCCTCCAAGCTGCCGGTAGCCGTTGCAGAGGAGGCAAAGGACGGCACCCGTGATAGAGTGGGCTGCTGCTGCTGCTGGTCGTCAGACATGATTCTGCTGTGGTCGCCGCGGCCAAGCAGGCCTTCCAAAAGGCTGAGGAGTTAGTCGGCGGTATGGACGGACGGTCGATCGTAGGTCGGCAGTGGATGTGGTTCTCGGCGGTGACAGGCGATATAATAGTACGGCTATCGAGATGGGTATCGACGAGCAGTGAAGTCCTCCGTGGGGTGTCTTAGGGTACCGGTTTGTGGTGTCAAGGAGATGGAGAAGGAAATCTGAGAACTAGAGAGACGGCAAGCTGTGACAATGATAAAACATGGCAAAGGCAACGCCATGTGGATTGCTGGGATCACAGTCGACTTTATTGATCTTTGTTGCCACCGGAACGTAGCTTCGAAGTCCCAGTCCAAGTCCTAGCTCCCCCGTTGCTGAAGACCCGACGCGCCGGCATGACCGTCCGTGTATCTCGCAGGGCCAGAATCCAGAGAAAAGGCGGTGGTCGCGAGACCTCGTCGTGAATAGCCGTTGGGTCCATCGGGAACCCCCCCTGCGCCCAGCGGACGGCCAAGCCGACAACCCCAGTGCAAGGCTGTGGGAGGGTTCTCTCAAAGGGACCCGTTGCTGGGTACAGTAGGAGGCGTCGGCATTGCTCCGGGTTGCAGACACGACTGAGAAGGCACTCTGCCACTGTCAGATTCCAGAAACAGTATCTGGAGCGGGAGAGGTATTTTGGGGACGCCGTCCACCATGTTAGAGCACCTGTACCTCATTGTCACAGAGCACCACTCTCTGCAGAGGAAGTACTTTAGTGTACTTACGGTCCGTGATCCACTAAGGTACTACCAGGGTAATGTACAGCTTAACATGCGCAGGGGCTCCCCGCAGTTAGTTCCTCGTCCAACGGCCTGGGGACAGTCGGCTCAGGTACAAGGCACAAGTCCCATATACACACCAATCCGAGGACTTTCCAGGTGCGATGAGCCTGCAGCCTTAAGGTATTTTGGGGTATATCGTCACTGGTACGTGTCACTTGTACATTGCCGGAAATACTGCGTGCAATTTGTTAAGGCTGCCGTTGACCCAGTCTGAGGGTCCGATCGACCAAGGCGGTCCCCCGAGAGCACGACGCTGCTCTTCCGAAGCCACCCCCGACCACCTAGGTAACCTGCCCGTCGCTATATCCTACCTTGTTCGGTACCTGTCCCACGACAGTCACCTATTCTAGGCAAGACCGCTTGTTCTGGAGATCGCTGGATATTTTGAAGGTTTTTCTTCCCCGTTCATGTCATCATAAGCCGGTCACACCGCAACTACTGCTCCATCGCAGTTCACGATCCTCTAGTATAGCGTGCGAGACCGAGGCGCACTATCTTCTCGCTTTCAGCCCAGCTTGCGGACCACAGCAACATTATTTACCGGGTTTGTTTCTGTTCTCCATTTAGGAAATTGGGCATTGCAGCTTCTGTAGGGTGGCCAACGTATTAAACCACATGGGAAGATGCCGCATCTGGTGGCAACTCTCCATCCGTGCCTCCCGGCGTCGTCCATTTGCCACCAAGCCCCTCAGTATTTAAACTTCGCGATCGCGAGGCGAGCGCGTTCGAGTTGCTACCTAGATTATTAAACTTTCAACGGCCAACGGCACGAGCACCACGTGCATTCGCTCCTGAATTTCTGGGAGCATGGTAGGACATGTAAGATCACATCGTCCCCGTATCACCAGCCCAGACATTCGCTTGTCTGGAAACCCCTCAGATTCACAAGTAACCGGAATAGGCCCGTCTTGTGGCCCAGTGGTTTTTGAGCTCCGAGACTGTCCTTGCCATCGACAACCGTTACATTGACAGACTGGCAGTCGACCAGCGTTGCCTTCTCAGATCACAGTTATATTCACTTGTTATCGTCAGCTTTAGGTCGGAGGGTTTATGTCCAGAGACTATGAATGAGAAGCATGGCTGCAATGAGACTGGCTGGTTCACCAAATCGCAAGAGCCATCGGAATGCCCGGCATGCTTGCCTGTAATTCTTAGGGACAAGAGAAGAAGGCGCGAGACGAGCGAATACGGCCCCCGCCAGTGCTCCTCAGCCTCTGGAGGGCGGTCCGTTGTTTTACGGAGTTTCCGACGTTGATGTCAGGGTGTCAGGGTGTCAGGGTGTCAGGGTATAATTAGCTTATTTCCAATATTAGCAGGCTGGTGGATCCGGGCGGCTGTAAGGCAAATCGCTTGTTTCTCCCTTTTCCCAGCCCGTGCACAGCTGAGTAAACCGTGTATGGAAGGTCTGGAAAACGTAGAAGGCCCGCATTTCCTCGGACGAAAGACCAGAATACCACGAGTTACTTTACGAAGTACATTTCATCCCTCCTGTCGGGAATTAGATCCTTGACTTCCGCCAGTTTCACTGCTCTACGAAGTACGGTACGAAATAATTATTTCGTTGGAGTATTTCGTGGAACCATGGAGGCGGCGGTGCAAAACACTTCCTCACTGGCCTACCCTGTACATGTACATTTGCGTGTCAAGACGACCCCAATTCTACGGATCTGTCTAGGTCCCCAAATCGATTGACCTGCTTCGAAATCGTGCGCATACCAGTAGGTATGCAGGTACATGATGGCTTTCCGAGTAGAGTCCCAGGGCATAGATAACAACAAAGGCGAAATGATGCCTGTACTTGAGGCCAGTCGGCAGATGTGTGAAAAATCGAGGGCCATTTCAGCGGGAACAGAGGGAGGCGTTCACAGTCCTGACGAGCCGCCGCTCGCCGGCGGAGAGCAGACCGCAGCCAAATGACCCACAAGAAACACGGGTTCCATTTGATCCCATTGCGATCCTTTGACCGGGCGCCGAGACGACCGGAAGACCGGGGGAGCAAAAGACTCCAACTGCAAGGGCCGCCACGTGAGAATAAGCAATAGAGGATGCCGGCCGACCAGTGAGATGCATTTCGCATGCGGCCGGACATGGCCCCGATATAGACTGTATAGACTTGCAGCATGTGCGGATGAAGATGGTTGTTGGCTGTTGGCTGTAGCGTTGTGCCCCGAGACCCGCCCCGGACTTGGACGATGGAGATTGATACAGGAACAGGAACAGGAACAGGAACAGAGAATCAGCGAAGGCGCCCCAGCCCACCTTTGGACCGGTTGGGTTTAGCTCGCCCAGGTTAGGAAGGGGAGGGTTCGAGGAACTCCCATCAACGGACGGAATCCCGGCAGGGCGCCATTCGTTCGCACGGGGTCTCAAACGGCCAACCTTTTAAAAGTCACGGCGATCCCCCGTGCTTCGTATTCCATCTGTACGGTCCTGTATTCTCCAAGCAGCTTTCTTGTCCTCTTTTCAGCTATTAGTAGCCAGCAGCGCCCATCCCCAAGCGAGCCAGATACAGCATTTAAAAGACAGTGTCCATTATCGAAGCGCTTCTTCCGTCTTCTGCTTGGCTTTTGCCTCTCAGCCACTCGCCACGTCCAACGCATATCTCGTTATCAGTTTATTCTTTTCTTCTCTTCAGATTGTCGATGCCGCAGCGCAACCAATAAGAGCGGAAATTCATACTAAACCAAGAAGGGACAAAAAAAAACCGAACCGACGTATCAAAGTACTCCGCTCGACACACATCTGCCGACGTCGAACATCAAGTAGTGGCCTCAGACGCACTGGTGGGAACGTTACTTAATCGAACGCCGCACTAACTCCTCGATCTCCTGCCGCCACTCGAGGTGAGGCTCTTAAGCTTGAGTCGATTTCGATTCCGCTTCGGCTTGCGTTGGTCGCGTACGGCATATATCGCGAAGAACTCCAATCTTCTCGCTCCACTCTCCCCATCTTTCCCAGACTTCACACATCGCCGTCGCAATGGCCCCTAACGGAACTACCACCTGTGAGTTTCCTATCGCCCTATGCTGCTAATGCTGCACCCGACCCCCTAGGACTGGCCCCTACTCAGTCGTGATGGCTTTTCGTTGCTAACCGCTCCTTCCCTCGCACAGCTCGCGGCCATCCCGCTCGCAAGAAGTTCTTCGAGGACTTCGGCATCTGGAAGGAGGCCCCTCTTCTGACTGGCACCACCAAGTTTGAACCCCTCCCCCATGTCAAGAATATCATGGTCACAGGTGGAGCTGGCTTCATGTAAGTTTCTCCCCAAGACCTTTTCCTTTCACACTGTCACCTGGTCTCAGAGTACACGAATGAGCGATGAGCCTAGTGGATAGGGAAAAGCCACCCTCAACGGGCAGGACAGTCTGGCTGATTTCAAGTGTAGCGCTTGCTGGTTCGTCCGCCACCTTACCATGACCTATCCCGATGCGTACAACATTGTCTCCTTCGACAAGCTCGACTACTGCGCGTCGCTCAACAATACCCGTGCCCTCAACGAACGCCACAATTTCACCTTCGTCCAAGGTGACATTACTAACCCCAACGAGGTGCTCAACTGCCTGAAGCGCTACAACATCGACACCATCTTCCATTTCGCCGCCCAGTCCCACGTCGATCTGAGCTTCGGTAACTCGTACGGTTTCACCCACACCAACGTCTACGGCACCCACGTGCTCCTCGAGGGCGCCAAGAGCGTTGGCATCGGCCGCTTCATCCACGTTTCCACCGACGAAGTCTATGGTGAGGTCAAGGACGACGACGATGACCTTCTCGAGACCAGCATTCTGGCCCCGACCAACCCCTACGCCGCCAGCAAGGCCGCCGCTGAGATGTTGGTCCACTCGTACCAGAAGAGCTTCAAGCTCCCCGTCATCATCGTGCGGAGCAACAACGTTTACGGCCCGCACCAGTTCCCTGAGAGTAAGCGAACCCGATTCTTACCGGCCTATTTTTCCTTCTCCTCTTCTTTTCTTTTCTTTTTCTTTTCTTTTTCTTTTCTTTTTTCCCTTTTTCCCCCCCAGCCCCAAAGCCCAGCACCCCCTTTCCCACCTGCCAGTTGCTGACATAGACCACCAGAGATTATTCCCAAATTCACCTGCTTGTTGAACCGTCGCCAGCCCCTCGTCCTTCACGGTGACGGCAGCAATACCCGGCGTTACCTTTTCGCCGGCGACGCGGCCGACGCATTCGACACCATCCTGCACAAGGGTCAGATCGGCCAGATCTACAACGTCGGTTCCTACGACGAGATCTCCAACCTGGAGCTCTGCAGGCTGCTCCTGAAGGAGCTCAACATCCCCCACGAGACCCCGGAGGACTTCACCAAGTGGGTCAAGTACACCCACGACCGCCCCTTCAACGACCACCGGTACGCCGTCGACGGCACCAAGCTGCGCCAGCTCGGCTGGGACCAGAAGACCAGCTTCGAGGATGGCCTGAAGATGACCGTCGACTGGTACCTCAAGTTCGGCGAGGAGTGGTGGGACGACATCACCCAGGTGCTCACGCCTTTCCCCATCGTCACCAGCCTGGAGATCATCGGCGACAAGGAGCCCGTCTCGGACAGGCCTCTCGTCAAGACGGTTCCCGAGCCGATCAACGGCAAGAAGAGGAAGATCGAGCGGGCCAACGGCGTCCATGCTGTCCCGGTTTGAATACGATGAAACGGCAACAGGCAAGGCACGGATCCCGCCTTGCTCTCTCCCCCCCACTTTTTTCTTTTTTAGAAAAGAGAAGTCCACTAGACTCGGCGTACTAGATGGTTTGCATAGAAGCTGGAAGCGTTACATTGATGGCATGGCATGACTTTCGGGCGAGCAAGTTCAGGAAAGCGAGAGCATCATCTCCCATTTCTTTTTTATATTTTTTCATTGCGCTTTCTCAGCCCGTTTCTCTTATTGTTTCTCTCGCGTTTCTGCCGCGTTATGTATCTATCATGTTCCATGCTTTGCGGGGATTCCCACGATGACTTTTTTTATGGGGGACACATGGCGCTTGGTTGAACTTGCAGCATATAGACGCATTGGAAAGCTCATGTGCCCTGGGCCGGGCTTTGCTGTAATCGATAGATTTGAATGCAATGAATACACTCTGCTTCGTGCACCTACTTCGTGACCTGGAAATGGTCGTGAACCACGACGTGCTTCCGTCGGGATGGCCGACGCCCTCTCATTCCTCGAAAAGCGCAAAGGAAGGAAACGATGACAGGTGAAAGTCAGGTAATGCAACCTCACCCAACATGCTGAATTGTCCAGCTAAGCCAGGAGCAGTACGCACGAGCAGGGGTCACAGGGAGTAAGGAGAAGAGGCAATATCTGACAGATGTAGCGATGGAATTGTAACAACGGTGGGTGGTTCATGAAGCGCACCGTGCTCTGACTCCCGCCAGGACCATTGGGTGACAGCGGGAATTTATTTAAGAAATGGGCCGGTCTCCGCTGGAAATTCTTGGGTTAACGTTGAGGAGGAGCACTCTTTATTGCTGTCCAAACATCCATCTCCGTAACCGTACTTCCATCCATAAGGTTAGTTTGTAAGGTAGGTATGGCATGGCAACACCAATTAGACTATCCTGTTCAAAGACTTATATTATAGGGACCCTCCTGATACTGCCTAACTCATTAATCTGCAGACACGCGTACTCAAACACTCCGGAGTCAACCACGGGCTTGTTAGGCGTCTCGTTTCCACGATGCCAAGGGGTACTTTCAAGCTAAGGAGAGAGCCAACGGGGCGCTAAACCAAGCCTATCCCCATTGCAACGTCGAAATGCGTAGACAACGTGGTTAAAAGGTAAGGCAGCCTTACCTTATTCGCTGTTTCGTCAAGTCGGTCCGTGCCAAAGTCGTTTATGGGATGGACGTCCCAGGTCCAAGTCTGTGGTGGACGAACCGAGCCTCGGCTTCTGCAGATAATTACCTACAGACATGCCCAGTCCGCTACTCGGTCCCGCTGGCATGTGTCGTATTCGTACTTTGTAGTTGCCCATCTGTGCATGTGTTGTAGCTCCCACGCGACAGCAGCATGGGAAAACCGAATGCGTTTAACTTGTACGGACTTCAGGACTGTCATTTCGGGGGATTAAGGGAAATCTTTGGGGCCCAACCAGACGACCGACGGTATCCCATGCCCGCATACCCGGTCACCTAAACCTGCATACATGTACATATGTTGATTAAAAGGGCGCTGGGCCCCTCTCATCGGGTGCCCCCCGTCCTGTATTACGAAGTGCATGCCTATACATACATATACATACAGCACCTCAGGAACGCTACCAGCGAGAACGAGGTGAAAATGTGTATGTGTCGACAACAAACGGCACGGAGATGAAAATGGCCTAGGAGCGGCGGTGACAACGAACCTTGAAAGTAGGTAGGCGAAGGATGAAGTAATAGAAATAGAAACCCCTATTGTGAGATAGGTAAGGTATAGGTAATGAAGAATTAGAGGCTTTATCCAAACGGATGGGATCGGACCACCAGAGTCGTACAGTATCTGTACTTCAGAGGAAGTATCCGTACAAGTCGTAGCTAAGGTAGCCTAATACCAAGCCCCTGGACCCTGACACACCAAGGGCCGCTAGCTTAGCACGACCGAAGGACCATTCCATTTCCGTCTCAACTAACCCAGACGTATTTTTTTTTTCCTTCTTTTTTTTGCGGGGACAATGCACCCTGACTGGAACCAGCCCAGCCAGACAAGACGAGGATACCTCCACAGCAAACTGGCGATGCGCGCACCAACCACTTGGGCGGCTGATGCCTCCCCACTGGGGCCAGCCCATCTGCGCATAGACCAACGGAAGTGTGTTCCCCCCAAATCTCTAGCTCCCGGCTCCCGCAGCTGTCCTTCCATTCACACTTTCCATACCTCCGTATTACCTCCTCAATTTGCTTCCTTCGTATACACATTCTCGTCGCTCGCTTCAACGCTCCAACTTCCCTTTGGTTTCTCGGATCTATTGCTATTCAAGCAAACGAACTTCGGGCGATTGTCCGCTTTGCCTGGCCACTACGCCCCCTTCGGAAAGTCCTCGAATGGCCCCCTTCTCCATTCCTCATCGGCAAGCCAGGCAGAATAGAAGTAGGAGTGAGCGGTCGTCCGAATCACCAAAGTATTCTCATCGCAACAGCCGTTCTAGCCTCTTTGGCGCAGTTTCCACATATTCTTGATTCTTCACTCTGAAGAACGCTCGCCGTCTCTCTTTCTCTCTCTTTTTTCCTCCCTCCCACCCTCGACAACCACGCGTGCGAGACTGGTCTGGTGTCGCGCCAGGGTTGGGTCGGGGTTTTGGCTGTGGCCAACTAGCATGACATACGCGGCGTGCCTGTGGAGATTACCGCGGTAGCTCTAATGGCCAAGAGTCGTCGAACGAAGAAGCGCAAGGCATCCCGTCAGCACGACCCGCAGAGATCGCTGGATCGGAATACCATGTCCACCCTCTCCACCGAAGGACAAACCAGTGACGGCGCGCTGTCGAGTGATGTCCCCGAAAGCGAACAAGGAACCGGCACGGAGCTGACGAGCGTCGCGGGTTCTGAGGAATATGGGATGACCAGTGTCAGCAGCACCCGTGACGCTGATGATCGGGAATCGGACGTGAGCGATGGCGTGTCCACCTTTGCTCCCCCGAGCGAATACCCTTCTATTGTGACTGCTTATCGGTCGGAGATGCCCTATGTGACCGATCAAGACGTGGAAATGTTAGTGTGCTACCCTCTTCCGTCCCATTCATTCTACCTCTTACATTTGCCCCCCCCCCCCCTTTTTTTTTCTTTTCTTCTTTTTCTTTCTTCCCTTCGTTCTCCCCCTCAGCCCCATCCTAGCTATCGGCACGGGGTAGCAACACTTACTCCCACGTAGCGTCGCAACTAACACCAGCTGTAGGGCATCGACACGGTCTCTCACTGAACAAGATCTGGATTACCGCTGGATTCACGGCCGCCGCTACTGCCAGACATATTACATGCCAAATGACGAGTACGAGCAGTGCCGGTTGAGTCTTCTTCACAGGACTTTCCTCGAGATATTCGGAGGCGAAGTATGCACGGCACCGATCCAGAACCCGCAAAAAGTCCTAGACATCGGTACGGGCATCGGCGAATGGGCCATGGCATTTTCGGACAGATACCCAGGGTGTGAGGTGATCGGGACAGACATATCGGCCATCCAACCGACATCTGTGCCGGCCAACTGCTTCTTTGAGATCGACGATGCGGAACTGGAATGGGAACGAGAAGCCGACTCTTTCGACCTGGTCCACATGCGGGATCTCATGGGTGCCTTCCGCGACTGGCCCTTTATCTATCAGCAGGCCTACAAGGTCCTCAAGCCCGGCGGCTGGTTGGAGATCGCCGACTTTGACAACTCAGGGAGCGGCGTCAAGTCGATCGTTTCCAACTTCCCTCCAGACTCGGACATGCATAGGCTGGCCGCGGAGCTGGTTACCGCGGCGAACAAATCAGGACGGCAGCGTAACCTGCACCACGTCAATCCCGTGTTCCTGACCGACGCAGGGTTCGTCGACGTCAAGATCACGGAACACGTCATCCCCATCAATATCGAGGCCAACGAGGGCAAGCTCTGGCTAATTGCCTGCGTGGACGGCATGGAGGCGTTGACATTGCGGCTGCTGACCCAGTACATGGGATGGGAGCCTCAGAAGCTGAAGGAGGCCTGCTACAATGTGGCCAGGGACATATCTCGGATTGCGAGAGACCCGATAAAATCCAAGGGACTCAATATCAAGGTTCGCGTCATGATCGGCCGGAAACCGATGAACCCGAAACCGAACAAGGACACGACAGGCAAGCCGGGCGAGGAACCGGAACGAAAGCCAGAAGATGTTGCGCGGGAAGGGAACGAGTAAAGTGCGCACCAAGATGCAAATCTGGAAGGCCGCAGAAGCTTTCAAAGAAAAGGCCAACTCGATATACGCGGACGCGCACGGATCAGTCGTCGGACGAAGGGCCGAGTCAGAGAGACGTGATAGAGTCTCAGCAATCGTCAGCATCGCCATGTTATGTCGTATCTGCGGCGACGGACGATTTAGGGGCTGTGTTGAAAACAGTGCGGGAATAGGGATACTGTGAATCATAGAGGGACGGGCTTCATATCTTCGTTGTACATTTTTCTTCTTCTTTTGTTTTTTCTTCGTCCCTTCCGGCCATTTGTTGGGATTGAGCGACTTCTTTTCTTCTTTCTTTCCCTTTTTAAGCCATTCATTGCACGAATATCAGCTCGCGAAATTCTTGGGCGATGTTTTACCTCGTTTCGATCTAGCATTTCTTGTACGTGCTGGTGTGTGCCGTCTGCATTGCAAGGAGAGTGTACGTACGAACGCATACAGATGCCCATTGTTATGATATATCACCGTTAGACTTCGTATAATTATATGTTTTAGTCGCTCGATGTACGCAGTATTATGTCCTGAAAGTACGAGTACTCCACTATTGGGAAGTGGGGAGAAAGCCCATATGTCACACAGTACATATTCAGACCATCTATTTATGTGAGAGATGAGGTATCCAGTACTGCGCTCTTCCAGGCGTCAAGATGGCAAGGTACCTAACAGCTGCATAAGGTTAGGTAAGGTACCTTAGCTTGCTGAGGTGGGCAACTCACGACCAGAGCTTCCCCAATCCACCATCCACCGACATCATTCTCCCCCCCAACAGCCTCAGAAACGTTCCAACTTCACCACGGAAGATCCCTCCAACCGCCGACCAAGAACTCGCGGGAAACGAATCCACCGGTCAGAGCTGTAAACCAACCTCGACTTCAACCTCGTATGGCCAGGACGAGCAGATGACCCTGCCAGTATGGCGCTCAACTCATCCGACGGCTTCGCGGCCGGCAACGGGGCGCTGCTCGACCTTAGCTTAGGCGACGGGACTCTGCCCATGTTTGTCGTCGAGCGCGTACAGCTGCAGTTCTCCGTAGCTGCCGATTTTGTTGCTGCCCAGGTCGCGAATAATGTCCTCGTCCTGGCGCTCTCCAATGGCCGCATCTTGCGTATCGACTTGAATAGACCCGAAGACATTGACGGTACGGTGTGCTCTGCTGCCCCCTTGTTCTCAATTTTCCCATGTCTCGATTCTCTCCATAAGGCCCATAACGAATGCAAGATGGGCCAAGGCTGACAACGAATCTTCAGACATCGACTTGCCCAAGAAGACCACCGAGGTCGGCGTCATCCGTCGTATGTTCCTCGACCCAACCGCTTCCCATCTTCTCATCTGCACCGCTCTCGGCGAGAATTATTACCTCCACTCCCAACAAAAGCACCCCCGCCCGCTAGCCCGCCTCCGTGGCGTGTCCATCGAAAGCGTGGCCTGGAATCCGGCCCTGCCGACCGCCTCTACGCGAGAGATCCTGCTCGGCGCCTCTGACGGCAACGTCTACGAGGCCCTCATCGAAGCTACTTCCGAATTCTACAAGAAGGACATCCGGCTGAAGAATCTCCACCGCCTACAGGATGGCTCTATCACGGGGCTGTGGGCGGACGCCCTGCAGGGCAAGGCCGACGTGCGGAGGGTCATGATCGCTCAACACCACCGATTGTTCCATCTTTCCGGCAAGATCGGACATGGCCACGACAGCAGCGGTTCGGTTTATACCAAACTGTTCGAAGCAGAGCAGCCCACAATTCACGAGCTGTCGCGGACTCCCTCTGTCGCCGCTCCGTCCGCGCTCGTTGTATCCCCCGACCCGCCCGAGACGAACCCCTACGAGGACGAACGTGTGGAACGCGCATATGCCTGGCTCTCGTCTCAAGGCGTTTTCCACGGCAAACTTCTGGACAGCCTTGAGGCAGACCTAGGCACTCGGGTCTTCTCGCAGTCCAAACTCTTCTCCAAATCACAGCTCATCCCCACAGAGGCCGGCAAAAGGAGAGACGGCCCGGAGTTCATCGATGCCATTGCACTAACGCAATGGCACATTCTTCATCTGGTGGGCGGGCGCGTAGTCGCCACAAATAGGCTGACGGGGGCCATTGTGTATGACCAAATCGTACTCGACCCGGGGCAGAAGGCCATCGGTCTCTGCGTAGACCTTCAGAAGAACACTTTTTGGCTGTTCACCAGCCAGGAGATATTCGAGATTGTGGTCCGCGACGAAGATCGAAATATCTGGCAGATCATGTTAGGTATGCAGCAATTCGACGCGGCGTTGCAGCACGCGAAAACGCCGGCGCAGAGGGAAACAGTAGCGACTTCGTACGGTGACTACTTGGTTGGCAAGGGGCATTTCCTCGAAGCTGCCGCAGTCTATGGTCGGAGCAACAAGCCGTTTGAAGAAGTAGCCCTGTCTCTCATTGACAACGGGCAGCCGGATGCGTTGCGCAAATACTTGCTAGCTAAGCTAGCTACAATCAAGAAGGGGGCCGTCATGCAGAGGATCATGATTGCCACCTGGCTAGTGGAGGTATTCATGGGCAAGTTGAACTCGCTGGACGATTCAATCGTCTCGCAAGCGGAGGTATCACTTAACGGCAACCCCGCGTCGACCAAAGAGCAGCTACGGACCGTGCAGGCGGAATACCAGGACTTCGTTACCAAATACAAGAATGACCTCGACAAACGGACCGTGTACGACGTGATCAGCAGCCACGGCCGGGAGAAGGAGCTGCTCTACTTTGCTACCGCGATCAACGACTACCACTATGTTCTGTCGTATTGGGTCCAGCGCGAGAGGTGGGCCGAAGTCCTCAATGTGCTGAAGAAGCAGACGGACCCCGAGGTTTTCTACCGTCACGGCACTGTGCTCATGACGCATGTGGCCACGGACCTGGTCGACATCCTGATGCGACACGCCGACTTGAACCCCCGGAGGCTCATCCCCGCCCTCCTGGAATACAACCGGAGCTTCACTGGCCCCCTATACCAGAACCAGGCTGTTAGGTACCTGCAGTATGTCATCAACCAGCTCAAGTCGCATGATTCGGCGGTCCACAACACACTGGTCTCCATTTACGCGTCGCATCCGGCATCGGACGAAGCAGGACTTTTGTCCTACTTGGAGTCGCAGGGCGATGAACCAGACTACGACCCCGACTTTGCGTTGCGGTTGTGTATTCAGCACCACAGGACGCTTTCGTGCGTGCACATCTTCACCAGTATGGGGCAGTACCTCCAAGCCGTGGACTTGGCCCTGTCCCATGACCAAGTCGAGCTGGCGTCGGTCATTGCAGACCGGCCCATGTCGAACCCGCAGCTGCGGAAGCGGCTCTGGCTGGCCGTGGCACGCAAAGTGATCACGCAGTCCGACGGCATCAAGACGGCCATCGACTTTTTGAAACGCTGCGACCTCCTCAAGATCGAGGACCTGATCCCCTTCTTCCCCGACTTTGTGGTGATAGACGACTTCAAGGAGGAGATCTGCGCCGCTCTCGAGGACTACAGCCGCAGCATCGACGCGCTCAAGAAGGAGATGGACGAGTCGTCGCAGACGGCCGCCAACATCAAGGTGGATATCGTGGCGTTGGACCAGCGGTACGCCATCGTCGAGCCCGGGGAAAAGTGTTATGTGTGCGGGTTGCCGCTGCTGAGCCGACAGTTCTTCGTGTTTCCGTGCCAGCATTCGTTCCACTCTGACTGTTTGGGGAAGAAGGTGCTGGAGCAGGCTGGCGTGAGGACGAGCAAGCGGATAAAGGAGCTGCAAGTCCAGATCAGCAAGGGTCTTGTTAATGGGGCGAAGAGGGAGGCGATGATTGGGGAGCTTGATTCACTCGTAGCTTCGGCATGGTATGTTCTAGGCTGGAATAGCCAATCCGCCCTCCCCCCGCTGGGGATTTTATTTCCCCTTCCCCGACGACCATATCATTTGCTAACTGAGTTGCAGTATTCTTTGCAGCGAATTTGCCATCAAACGGATTGATCAGCCTTTTATCACACCGCAGGATAATCTGAGCGAGTGGGCGGTATAGCTTGGAGTGGTACTTCGCAGAGTGGTCGTCGATGTCGGTGGGAGGATATTAGCAACACATCTACTTATCTTTTAGAGACATTCTAGGAGTATGTTACTGGTCAGTTCCCATGTTGGCAAATACCCGGTGTTCCAAATATAATCCATCTCGACAACTCTCACATAGCGATATCTACAAGCTGCGCTAGTTCTAGATGAAGAAGTTGACCAAGGCTCCAAGGCTCGAAGGCTTCGTCGTCGGTTAACAACTCCCCCTTTTCCTGCCAGAGGGAATCTATAGTTGGTACTGGGATGGTAGGATAGGGCTCGGCCTGAATGTTAAACCGTGCAGGGATAGGAAAGAGAGCTTACCTTATTTCAGCAAGCCGGGCATGTCGAGGGTTAAGATGCGTACTCTGACCAGTGAGGCTCCTTAATGACACACCGCCCTGGCCTGTTGGCTTACGCCCTCCGGAGTCTAATGACTTTCTATCAGCAGCAGGCAGGTACGCAAAGAGGGAAGGAACCCCCGGCTTCCTGCCCATGTCACCCAGCCACGGAAGGAGTGCCCAAGGGTTTATGCCCCCCCGTATGATACTCACATTTCGGGGGTTTTTCGAGCAGTTGGTGTAGTGGCACTACCCTCTGCTTGTTTTTCCCATAAAGGGCGCGGTTTCGGGCAAGTGTCCACCTCGTGATATCAAAGGCCTCGCCACCCGTTCGAATCACGCAGGGCGCGTCGCTTTTTGTATTTTTTTGCCCTCTTTCTTTTTTACCCTTTCTCTCGCTACATAACTATATCAACAGAGGCTCGTTGCCGGTTAAATAATCAGTAGGGAAAGGAAAGCTTTCCGTATATTGTGGATTGGAGTTCTTCTATAAGCCCACAGGCCATATTTACATAGTGGGTGGCATGAACTATGAAGCGTAAAGCAACCATGTTCAACTTTGTCTCTTTGGGTCGTATCTAGTATTCAACTCGAAGAAGTCAGACACGCATAATAAATTGTTTTCTTGGAAGGCTTTTCTCCAAGGCCACTTCTTAAATCATCAAATTGTCTCATGGAAAGTCACCGCCTTCTAATCTGTGCCACTGTCTACAAGCATTGTTGAGATGCTTCGAGGCCGACCGAGCACATGGCCGGCATTCCAAGAGAATGAGGGATCGTCAAAAGACGACGATTAAGAAAACACACCTATAGTTATGGTGCTCTCCCATGACACCTTTTCGCCTTGCGAGATGGACTATAGTTCACCACCACGGACAGGGTTGGATCATGGATGGTCCAACTGGTTGTATCCATGGTGTTACTGTGAAAATCAGATAGTCTATAATACGACGGGTTGCGTAGTACTAGAAATCTGGACTGTTACACCAGTGCCAGTCATAGCTCATTCATAGACAAATCCAGAGTGTTTACGGGTTGATTCTCTTGATGAACGAGATGCCCGTTGGGTTGGGATGTGATTCCTGTCGTTAAACGACGTTTCGTCGCTTATGTAATAATTCCGTCGCTGCTGTTCGGTGACGAGCTCCGTTAGTTGGGTACCTTACCCACATGAGCGCCCCCAGTAAAACATCTTATCCGCAGGTTGTCGGGGCATTGCTCAAATGCGACAAACGATGTGTTTCATGTGTCCTGTGCACGCGGCGTACGAATGAGAAGAGGGTCCTGCCAGAATTCATCAACCATGTTTATTTCTCACTGGTATAGGACGAGTCTGTCTAACAGTCCAGTTACCAGAAAAGCCGGTCATTTTGACGGACCCATAAACAAGTCGTCGGAGACTCGGTAGATCGAATCTAAACTTCTTATAACGAACTGGAAATCTTTATGCCGTCTAGTCGTCTGTTCTCTCTTCTCCACAGAAACACTGAGAGAACGCGAAGGAGACAGCGAGGAGAAAGGGAGGGTCAAGGGTCAATCCTCCGGCGCGATACCAGCACCTTCCCAATCCCCCTCAGGGATAAACTTGCGCATGACGTGCCGCACATAATCCACCGGCAATCCGAAAGAGAGCTGCGCCTCGTGAATGGCCCTGTTCATTCGCGCAATGTATTCTGTGCGCGGTGCGTCGGGCACGACGCGGTCGAAATCAAGGTATACGAGGGCGAGCACCGTCGGTGCAACCACTTTACTATTCTCCTGCTTCGCTTGCTCGACCCCCTTGTACTGCGAGGGCTGAGACGCATGTGAATGAAGTGAAGGATCAATAAGCTGAACTGGTAGCATGACCTTCTCGTATGCGTACGGAACGCCCTCGTATATATCCAGCTCGGCTTCGTCTTCCGTACTCAGCGTGTACAGAACACCGTAGACGCCGTGACCTGTGTCGTCGTCACCACGGTTGGCCTCCCCTTGGGGCTTGGCTTCGGCTGCCATCCCGTCGGGAAATCCCATAATACCGACCCCGTCAAGGAGAGAGGTGCTATCCGGGTAGGACGGGTGGATCACGTTGGCGTATCCGCGGCCGTTGATGAGCCAGGACCAGGCGTGCGGAAGGTGGGCTAGACCTAGAGGTACTGAGCCGGGGCACCGGGCTATCATTTGGGTCGGGGAGAGGTTGGAGCCATAAGCGAAGTAGTAGCGGGGGAGTGACTCGGGATCTTCGCTTAAGCACGAGGCCGTAGTTGCCGGTGCCATGATGGGAAATGTGTAGCGGGATGCTAATGATCGCAACGGGTAGTTGTGCGTAAGCCGAAGACGCAGGACCCGACGCCAATATGCTGAGAAGGATCACTCGATGAGTTCTATGTTGGTGGGGTTCTCTTATCCCTCGTTGTATTGAGGCTGTTGGGTTTCAGAGAAACGGGAGAAATCGCATTACATGTTCAGAGGTGTGTGTCTAGAAGGACGGGCTCGGGTCTGTAAATTAGGGATATATAGGAGATTATGGCGGAGATAAAGGAAAGGGAAGCGGAAGAGACAAATAAGGAAATGCCTAACTGATACTTGCAGTGAAATAAATGCTGGTGGGTTGTTGTTTCTTAAACAAGAGAAACAGAAAAGTAACACGCCTCTTCGGGTACGGAGTTGCAAGAGTCAACCATTCATCGCGATCCATGGCAGCTCATTATTAATACCAGCTACCTTGACGAGTTCATGACGAGGTACCTAAGGTAGACCAGAAAAAGAAGGACAAAGGTCCTGGCTGCCTGCCTTGGTATCTTATTTGTACCCTTTTCTCATGATAGGATCTTTCTTCCATGTCCTTCTCCCGTTTGTCATTTCCAGACTGCTAACAAGACAAAACTTGAAGTCCTAGAAGTGGTTTGTTAGTTTCCTGCTTTGAACGGGTGTGCAACAGCTGGTGAAAGCCGGAGAATGTGGAGAAGCTGGAGAAATTCGTCACCATGGCTGAGCAGATATCTCCTTAAACTGGGCGGCCCATGGTTATATCCCAGGAAAATGATCGATCGTGTACAGATGAGGTGTGTGTGTGATAGGCTTCTGTCTCGGTTGTCCCCAACACTCCCAGGGGCACAGGCTTTAGAGAGTAGGAGACGCAAATCGTGTCCGAGTCGGTAGACTGTCACTGAAGGGTGAGCATACCTTACTTGAGATTACCCTAGATGAGACGAGAATAAGGTATAGATCAGGTATTATATCTCTTCCTTTGTCTCCTGCTTTCGGTCAAACTCGAATCTCTGGGTAAGACCCAGTTGGGTAGATTTAATTTCCTTTCTTTTCTACACGCTATCCATGACACGACTCTTCAGCGCCTGTTACACTCCCCAGTCTCCAAAACGACGTCGACAGATAAGCTGCAATGACTACTATACTCCCAACGGCTCGTATTGACCCCCCTCCCCCCCGAATTCTAAACTCCCGTCTCTTCTGGCATGGTACATCGCCAAACAAAACACTCCTGCCCTTCCCTTTCGCCGACAATTGCCCGCCCATGACCCGCAACCCCTATACCCAGTGCCTGCCTCAGATCCGAAACAGGTTGAGGGACGAAGGTAAAAAAACAGTGAATTCAAAGCAGAAACGACCCGTAAAACGGTTGCTCTTTGTCGCTGTGAGACGAGCACTCGAGGGTCTAGGCAGGGTACAGAAAGGGTAGACAAACAGGAAAAAGAAAATCGAAGATATCGCCTTTGTAGTATACAGCTTCGTCACCTATCGCTTCATCCCATCCGTCGTATTCGACGGCTACCCGTCGTAAAATTGCGTGTAAAATGTAGTCAAAATAAGTACTGTCGGTCTGCCGCCATGAAGCCCATATTCAGTGTAATTTCTAGCTAGTGACACGGCATCCGAGTCACCGTCGACTATTCTCGCCTTAAAATGAAACGTTATCAGGTTGTGGAATCTGCCTTGTTTCGGGGACCAATGCGAGGCTGCACCGTCTGGTGCCGGAGTCTGGAAGCGGGGGACGATACTTAAGTTCGTTAAAGGGAGACGAGGGCCCTGTCTTTCTCCCAGTCGTATGTACGGCGGTCTCTGTGCACCTCGCCGGGCCATGCTCCGCTGATTGTTGTCACGTCATATTGTGTTGGAAAAAGCTGCCGGCAGGTTTGACGGTACGTTATAATGGTAGTTTTCGTCTTGGATCAGAAGGTTCTGCCCCTCCCGATTCGTCTGGACTTCAGGACGGCGTCGCTAGAACCACTGCTAATCATTGATTCCATGGGCGGGATCCTTTCTTCAAGTCTTATACCCAAATGTAGACGCAAAGGTCGGGAAACCGCGGCGGGTTTTACCATGGGCATCGTGGAAGCGACGGCGTTTGGGTCCTGTCAAATATGTGGTGGGAAGGTCTCAGCCCATAGAACTATGATGTAGCTGAGTTCTCGGCAGCCGGCTTAGCAGCCTTGGGTCGTGTGTCGAACCCCAACCTCGTGTCCACGTTCTTCCGATGCGTGGCCAAGTTGAGGTGACGTTCGAAATTGCCCGTAGTCATCTCGGGTCCGGGCGTGTACGACTTGCCGGGGCAGTCCTTACACCGAATCCGCGGCAGGAACATCCACTTGTGACCGGGGGGCGGTGCCTGGCCCTGCGGCACAGGAACAGGCGCCTCGGTCTCCGGGTTGATGCACGAGTGCTTCATGATACCTTCGAACAAGTCATGCGGGTATTTCTCGCGGAGTTGCTGAAGGCTGGCCGATAGCCATTGGGGAGGCTACATGGTAATGTCAGCAATTGGGCGGTTCGATGGATGTTGATTTGAATGAATAAAGAAACGAAAACGGAAGCAGGAGAAAGAAGGAAAAAAGAAAAGAAAAACTTACGCTTGGTATTTGCTGTCCATCACCTTGCGCCGGCGCCGGGACAGCCCCGAGGAGACTCTGTGTGACCGGCGTGCTGGTCTTCTGCTGACCGTTTGAAGCCGTCCGCGGCATCGAGTTGGAACCGGCTGACGTGCTGGGAATACGGCTATGTGCAGGGGTCGATGGTGTCTGGGAACCGCTGGTCGAGATTCTTGCCCGGGGGTTCTGCAGAAACCGCCTCAACTTCTCCTTATTAATCTTCAGCGTGACGATCATCTGGGTCGGTTCCTCGGTCTCGTCGCGGAGTTCGCGCCCGAAGCGCCCGACATTCCTGCGTGTCTCGTGGTGGTGGATGATGCTGGCTTCTGGAGTCTCGGACCGTCCTAGGTTGGCCATCCGGTGCTGCGCAGCCGTTGCAGCGCCACGGAGACCCCTCGTCCTGGCGGTTCCGCCCAGCTGCGAAACGGCGGGTGAGTCGGGGCCCGAATCGTCGCTCTCATCCGAGTCCGAGATGATGCCGTCGCGCGCCCCCGGTCTCCTGCGAGTACCCGGCGGCGCCGCCACCCTCTTGTATAATGACGTCTCCTCGATGTCTGTGGCAGCTCCTGGGAGCACCGACGACACGATAAGCGCCCGAATCGTTCGCTGGCGATCCTTGAGGTCGGGGAGCTGAGGACCGCCTCGTCTGTTGATCGACCTCTTCTGCCTCCTTTGTTCCCTGGAGAAGACCATCTCGTTCCTCTCAGCGTCGGCATCGGACAATTCGTAGAGATATGGCGCGTATTCCTTGGCTTGCTGTTGCGGACGGAAGACGCTGGGTAATGGCGATGGGAGAAATGCGTTGATCAGATCCGGGTCCTCCAGCGGTCGCCCGTCAAAGGGATGGCCGACGCTGTACAAGCTCTTGGTGAAGAGCTGCGTCTGCTCCCGAATGCAGTGGGCGATGGCGGTGGTAAACTCCCCCGAAAGCGACAGCTCGCGGCTCATGCTTGTGGCGAATTCCTCGGGTGAATTCAGGGGGTTGTTGATATCCCACTCGAACTGGTCCACTAACGTGTGTTGCCCGATGGTAATATTAAGTTTGACCAACATCCTCATCTCGTCGTTCTTGTACGCCCAGTAGGGCAGTTCGGGGTCCAGGGCATCTTCGTCTGAATAGACGAAAGGATAGAAGTCCATGAGCTGGTCGTGCATCTGGTGGAGCACAGGTTCTAACAAGGCCTTGTCGGTCGGGTCAAGACCCATGTCCTCAAGGAAGTTCTGCGCGAAGATTTCGGGGTGCACAATGCGATCGTGTAGATTCCAAGTAAAAGTATCGCGCAGCCTGATCTTGTCCCAATCGACGTCGATACGGACAGGGACGAGCTCTTCGTGCTGGTCGGCTTGTTTCTTCATGTCCTTCTTCTTCCACGTCAGCCGGGGTGACCGTCTTTTACCGGCCCTCGGCTTCTGTTGAGGATACACGATCTGCGGCCCCGGGGGTTTCATTCGCGGATCAATGGGAATGAACGAATTCGAGCAGGCTCGATAGCCGTCGCCGTATAGTACGCTGGGCGGGAAGAAATGTCGGTGGCTGTGGCGGATGACGTTGTAGTCGTCGATCTTCGCGTTCAGGTAAGCCATCGTATCTGCCATACGAGACTGCGCATCTTCTATGGCGGCTTGGTTTTCAAAATCTCGCATCATATATCTCTCCAGGAGGATTGTCTGGAATGATTCTTTGCTCCGTACAGGCAGAGGCTTAGACTGCGGGTCGGAATCGTCGTCGCGGTCATTTGGAGCGGCGGCTGTACCGGCTCCCGCAGTAGTAGCGGGGTCGGCACCCGACCCGGGATCTGATGAAGAAGCGGCTGTGGCCCCATTGTTGGCTGATTCTGTCGAGAAGTTCGGTGCAGAACCAGACGCCGACGCGGACGGCTGCGCGGCCATGGTGTTCTTTTGCTCCCCCGTGCTGCCGAGTCGCCGGGGCAGCGATGCAATCGACAGCGCCAGCCACGGGTTTCGGATCGCGAAGCTACTCAGTCGGCTTTCGATTGGATTTCACAGAGCTCAAGGGTCGTCAGCACTCTATATCAAGCGCGCAATAGCCATGGACATAGCGAAGGTGATCTTAGTTGTCGGGGAGGTTCCAGGGGCGACGAATTTTGGGAAGCAGCGCGCTCTCAAGAATACACCTTGGAGTCACTAACGCGGCAATGTACTTTCATCTCTGTCAGACAGAGAATTATGAGGGATAGGTACCTCGCTCAGATAGCACACATAGTGGCATCGGCATTACTTCGGGAAGACCAGGTAAGGATGCGACAGCATCTTGATACATGTATAAGCTTTGTTACTAAGATAAATGTAGCTAAACAACTACTACGTCGCTTAACGTAGTTACGCAGTCCACTTACGTAATGACACACAAAGTTCCCACCTATATGACGATTTGTGATGATGTCGGTCCTGATCCGCAGTAACAAGCAGGGCTCAAGCAAGTTAATAACTTGACAACCCAACGGGTGGATCACAGGCTCTTCTCTTCAGCCCTCTGACATGGGGCCATATTATTGGTACCGTCCTGAGTATTCGTATTCTGCCATCCATTTCCGTCATCTTAGGCTTTACTATCTCAAATATATATCAATAATCGATAGCAGATGGTGCTCTTCACGCCAAGCAGTGAGACAAGGGGAAGGAAAATGTGTATGGCTGTTGCTTGGTCCTGCCTACCTTACCTACCTACCTTACAGTAAGGTAGGCGTCAATGACATGGACTGCAAGTACCTTAAAGGTACCCCTCTAGGCACCTGAATGCCCTATGCCGAGATTGGGAGCTAGGTCAGTACGGATCGGGGACCTGATCTGCTCTAGCCCCTCCTTCTCTTCCACCCCGCCCTCGCAAATTGATGGGTTTTGATCAAAATACAGTACACACCCATCACCCCTCCTTCTACCACCTCTTCCCTCCCCCCTTCTCGTGTGACCACACTCAGCTATTTCATTTCTCTCCCAAGACCCAGACAAACCCTGCACCCGCCGCCTTGTGAATTCCGCCTCGCACGTATTGCGTCTGTTAGACCTTCACCATGTCGGACGACAAGGCAACAGGTTCGTATTTTTACCCCATCCTGTGTTCCTTGCCTACAATGCGTTCTTGTAGCTTCTGCCCAGGTGCTATGCCACCGTATTCGAGGTCCAGGTAACCGTTTTAACATGCAACGGCGGTGCCATCTTACGGGGTCTATGAGAGGATCTTGGACGGACGTTCGAACGACCGTCTAGAAGAGTCTCCTCTCCCACCTCCCCTATGTTTCCATCCTCCCCCGAGTTTTCGGTTTCACAGCTTGCGAGCTTCTCGCCTTTCGAACCCGCATTTCCCAATGAACATCTTCCATGGAAGTTGAGCTGACTTGCCCCCCCCCCTAGACTACACCCTCAACAACCCCGACACCCTCACCAAGTACAAGACGGCCGCAGAAATCTCCGAAAGGGTTCTGGCTGCAGTGTCGAAGCTATGCGTGCCCGGTGCCAAGATCATCTCCATCTGCCAGAAGGGTGATGAGCTCATCGAGGAGGAGCTCTCCAAGGTTTACCGTGGAAAGAAGGTTTCCAAGGGTGCGTACCTCCTGCCCTTGATCTTCCCTGGCCATCCCATCTTTTCCCTTTCCCAGTTTGGTTGAAGAGGGGGCTAACGGTAGGCCTTGAGCCCCTCGTGGTACCCAGGTTTCTCGCACCCCACCACCGTCTCGCCGGCTTCCTTCGTCACCCCTTACACCCCCCTGGCGAGCGATGAGTCCGAGGCGTCCCGTGAAATTCAGCCCAATGAGCCTATCAAGATTCAACTTGGTGCCCAGATTGACGGCTTTGGATCCATTGTCTGCGACACCGTGCTGGCCAGGCCCGAGGGTGAGGAACAGCAGGAGGTCACTGGCCGCGAGGCCGACCTGATCCTCGCGAATTACCATGCCAACGAACTTCTCCTTCGCCTCATTCTTCCCCCGGGCTTGCTGGCTTCTGGGTCGGACGAGGAGAAGGCTAAAGCGGCCGCCGCGAAGCCCCCTACCCAAGCCAAGATGACAAGCTTGCTGGAGAAGGTCGTCAAGAGCTACGATTGCCACCTTGTCGAGAGCACTACCTCGTGGCTGTTTGACCGCAACGAAATCGAGGGTTCCAAGAAGATCGTTCTCGCCCCTGCCGATGGTGTCAAGGGTGAGGGCAGCCCCGAGATTGGAGAAGTATGGGGCGTCGAGATGGGCGTGAGCTTGGGTTCGGGCAAAGTGAAGCAGTTCGAGAACAGAGCGACTCTGCACCGCCGCACGCTCCAGACCTACGGTCTCAAGCGTCCCACGTCGCGCAAGATCCTGTCCGAGGTGCAGAAGAAGTTTGGGACGTTCCCTTTTAGCTTGCGCCAGCTTGAGGACGAGCGCGACGCCAAGTCGGGTGTTGTGGAGTGTGTCCGCGGCAACGTGTTCCGCCAGTACGAAGTAGTCGGTGACAAGGACAACTCGCCGGTTGCTCGGCTGCTGACTACCATTGGTATGAGATTCTCCCTACCTTTGTTTATCCCCCCCCCCCCTTTTTTTTTTTTTTTTTTTTTTATTACTTTTTTCTTTTCGGCCTTGCTGTTCTTCGGGCTATGTGCTTCGAATTGACCCATTAACCGCTACTCGCAGCCATTACCAAGAACGGCATCACCAAGTTGGGCGCGGCCCCACCGCTAGACGTGAGCAAGTATAAGACGGACAAGAAGATTGAGGACGAGGAGATCCTCAAGATCTTGGAGCAGCCTCTTTCGAGGAATACTGGCAAGAAGAACAAGAAGAAGAAGAAGAAGCCCGCCAAGAAGGCGGCTGAGGAGGGATCGGATGGGGAGAGCGACGAGTAAGGCCGAGGCACCGGGTTGACTAAAGGGGAGAGTTAGTACCGAAGAACTGTCACTCGAGAGATGCAGCTATCTCGGTTGGTCATGAAAGCCGGTCTTTTTGCTGGGGTGTGGGCTTTGCTTCAAGGCGCGTTGCAGACTTACGCCGTACTACGAAGTATTTCAAAGAATGGAGTCGGAGGGCGCGTCGATTGTGGCCCCGTATGGGTCCTAAGGCGGTTCCCGACAGCCCGTAGAAGCTTGGCCGGTATTGTCTTCGGGGCGAGCTGCAGACCCTTCTTCTGGCTGGCCGTTCGCCCAAAAAGCCGCCATGCATTCTAATATGCATGGCCAATATTTTTTTGTTGTTATTTTTTTGTGCGTTTGCTGGCTGAAATCCCTTGCGCAGAGAGTGGCATCGACACACCAAAGCTTAGGTATCTACGTTAGGTGCGGTAGCCAACAAAGACCGAGCCAGGCCAACTGGACAAACTTTGATGCAGCTCTATGCACATCTCGCATAATCTGGCAGCAGACCTCGGGTGTTCCGATGTGCCTGGAAAGAGATGCGATTAAGGTCACGCATCTTTTCAAGTCGGACACACCAAACCTCCTGGCAATAGGCCCAGGCCCGTCCTTGGTGCATCTTGTGCAGAGAATTTAAGTGTGATGACTCGTGTTCAGGGGCAAGAATAGGGGACATGGTAGGTAAGAATTTGACAGGATCTACGGTGAAAAGGAAGAAAAGAAGGATAACCGACTTGAGAATAGCAGGCGAAAAATGCGCCCGATTACCTATCGGCACTCCTGGCGCCTACCGCTTTTCATGATTATTACCACGAAGTCGTGCGTTGTAGGTCTTGATGTGCAAGGTGGGAGGCGTGGTGACCCTTGGATGACGATACGGGTATCCATACGTACTCCCATAGGTACTAATATGTGGTTCCGGACACGGAAGGAGGAGGCAGAGTCGGGGATGATTCTCAAGGGGGATGGATATATTACCACAAACGCCAAATCTTTCTTCGGCACGGCATCTCCAACAATAACGTGACACCTACCGCCTCCCCCGCCTACCACTTCTTCCTGAGGGATGGAAATACCACCACGACTGACGGTGGGCGTTGGCACAACGCATGCCCTACTCGGTCCCGGCCTACGAAGTACAGGCGTCCCTCCCCGTTGCCCAGCTGCATCTCAGATTTGTATCTCGTCCTACGATTCGCTGTCGAGGGCGGCATGAGAACAGGCCACTAGGCAGAGTCACGAAGAGATGACGATGATTCGGTGGAAAAGGGGCAGCAGGGGGTCCAAAGTTAAGGGGGCAAGGGGATGGATGGATGATGGTTCCTTTGGCCTTCAGTCGCTGCCAAAGTTGGTAGAAATTTTGCTTTACATTTAGGACATGGTCTAATTATCTGCAAGGTGACTGAATAAGCTAGGAGAAGAGAGAAGAGGAGAAATGAGCACGATGGGAGAATCAGGAGGAGATCGGGGGGAGGAAAACAGGTGTGGCGTGAGCATGTGAGAAAGGGGAGGGAGTGCATCAGCGTAAGGTGCAGGGTCGTGGACCACGCTTTCGAGTTAGAAATGCACGAAGTAAGATCAGGGTCGGGTAGAGGAAACTTGAGGTGGCAATCACCTGTATTTGGTTTGTAGCTGTGGGTAGGTGGTAAGGGGTGGGTCTACCCACCTACACGGCAGGGGCAGCACTACCAAGGCTCGCTGTAGGATGGCGTATCTGCGGCGAGGTTACAGCGGCCACAGAAGGCTTACAAGTACCGGGTACATCCGGCACCGAGAGAGAACCTGAAGCGTCGCGCATGGAAGCTTCCCACACTCTTTTTCCTCCCTCCATCCTCCTCCTTTCAACCCCCTTTGACACCACACCATTCCGCGTCAAGAAATCGGGGGGAAAACGCGATCCAAACCCCTTCTTCGAGATTGCGAGGCATCAGGCAAGCATTCTGCTAGTTGTCTGCCACCGTTAAACACGTACTAACGGAGCTTGCAGGCAGGATCTGCTTTCTTTTTGCCCCCTATCCACTCTCCCCCTTTTTTTTAGGGGGTTGAGAGTTGCCTGCTGCTCTCTGTTCCCGCAGTGCAGCGCATTGCGGATCATAGATCATAATATCGAGACGAGTCGACCCAAGTCAGGAGGAAGACGCCGAGTACGGAAACTGGCACGGCCACTCTAACGAAAACCGGACGAGTTTGAGGGATCTGGAGCCGAGGAAACAGGGAGCCGGGAAGCCCGGGAAGGAATCCAGGAGTTGAGGAAGACGCAGGGAAAACCACGAGTCGAGAAAGAAAGCGAGGACAAAGAGGGAAACGGAAGGAGGCAAAAAGACTCGGAAGCGAACGACCGAGTCGCGAAAACGAAGCGCGGAAGCGAATCGAAACGATTTTTTTTTTCGTCATGTCTACCAATACGAGGGCTACGAGGTCGCGTTTCTCGAGCCCGCACACACAGCTCAGCAATGGGTCCTTGGAACCAACGAAGAGTTCGGCGAATGAAGGGCCCAAGACATTCATGCAGAAGTGGCTAGAACCGGCGGTGCAAAGCAGACCTAGCTATGAGGACCACGGGCTGATGCGATATGGGGTCACCGAGGGCATGGTACCCCTGGGCGAGCTACCAAAGACGGCGGTATTGAAGAAGAGGGGCAACGATGGGGTTACGCCAGTGCGAAGAATCATCTTGAAGCAGAGTTCAGCGAACGCGGCGGCGGCGGCGGCGGCAGCAGCGTCAGCATCAACATCGGCGGCATCAACAGCAGCGAAAAATGCAGGTGCTGGCGGTGATAGTGGAAACGGTGTAACTGCCTCATCCTCTTTTTCGGCTCCTGCCCACTCGAAGGGGTCTGACTCTTCCCCTTCCACCACCAACGCAAACACCTCGCTGTTGCCTTCGTTGCCACCTTCACCCTCGCCAACTTCAACTTCACTTCCCACAAAGCAACCTCCTCCTCCGTTATCTTCGGCCAAGACAGCGACGCCATCATCTTTATCACCAGCGCTGCCTTCACCGGTTGAAAAACCGTCACGACGAGCGCTTCCAGCAAAGGATTCGGACGACGAATACGACCCAAAGGGACCCATGGCGAAGGCGAGGTCTGCACGCACACCCACTCCTCAGCTGAGGAGGAGCTTACCCAGGGCTTCTGCTCGGCGGGCTTCGACACCTCGTAGCCATCTCCAGGCTGCTGCTACAGCTGCTTCTTCTTCTCCTGCACCTGCACCTGCACCTGTACCTGTACCTGTATCTGCACCTCCCTCGGAGCCTGATGCTACCACTTCTTTGGCTACAAATTCTTCCACTCCTGGTCCGGCGCCGAAGACTGAAAATACGGGCGCTTCCCTTACCGAGCTGGCTGCCGCTGCGCCAGACAAAGAGCGTGTTTCGAAAGTCATCGAGCACGCTGTGGATGAAGCTCTCCGGCACTACCGGTATCCTACGGCGTGGGCGTTGCGCACCCTTTACGATGAAAACTCATCCGACTCTCACTTTCTTTCCCTCGTCGAGTCGGTTTTTTCTCAGACGGCAGAGGATAAAGAGGTCAGAGAATTCGCAAAGCTCTTGGAGGCCAAGAAACGTGAAGGCAAGAAGGATAACCGGGCCTGCTATTATTTTGTGCCTCCTGCTACCAACTCAAGATTCACCCCCCACAAGCCAAAGCCTGCGCCCTACCGAAAACTCGTCACACTCAACCTCGACCTCACTCAGACGGACAAGGCCAAGTCCAAGTCCAAGCCGTCGCCTCCTCCGAAGGAGAAAGATCATCCCCCTCCACGTTTGCACATACGCCTGCATTCTCAGCCGCAGTCACAGTCGCAGTCACGGGCGCGCCCGGACTCTCAGCCCCGGGGAAACGCACAGCCACGAAAACCAGAAGAGAAACGCCAAGAAAAATCGCAGCCCCATTCATCCTCCCAGGTGCAGTCGCATCAATCACAACAGCTGCAGTCCCCTACTTCCCCTTCCCATCATCAAGTAGTCGATACTCCATCCAAAAAACGTCATCACCGCTCGCGGAGAGCGCCGCGTCTTCCTTTCGCCATGCATGCGTCAGGTGGCGGAAGCGGCACAGGCACAACAGGCACAGGCACAGCACCAAGCACCCCTTCAAGAAAGCGTGCCCGCAGAGGTTCCGCGTCGAGCGATTCATCAGCCCTTTCTGAGTTATCCTCCTCGCCTTCTTTGCCGTCACCCACGCCTGCCTCCAAACGTCGCGCGACCGCAGCGGCTGTCACTGGTGGTGCTGTTGCTGCCGATACTGTTGCTGCTTCGTCTCCGACCGGTCGTGTCACGAGCCAGTCGGTCAAGAAGGAGAAGGATGACGGGCGACCAATCCGACGCATCACCACCCGACGGTCTTTGGCCAACGCGTCTGGCAGATCCTCCCCGTCTCCCGCGGATGCATCTGCACATCCCCCCAGCACGCCTCCGTCACCTTCAGTTGCGTCGTTTCCCAACCAATCTACCGACCGATCTACCGCGACCGCTGCTTCCAGGGCCAAATCAACCAAGGTGGCTGCGTCGTCAAAATCGAAGACGGGCAGCAAGGAACAGGAACCGGAACCGGAACCGGAGCCTCAACCGGAGCAAAAGGACGGCGAAGATCACGAGACGGCCCGACGACGGGATGCGCGTCATCTCACCAACGAGACGCCACGGTCGGACAGCTTCGTTCGCGCACCTGCCATGCCCGCTCGGCCGGATAGGGCCACCGCCTCGGCCACTCCGGTCATCTCGATCAACACGACCGCCAGAAAGTCGGTTGAAGCAGATGACGATGATGCAGAGTCCGAAGCTGCTGCAGGACAATCAACACCCGCACCGGTTTCTTCCGCTACACGGAATCGCAAGACGCGGAACTCGACATTGAATCTGCGGGCCACCAGATCGGCTAAGAGGCCCTTTGACGAAGCCGACGCTATTGCGCGCTCTCCCACCGCGTCTTCTCAGCCAGGCGAGCAGGGCTCTCAGGTCGGCTCGAGAGCAGTCACCCCGGTCAGCACTCGACCTGCCAAGAAGCAACGGACTGGCCTTCGTGTAAAGTCATCGTAAGTCCTCTTTTCTCTCCCTCCCTTGCATTTTCATGACTCCTTCGGTTACTAATATTCTTATTCTTCCCCATCCAGACCCGTGAAGAAGAAGGGAGGCAGCGCAGCTGGCGTTCCTCGCCCCAGCGGAGAGGGCAACGCTACCGCTGCTAACGGAGTCCCATCCAATACGGTAAGTGCTTCGTCGACCGAGAGAGATTGGCTGAGCTGAATTCACACTGACTCAATTTTTCTTTCTTTTTTTGTGCGCCAGGATGAGAACGATGACTACTGCTCTGCATGTGGCAACGTTGGAGATCTCGTTTGCTGCGAGGGATGCACCTCGTCATTCCACTTTGAGTGTGTCGATCTCGGCCAGGGCGACGAGCTTCCTCCTGAGTGGTTTTGCTACCCTTGCCGCAGCAAGACGGAAGTGGCCAGAGAACAAGGAGGTCCTTTTGGGCAGCTTCTCAGTCGGTTGGATAGGACCAACCCACAGGCGTTCAAGCTCCCCAATCGCATCCAGGGCTATTTTGATGGTGTCAAGGTCGGCGTCGACGGCGACTACGAAGAGATTGTCGCAGCTAAGCCAGCGAAGTAGGATCACCCCCCCCTTTTTTTTCTTTTTTTTTTCTTTTTTTGTTCTTCTTTTCTTCTTCCTTTTTTCCCCTTCGCATCATTCATCGCCCTTCTCTCGTCGTGAGAATATGCCAGTCAGCTAACTGGGGTTCGAATAGGCGGAGAGGTGGTTACGAGGAAACACCCGATTTCTTCAAGATTTGCGAGCCCGATGGGTCACCTGTCATCTGCCACAGCTGCCAGTCTGCGGCTGCTGATAACCGAGCCATAATCCCGTGCAGTGCGTGTGGCTTCTACTGGCATCTTGACTGCCTCGACCCGCCCTTGGCCATCCCTCCCGTTCTACGCACCTGGCGTTGTCCCGCTCACGCCGACACTCTACTCGCCCAGCTGCCGCAAGGTCTCGGTCCGGCGCATCGCTTCCGTACCATCAAAGATGCCCCCGTGATTCAGCCCGCTTACACCCGGGGGATCAAGAATAACGGCTTCATCGAGGTGGAGGACGAGTCCGAGGATGACTCGGGCTGGCACGACGTCAATTCATTTGGTCGCATTTACAAACTACCCGCCAAGGGTATCATGCTCGACTTTCTCTCTCAGTGAGTTTCCTCAAGTCTCCGTTTCGCGACTTCTCAGACGATCTAACACAAAACTTTAGGGTCCACAAGAAACGGAAGGACGATCATCAGGCTTCGCGACACGAGGAGCAACAGGTTTCCCACTTGCGCGGTACCGCTTCGGCTTCCGATGCGGTTGTTGGCAAAGCCCATACACGTGTGGCCGACAAGGGGAGTCAGGATATCCAAGAGGCGTCTCTTCTCAAGCCGCTTTCTGCCCGACCTATTGAGGAAATGCAGGCTGCACTCAACCTGGCTGGGCTGCACCAGACCGACTATGGCGGTCTAGGACAACTGACACAAACCCTTATGGTATGTTGACGGCAGCTTCACGACTGTGTTTAACTAGTTCCAGGGCTGACGACTTCAATTTCTCTCCAGGACAATGCTAGCCCTGTTGTGCTCTCTCTCATGGCTCGGGGCGATGCGACGAACATCACAACCGGCAACCTCGGCGACGCAGAAAAGCAAAGCCTTCGGGCCATGCTTGCGCAGTGCGAGGCCCTCACGTCCCGCATCAAGGAAGTTCTTACTTCACCCACTGCAGGCTCTCAGGAAGAGAATGTCGAGGTTCGGCAGCACGACGCTCACGTGCGAATTGCCAAAGAGGAGACGGCCCAACACCGATCAGCGTCCTCGACCCCTCGGGGTGCTCACAACAGCGAGAAGCAACCGGCGTCTCCTCCGGTCGACGGTCATCGGAAGCTGGAGGACGATCTGTCCAAGGACACAGATGGTGACTGTACGTCGGTCGCCACGGAATCGGCGGAGAATGATCTTCCCACCCCGGCCACAACGGGTCCTGATCATGTCGAGATGCCTAACGGCGTAACCGACAAGTCCTCCCAGGCCGGGGATCATACGATGGACTTGGACTGAGCTGGCCTGCATTGCGTTCCTTTCGCATTTTTTTTGGGTCCTGTTTCTGGCTTTGATGACGGCCTAACGACAGACATGTTTCTTTACATTTATTTACAAGACTCGTCGTAGTCGACCATTCGGGCGGGCATTTGGCCCGTTGATGCCCCGTGGATCCGGACAATCATGGCCCCATGGTGCGTGCATTGTACTTTACACCCTGTCTCAGTATAATCTTTGGCTTTTGATTTTACTTTTCTTTTTCTTTTGGCTGGGTGGGGGGGGGGGGGGAGGGGTCTTTCTTTCAGGATTGCGCCAGAAACAACACCATGGGGAAGCTTTTCGATAGTTTCCGGACGAGACCGGAATATCTTCAGATGACGATTCCCAACGGGTGTGACAGCGACTCTCTCGATTTTTTTTTCCTTCTCTTTTATTTTACTTGTGTTCTACTTTCTCACATCGCTCTGGCTCGTTCTTCTTCTCTCTTTTACAGACCGCACCCATACATACACACTGAGGATTCCCCCACGATATTCCGGCGGAACGTTTGGCGTTTTAGGGAAGAAAATGGTCAGGCAGGTTTTTTTTTTTTTGACTGCTGCCCCCCCCCCCCCCCGGGAAACAGGAAGACAAAGGGGGGCAAAGGACGAGGAACAGGTGGATCGGCTCCGTTTTCTGTAAATGTAAAAAGCTCTTGGCCCTTTGGGAGTTGGTGATACGAGACTGCAGGCCAAGCAGCAGGGAAATTCACTATTGGTCTATTTACTTACTCATTTTACCCGCTCCGTCCCTCGGCTAAGCAATGCCCCCGGAGATGGTATCGTCTCCTTCCGTGATAGTTCAGCCCATGCAGCAGGGGTTTCCCGGTCCTGACATGGGCTGGTGGCATCAGCTGAGTGGAAATGTGAAGACCGGTTGGGTAATGGACGGTGATGTGAGTTCGTCGCGAAAGGAGAAATTGCCAGCAAGGAAGAAGCGGATCGAAATATTGATAACTAGGGGGCAAGTCGGAGTGGATGTGTGGATAGAGAGGATGGGTTGAGTCGTCTGTTTCTTCAGCAGTGGCCTGATTTCTCGACAGCCCCGTCGTCACGGATAGCCTCGTGTTTTATCCCACCCTCTCACCGTCTCTTCCCCAGCTTTCTTTCCCCTACCGCTGTGGCTGAACATCACCAATTAGAACCGTATTGGCCAAGGAGAGGGGAGGCTGATGGAAAGGGTTGTTGGCATTGCTCCCCTCGACCTCACGCAACATATGAGGGTTGCATAAGAGTTCGGGCTCCCCTCGTCACGCTGTCTTGCAGAAAACAAACCGGATGGCGAAAGTTCATCGTTGCGTTGGTCAAAAGATGGCTATGGTCATCAAACCCTCCTTTAGCGCTAGGAGAATAATCTCTGTTCTACAAATTGAAACTAGATAGATACAGCGCCCAGCCGCCATGGCCGTTCGCATATATCTAAAAACGCTTACCCCTTTCCAGAGGCCACTCTTCCCACAACTTCGTCTCATGACATTCCACTCGCCGCTTCTGCTCCGGTTTGGCCCCCTTCCAACCACCTACCTCCCAGGGAGGGTCTCGTCCAAACTTCGCTGTCGGTGGATAAATCCTATGGGAGCCGCAGAAACCCCCATCCAAAGCCCTAGTCAGCTTTCGAGGGCTGGGTAAAAAGGACTGCCCGCTTTCGTCTAAACACCAAGCTGCAGAAGCTCAGCGAAGACAGAGGTGAAAAGACATCCATCTGTCGGCAGCCAAAGAAAAGAGTCTCACAACAACAAAAAATAAAAATAAAAAAAGGCTGTTTGAGACAAGAATCCGTCCCGCCCACCTTCGTTCCTTCGTCTCTTTCATAGTCAACGAAACAAAGCGCCCCAACTTCAACTGGAGATGGGCTTCGATTTTTCAACCGAAGCCCAATTCTCGATCAAGTCGGTCACCTTTTCCCCCCTCAGAAGAAAAAAGAAGAAGAAGAAACACCCCCATATCCTGGCGACTCCGGTCCCAGCACTCCATATCACATTCGTTTCATCCTCGCGCTGGAATAAAAAGAAGCAGAGAAACGGACCGACAATGTCATCGCCAGGTGGTGCGGCCTCCTTTAGTCCCTTGTTCACTACACAAGTTGTTTCATCTCTTTTGGTTTGTTTCGGGAGACGTTAGTTTTTGTTTCCTTTCGGTTTACGGCCGTGCTGCTTGGTAGAAGACGGGGGTCCACCTACTCGGCCACGCCTGGTGTTGGCCTGTTCCTGTTGCATGTACGGCGGCATGTTCTGCATGCCGCCCATGTTCCCGTACCCGTATCCGCCGCTCATGCCCATGTTCATGCCATATGACGCGTTGCTATAGGGAGCAGGCTGGCCTGGTGCCATCGGCGGCATCTGCGTTGCAGCCGGCTGGATCGGGCTGCCAGTGGGCATGTTCTGGTTCCGGTACTGATCCATCCCGGCGCTCGGGCTGTTGTAACCGCTATACCCTGACTGCATGGGAGGGTAGTAGTTGTTCATCGCAGGGGTGCCGCGCTGCATCATGTTCTGTTGGTACGGTGTTTGCTGAGGCGCAGGAGGCATCGCGGGGTTAGCCGAGTTGTACATGGGATTCTGTGCGCCGTAAGGCGGGTAAGGTCCCATGTTCGCGTCCGGCGTCTCGTTGCGGGGCCCGCCGTAGCCGGCCTCGTAATTCGGGTTGACCGCCGAAGGCAGCGGATTGTAGAACGGCTTGTTCGCGTGACCCGGGTGCTGCTGATGACCGTTCGCATTCGCCTGTCGTGACGTCGGCCGTTGCCGCGCCTCATTGCCGTTGTGGTTGCTGCCATGACCAGCATCACGCGACCCGCCGCCTCCAGAGCTACGCGTCGAAAGACCGACCTCATCCATGAGGCGCTTATAGCCCTGCGAAGGCTGCGCCTTGATCCTCACCAAAACGCTTTTCACCTTCTCCACCACCTGGGTGCGGATACTCTCGTCGAAGAAGGGGGTCGTGAGAACCTTGAAGATCAGAGCAGCACCGCAGGCATGGTCGCTCAGGATCGCCTCCAGAACATGGTCGTTGGGCGTGAAAAACATGGCCGTGAGGATCGTGTCCCGCGCTTCAGGCTCCGACTTCTGATTGATAACTTTGAGAACAGTGAGGTACGCGACCTTGTGAGTGCAAAGATGAACTAGGAAGGGGACCAGCTGCGGGGCCAACACTGTGCGACGCTGTGGGAAAGTGCATGTGTCCAAATACCAGGTCAGGAGCAGCGCGCCGTTGGCGTTGGTCGCCAGTTGAACACTGTGCAGCGCTATGGCAGCGGCGAGAATCCGCTGCTGATCCTTGTTCGTGTGGTGGCTCTCGAGACAGGCCCGCATTGCGCGCGCGCCGAAGCGGCCTTGCGCGATCTCCCACATGCGGCTCATCATGGTCTCAAAAATAAAATCGTTATACGGCGGGCCGAACTTCAGGCAGCCCTGCAAGACATAGTTGCCGTATTGGTCGAGGAACAGGGGCATGGTATACGGTCGAAGGTACTCGACGATCAAGGACAACTGGTGGGGTGTCTTGCAGACGTCAATGATCTTTTGCGCCGCCCAGGTGCCGTTCTTGTGCACCCCAATTTCTGCCATATGAGGGGCGATCTCAGCAAGCATAGCATCGCGAACGTCATCGGAACAGTGCTCGAACAGTTTTTGCACCACTGTATTGCCAAGATAGTCCGCAGACAGCTCAGCGATCTCGGGAAGCATCTCGACCGCGATCTTCTCGATCTCCGCTTTGGACAGGCTCTGATTGTCGATTCGTTTCCTGACGTCTCTGAGTTTGGGAGCGTCATGAACTCGGGTATGGGTAGGTTCCCGGACCGGAGGGATTTCGTCAACAAAGGCAGTGAACTGAACGGCGGACTGCAAGCTGCGGGAGGTTTTGAAGACATCTTCCTCAGTGGCCTGGAACTGCCTAACAATGCGAAGGATGTCGGCCGTCATCTCATGAAGCGGGGGGACGGTGGGTGCGGCGTTGGTCGGCTGCGCCGTCGCGGCAGTACCCTCTGCCGTCGTGGAGGTGGAGGCGGCGGCGGCGGCGGCAACGGCACCACCTTGACCGTTTTCTTGGTTCTTGGAGAACGGGTCGGGACTGGGAGACGGGAAGGCGCCGTCATGGCCAGGGGTATTAGACGCTGACGGGGGCTTCGCGAAGTTGATGCGAATAGGACCGGCTCCTGGGAAAATCTCCTTGCCGTTCATGTTCGCCTTGGCAGTGATGGCACTTTCAGTACGTTCAAAGTTGACGAAGCCGCAGTTCTTGTGAGTTAGCACCCGGGCGGACAGAATTTGCCCGTACGTTTTGAACATCTCGGTCAAGGTCGACGTTGTGGTGGAAGTCGGAATGCTTCCTAGCCAAAGCGCGCTAGTTGGTCCCTCGAGGCCCTGGTCCTCTGCGTTTAGCAGACCAGCATTTCGGCTGTTGGAACGTGCCAGGTTCATGGCGGCGACAGCCTGCGGCAAATCATCGTAGTTCTTCTCGTCCGGGAGGCGCATGTCGGCGGAGGGGATGGTGGGTGGCACGCCTCCGTTGTTCGGAAGATAGCTCCGCATGAGCCGGGAGGCGGATGGGTCGATAACACCGGCAGTAGTACGCGCACGGGGCCGGGTGGCCTGAGAGGCAAATGCCTGGACGGCCAGGTTATGGTTGCGGATGGCGGCATTTGTGGCGGCCAGTTGATCCTGCAGTTGGGCAGCATAGTGGCTTTCGAGCGTCATGGCATCCACCTCGTCATAGTCGTCTTCCTCCTCGGCATACTTGTCCTTATTATTGACCGAATAGGACCGGAAGCGACTGGCCTTCGACAGTTCGTTGTAGTTCGGTGGAAAAAAAGGCGTCGCAAGCTGCGCTCGAGGTGGCTGTGGCGTCTCAGCGAGTCCTAGGTAATCCAGGGTCCTCATATGAACATCGCTCTCCCCTCCGCCTTCCTTGGAAAATTGGGACTGCGCAGGGGAGCTCGGACCGTTGGAGCCGACGCTCGCGATGCTAGCCAACGTCGAAGCTCGCTCTCGTCCGACTCCCGATGGATTCCAGCTGCTGCTGAAGATAGAAGGTCCGAAAGGAGAACCGCCCCCCGCTGGGTACGGGTCCCGCTGAGGCATGGAGCCAGCGCGGAGACGCGAGAGCAATGTCGAGTTATTAACCAAAGATTCCGGGGCTTCCAGGCCCGGCGACGGCGATTGAAATGGAGTATGAGAGGGTGTCGGTCGGGCCGACTTCGAAACTGCGGGAGGAAGACCGACTCCGCCGGGCGAAAAACGAGAGGGGAGGGTGCCCGCGCGGGCGCGCCGGGCCATAGGCAGACTTTCGGGAGTTGGAAGCTGAACAAAATCAGGAAATCCGTCAGTGGGAGACTCAGGAATATTCTCGCGAAGCGGCGTCGAATTTCCGCTGGTGGGAGGGCCGCCCCAAGGATTTACCGGCATTCCAGGGAGTCCCTCTTGTGCCTGAATTTCCCTTGCCCTAAAGAGAGAGAAAAGTCACCGCAAGTCAGTATATAAAGAACATGCGCAAGCAAGGCGGTTTTTGGGCAGCGGCGGCGAAGGGGCAAAAACGAACCGCTTCGAGAAGAGTCTCGCAGAGCCCGGCATCTCATGCGACGGAGAGCCAGCCCCGGATCGCGTGTTGGTTGCCATTTTACCGGGATGGTTTAGCCCGCTAGGTATACCAAAAGAGGATCGTATAGCAGACCCAGGAGCCGAGTCGACGGGTGAGGTGTTGGAAGGCGAATTTGATCGGACCGAAGCAGACTGGTGGAGGTAACCGATGGGTAATTGATCGGATCTATTGGTTGACATTATCAATTATCTAGGCCGTAGTACTCATGTGAGAGTTTCTTTTTCTTTTTTTTTCCCTCTTCTCCTCTTGCTTTTCTGGTAACACAAAAGAGGAACCGGTATGCTCTGGGCCAGGTGGGAAATGCGTAATCTCGTAACGTTCTGACGCACAAAACTGCCAGAGCCCTGTGAGGGCGATGAGACGAAAGATGTCAAGGCAATATTCAAGGGTCTATCGTGATGCCTGAAGAGAGAGACGATTTCGCTATTCTTGGGGACGGACACCAGTTGTTCGTGGGACTATGACGGCGGGTGGTCGAGTCCACTGGTATCGAATCGAGATGTAGCCGGATTCGAGAACGAGGTTCGTCGAATATTACGATTGGTACCTTCGGAGGCGGTGTCTCGCAAGGTTCGCCCAAGAGGGGATGTCAATAATAATGTAGTGGATTTGCTAAAGCAAGCGAATTGACTGAATCGAGCAACGAGACGAAGGGCCTGCCGATCAAGGAGCGTGGGGACCGGGAGACGAAAAATGAACGGTAAATACGAGGGAAGCTTTGCTTCCAGTCGATGGCGAGAAGCGGCAGTGGCTTGCAGTGGTATCCCGTGGCTTGTTTCGGTGTGCTCTTGTCGTCTCTTGGAGCACCGGCGCCGGCAGCTAACTGGTGAAGATTCCCCTTGCTCAATAGTCTGGCAGGTATCCCCAGCAGCTGTCGTCGTCGTTTAATTTCAAATACGGCTCGGGTAGACAGCTAATGAAGCCACGCTGTTCCGACTTCTTCTGTCTTGCGTACCGTGATAAGAAAAAGACGAAAAAAAAAGCGAAGAGGGGGGAAGAAAAAGAGCTACGTCAAATATACAGGCGGCATTAGATAAGAGGCCGATGCGCCTGGAGAAGGATTAAATGGGCAAAGGAGAGCAGAAAGGAGAGGTGGAGAGGTAATGGAGAGGAGAGGTCGAACGACGTGACGGTGATGATGAAGTAGGTGGTTAGGGAAAGGAGTGGGAAGGATGGACGGGGGAGGTCGAAGACGAGAATCTATCAAGGCTTTTTTTTGCTAAGTGGACCAAGAAGAATTGGCCTGGTGGGCGGTAATGGGGGTTTGTGGAGGTAGCCAGTACTACGACACCACGAGTGACGAAGCAACTTGACTGCAGGCTAAGTGGTTCTTCTTGTTTCTTGTCCTTTTCCTCGGCCGGTACGAAGTACTCGATACTCCGTCCCTTCTACGAGTGCTTGGCCTTGGAAGTGGGCTGCGGCAGAGAACTGTACGGATGTTGGGAGGGTTGGACATGTACGGAGTACGGGAGCATTACTTCGTGCGTCCGCATTCCTAGCAAAGAAATACCTACTGATTATTAGTGGGTGAGTGGGTGAGTGGTGTCCTTGGCGGGTGCACTCCGTACGAAAGTACTTCGTAACTACCTTAGATATGTACTCCGTACTTCAGCCACTATATGAACGACGGAAGTTTGCTCAGTGAGCTAGGAGGTTCTAGTAAGGAGGTTGAATAGGTATCTAAGGTAGGTAATAAGGTACCTACCTATATACCTTAAAGAATCAAGTTCTGTTTAGAACGACACAGTAAGCAGGTACTAAGTACATATCTGGCTATCAGAGCACAGCTTTTTTAGCACGCATATATGCCAAGGTCTGATAGTAAACTAGGTACTGAAGACTTCCTCCTCGTCTACCACTAAGAAGCCTTCTTACTTCGTAATTACCTTTAGTTAAGGTACCTACGGATAGTAATAAATAAGGTAGGTTTCAAGTCCTGGGGGATCAGCAACACGACACAGCATCTCTGCGGTTAGGGGTAAGGAACCCCCTAGCGTACTACGGACCGGACCACCCCCTTTTTCTCCCACTCCATCCAGCAGAGCAGATCGTCAACTTGAAGCTTCGGGGCCCGTCCCGACTACGAAGTTTGGAGTACAATGGTAAACGACATGTGTATTCGGCCTGCCGAGGCGACCTCGTACTCCGTAAGAACAGAACCAAAATCTTACCTGTTGCGTTGGAATACTGCTTCTCATCCAACATAAGATACATCAAGAAGGCTGGCATTACGAGGCTGAGAAGGGACCTAGGGCACCTGTTGTTTTGCCAGTTCCACGTCTGGAATACGGGGGAGTACCGTGCGAAGTACACATGTACCCTCTGCCCCAGACAAGGAAGGGACAAGCCATAATTCGTAACAGTCTGGGGGAGCCCATTGACGAATGAAGTACGGATATACATCCAACTGTAAGGTACTGGGGAAGACGGATTGTCCGATGCCTTCCAGCACCGTCAGGACAGAGTAGGCGCGACTTTGAAAGGGGGTCTCTCCTACCTAGGTACGGAGTGTTCGAATGTTCCTCGACCCGAGAAAGTCTTCCCATGCTTGACGCTCTCCCGCGGTTTGTGCCACCGTCCCCAACTTCAATCTCCCACGCCTCGACCAATCGGATCCTGAAGACGTGAGAAAGCAAAATGGCAGCAACCACGAAAGACGGTCCCAACCCCTGATCCCAATTCCCATGATCCGCGCAAGCGAGAAATCCTGAAACGTGCCATATGTTCCAACCCTCTCTGCTCCACCCTGCCTGCTACACTACAGCATGCCGTAGGTACATAGGTTGTACTTAATTGCTACCTTACGTGCGGGACCTCCCACCCTGGCACTCAGGGCCGTCATATCCACCACTGGGAGTCGGTATTCGCACTTCGTACGGTCCATTGATTCGCTCCCAGTTTCCCAGAATATTCCCCTTCTCATACAGAGGTCCATCGTACGGAGCGAGATCGCGATACCAGTTTCGACGCCCAAACCTCGCTTGGCCTCATTTCTAGAGAAGACGTCTTCCCACCCTCCATCCCGAGTCAGGGCTACTGAGAGCGGAGCGCGCCGTCGGTCAGTCCAGCGATAGCGGCCACAGCGGCCACAGCGGCCACAGCGGTCGTCGCGGTCGTCGCCAGCCGTCGTTGACAATCGCACGCAGAAAATATCGGCAGTTGAATCTAATTAGTGACATGAGTAGAGCACCGGATCGGACGAGATCATCGACGCCCATGATCGCTCCCCGTCACTCCGCACTGCGAAGTTACGTCCACAAGATAGTACGTCAATACGCAGCACCCGATCTATGATCAGATCTGTACCTACCTATGGGCCTATTCAACTTTGGCATGCATGGTATTCGTATTGGCATAAAGAAGAATCATGCCAGGGGACAGATGATTGTCTTGCGGACGTAACCCCCCGCATCGGTTGTCGTCGAGTGGTTGATGAGGACGATACTGCAAAGACGTCGGTTGTGGCAAGTGGATGCCGACGAAGCTGAGCAGGACGATGTATACACCGATGGAGAGGTCGAGGCGGAAATGCAGTGAGATCAAGATGCGGAGGGAACCGACAAGAGAAGACTACGTTCATACAATTTTCTGGACGAGGATTAAGGGATGTGAATGCCATGGCATGCCCAGGGATCATCACTCTTGCGCATTGGTACTGAACACCATTCGATCTAGATGATCTATTGTTAATGTACCCGGTTACTATATCACACGATCCTGGGTTCCCTATGTGAAGTCGGAACCGAATGCCATGTCCACCATGTCCGTCAGCAAAAGAAAGAAAGAAAAGAAAAAAGAGGAAAGAAAAAGAAAGGCAGAAGAAAAGACTGTGTACCACCCCTAGCGCCTCGAGCACTTCCTCCTGGGACGCCTCGATACGTCCGTGTCCATGGGTTCCCTTTGCTCGCTTCCACTGACCAGAAAGTCTCAAAAACAATATCCGTCTTTCCATAACAGCCGTGCCAATCATTAAACCTCAATAAAAGTCGTCAACTGTCCCTCCCTTCCCTGTCTACCTAGATAGACACTCTCAACTCCGACGTCTTAACTATAGATATCCATCTCCTCGTCTCCAGCCACCTCGTCCACCGCGTCTTCTTCCATGTCTTCGTCCTCCGAGACCATCTCGCTGTCCTGGTGGTTCGGGAGCACAACGATCCTATCGTTGATGAGTTCGACGCGTGCCGTCTCGCCGTCGCGGACCTGGCCTCGAAGAATGAGGATGGCAAGCCGGTTGAGCACCTCCTTCTCGATGAGACGCTGGAGCGGCCGGGCACCGTACGCAGGCGAATAGCCCGCATTGCCCAGATAATCCTTGGCCTCGTCCGAGACTTCGATGGTGACCTTGCGGTCGTTGTCAGCGAGCCGTTTCTGAACTTCGACGAGACGGAGGTCGACGATGTTCCGGATCTCGCGGCGAGTGAGCCGGTTGAAGATGACAATCGAGTTGATACGGTTGAGGAACTCGGGCAGGAACCAGTTACGGAGCGCATTCATAACCAGCTCACGCGTAGTGGGGTCAATCTTGCCCTCACGGTTGGTCTGGTTGAGGAATTCGGCACCCAGGTTGGACGTCATGACCACGATGCAGTTCTTCGCATCCACGACGCGACCTTGGCCGTCCGTGATGCGGCCGTCGTCCATGAGCTGCAAGAGTACCGTGAGGACTTCCTTGGCCGCCTTCTCCACTTCGTCAAAGAGCAAGATGGAGAAAGGCTTGCGGCGGAGGGCCTCAGTAAGCTGACCGCCAGCATCGTGACCGACGTAGCCCGGGGGGGCTCCGATCATTCTGCTCAGAGCATGGCGTTCCTGGTACTCGGACATGTCGAAACGGATCATCGCCTTGGGGTCGTCAAAGAGGAAGTCGGCAAGAGCCTTGGTAAGCAGCGTCTTGCCGGTGCCGGATGGGCCGCAGAACAAGAAGCTCGGAGGTTGGTTCGGGTTGCTTAGGCCGGAGCGCTGCAGCCGGATAGCGTTGGAGACGGCGTGTACGGCCTCCCTCTGACCTACCACAGTCTTCCCCAGCACCTTCTCCATATGCAAGAGCTTGTCCTTCTCGGTGGTCCTGAGCCGGGTGACGGGAATGCCGGTCCAGCGAGAGACAATCTCATTAATGTGGTCGACGGTGACAATATCCGTGACCATGGAGCCGCCGGTGTCGTGTCCGGATGCGCTAAGTGCCGCATCGGCAGCTGCCTTCTTAGCTTCGAGAGCCTTGATGACAGCACGCTGTTCCGGAATGGCACCGTATTGAAGGTCGGCAGCCTTGGCGTGGTCGCCTGCGTTGGCCGCATCCTCGAGGCGTTTCTCAAGTTCGTCGAGCTTTGTCTTGGCCTGGTGGATCTGCTCGCCCCTCTTAATCTCGCTCAGATACTTCTGCCGAAGAGGCTCGAGTTCTTCCTCGACATTCTTGGCGTCCTTCCGAGCCTGAGCGAGACGGGTCTGGGAGGCCTCGTCTTTCTCCTTCTCGAGGGCAGCGATTTCAATCATGATCTGGCGATGCTTGCGCTCCAAAGAGTCGATGATCTCGGGCTGCGACTCCCTGGCGACCCGGACTGCCGCAGCCGCTTCGTCAACTAGATCGATGGCCGAGTCGGGAAGTCGCCGTTGTGTGAGGTAGCGGCCCGCAAGATTGGCTGCAGCTACCAGGGCACTGTCTAGGATGGTGACTCGGTGGTGACGGTCGTATCGTTCCTTGAGACCTCGAAGAATCGAGATGGTCTCGGAAATCGTCGGCTCCTTGACTAGGACCTGCTGGAATCGGCGTTCAAAGGCCGCATCCTTCTCGACGTACTTGCGGTATTCACCTAGAGTTGTCGCGCCAATGCAGTGCAGCTGTCCACGAGCCAACATAGGCTTCAACAGGTTGGCCGCGTCCATTCCACCTTCGCCTGAGGACCCGGCGCCCATCAGCAGGTGAATTTCGTCCACAAAGAGAACAATTGTGTCTTTGGAATTCTCAATCTCGTTGAGTACGCCTTTCATACGCTCCTCAAACTCTCCGCGGTATTTGCTGCCGGCCACTAGCGCGCCCACATCGAGCGAGAGCAGCTTGCAGTGCTTCAGGTTATCGGGGACGTCTCGGTTGACGATGCGCTGAGCGAGACCCTCAATAACGGTCGTCTTGCCAACGCCAGGTTCTCCGATGAGGACGGGGTTGTTCTTGGTTCGGCGGGATAGAATCCGGATAACACGTCGAATCTCTTCTTCTCGGCCAATGACCGGATCCATTTTCTTATCCCGGGCCATGGCGGTCATGTCGATGGTGAACTTGGCCAGGTTTTCATGTTCTTCCTCTGTATCGGCAGTCTTGCTGTCGACGCGCTTAGTGCCTCGGATCTGAGATACGGCATCTTGGATCAACTTCGATTTCGGAATGTTGGCCTCCCTGAGGCAGGATTGGATGGTATTATCCTCCGCCAACGCGGTGATGAGATGGTCGACGGCGATGAAGGTGTCTTTCTGAATCTTTTGAAGTTCTTGTGCCTTCCTCAAGACACTATGGAAACTCGGTGCCACAGAGACATGATCAGGCGGAGGATCTTGGCTAGGGAGGCGAACTAGTGTCTTCTTGAGGGCACGATCGAAGGCCTGAGGGTCACCGTGCGCTCTCTCGACGACCTGACGAAACATCGACGGGCTGGCCGGAGGGCCGTTTTGTTGGTCTTTGCTCAGATCTGCCGGAGGATCTAGGAGAGAAACGGCAAGGTGAACCGGTAGGAGTTGAGAATGGGCGTATTGCTCGGCGAGGGCCATGGCATCTTGGACGGCCTTCTCGCCACGATCTGTGAATTCCATACGGGAATTCATCTTGACGTTGGTGTGTGGTGTCTATTACAGAAAAAGAGAGAAAGAATAAAGTCGGTGTAGTTTGCGTGTATGTGTCTGTATGTCGGGGGAAATGTTCGTGCTGCACGCAGCAACTCAAAATGTACAAAAGAACCTCTATGTGAGGGGTATCACGAAGTTCAGAGTAGTCGAGTTTGATGATTGTTTGTTTGTGTCAAAACAACAGGAAAAAGAACAAGGCAGAAGACTTCGAGGCGATTCAAGCCTTTATGCGTTTATCCTTGGATTCGAGAGAAGCTGGAGGTGGGACGACTCATGAGCTGATGTCTCTGGCATCATCGTGAGCGTTAGGGCACCTACGACTGCTTCCTGGAAGGTGCTCGACGTCACTGGAAAGTGCCCGAAGATACTTTACGTTGATTGGAAGCTTAGGTTCCAGGTTGTTTTCAGTGGGGATGCTTATTATCCTTAATCTTATCTTAGCCGCGCCTGATAAGAAATAAGGTTGCACCTGCCCAATATTTGCACCTCCTTCCATCTGAAGGGCAGTCACGTGAATATAAGCCACACTTTGCTGTGAGGCTGGAGGCCGAGGAGCTTTAGGGGTGGTTTTTTTTTTTTGTGACGGTGCTCGACGAGGCCTCTTTGGCTATGGAAAGATCAGAATCGAAGGAGGTTTCCACACAACAGCAGCCATGAACTCGATTCCCATCTTCAGGTTTTCACAGTTATCTGTCGGCGTCTCAAGGACGATCGTACGACAAGGTCATACATTGCCACGGAAAAGGACGCCGAAACCCGAACTCACACACTTCCCGCCAGGCTGGGGCGAGCAGATCTGGGTGTGGAACCACCTACTCGAAAATCAGATCATATACTCGCACACCAAAGTCCTCGATGTACGCCTTACTGAGTCTCTAACTATCTCTCTTCCCCGGTTCATTTTGTGCCATGGAAGCTTAGTTGACTAATCTTCTCGGCGCAATTCGTCCAGTCCAACCATGCCCTACAACAGCTCCCATTCATCGCGAAGAAATCGAAGCCCGCCAAATTGCGTAAAGACCTCTGGCGACCCATGGCGATGATTCAGTTCCCCCTGGGCGCCGGTGTGGCGGGGCAATCAGCTTTTCAGAAGCTACGGGAATTCCGACGACGACACGAGCTTGAATGGGACGACAGTCTTTTTTTCGAAACGGAGCCAGACCCGACAACAGGAGAGATGAAGCGCGTGAAGCTCCGCTCGCGTATTGAGCGCGGCTACGCCATCCACGACCAACGAGCCAACGCCATCGCCGACATGGCTGCCGTGCTAGCCGGTGCCGGCCGCGGGAGCAGAGTATGGATCAGCCCCGCGGAACGGATGATGCTAGAAGAAGGGAACAAGGAGCTGGAAAATAAGCAGGAGGGAGAGGTGGACGAGGCCAGCAGCAGCAGGAACGACCGCATCGTCGAGCTACGTGGGAAAAGGTGGTCTCCTGCCGCGCCACGCGAGGACGACCCGGACCGCGAACTGATCAAGGCTACGGTGTATTGGATGAACGCTCAGGACCGGAACTACGCGGAGAAGTGGAGCGACAATGTCACGCATGAACTATTCGAAGAGGCTAAAGCGGCAGGAGAGACGCTCGCCGAAACAGGGTCGGAACCTGGAACAATTCGTGCAGAGCTTTCCAGCGCCTGAGCCTCGCAGCAAAAGGACACAGCGACAGAGTGCGAAATCTATCCGTGGTGAGCGGGGTCAGGGAAAGGCGGTATAGGTGTGGGACGACGGGACCGATGTTTTTTTTTGTTTTGTTTTCGGAAGCGATAGAGGGGGCCCTCGAGGCATTCGCTCATTCAGGCCTCTTCCTTTCCACGTGGCTCTTATTGAGCTGTGGAATTGTGTTATCACCATGTAGTTGAGATGGTCACGGCATCGTGGCTATCTATCTGGTACTTCCCCGCTGTAAAATATGCTGTACCATATCAATGATTTATCTACCCCGATTATGTTACGGGCTATTTCCCGGAATGTTCAGAGTCGTGAAAGCCGTTTCTCTTTACTGTCAATCCCCCAAACAAAAACATCATCCCCATCCTCCATAACCACGATACTCCATACTCTCCAGGCGTTGCTCTGCAGAAGTGGGTACTGGTGACTGAAACACATGCCTCAAAGGAGAGAGGCAAAAGGAAGAAAATTAACACACGGGCGCTATTCTATACCTGAAGAGCGAACCTTTTCAGATACTCGTAATCCGCAACGTTGGCGTCGACGGTCTCTCGAATAATTTTTGCGCCCTCTTCACCATACTTCTCGGTCCACTCCTCGTCCTCCGACTCTTTCGTCACGGTTTTCTTGGACGGCAGGGAAAGTCAGCCTTACGCACATGAAAAAGGAGGGGAGAAGTCAGGGGGGATAAGAACGGAAAGTAGAGACACTTACAGCAGCGTGAGACCGAGGCTTCAAGCTGGAACTTGACAGAGCGTCGTTATGGAACCCCTCCCACTTGGCAAACTGCTCCACCGCGAAAGCGGTGTCCTCTTCAGACCAATTGAGCATCGAATCAGTGAACTCGAGTCCGACACGTTCACAGTACGCCCGGACTACGGGCTCGGGGCGGTCGAGCAAATCGTCGGCATCTACAACAACAATGTCGGAGCGATCGACCAAGCCCTCGCGGACGAAGAAGTCCAGGAGGCGACGGAGCTCAGAGTAGCCGGCCTCTTTGGGGTCGAAGATGAAGCCCGTTACCTCGTTGAGCGGAGGGACACAGCAACGGTAGTACGACGGGACGGCGCGGCGAGGGTGTCGGATGAGGAAGGTGAACTGAAAGCGGCGTAGGACGTCGATGGGGATGACCGTGGGGTTATTGGCCTCTTCCGGGCTCGAATCCGAGGTGGTAGAATTGTCGTTGGGTGAGTTTCCGTTGTGAGATCCGTTGGTTCCGTTACGATTGGCGGCAGAGTATGTAGAGAGCGAGGGAACGATTCTGGCAGGTTGTCCCTCGAGTGGGAAGAGGTAGTAGGCCATGTCTTTGATGAAGACACGCTTGGAACCCTGGTTGGCCAGTGGGAGAGGCTTTGTAAGTCATCATATGCAAGGCGAGGGATCAAAGAGACGATCGGAAAACATGAAAATAGTTAAGACATTGAGTGCATGGATCGGTATGGCTAAATAGGGGCATTATAGCTATGGGCATGGTGACTTGATGCGACACTAGATAGTTGTGCGAAGCTCTTTGGAAAAGTAAGATGGTGATGTCGGATAGCGCTCAGTGGTTGACGGACGAATCGAAGCTCAAGAATGAAGCTCTCGTCGTCGATTGGCGAGACCACCATGTACTCAAGGTAGCAAGGTCACACCAAGAGTACATGGTGATGGTGAACCCGAAATCTCAACCGAAAAAGAAGAAGAAAAGAAAAGAAAAATGAGGCCAGGAAGAGGACGAGGAAGAAAGGGCAAATGGACATAGAAAATGAATTGACCGAAGAGTAATAGAAGGGAGGAAGTGCAAATGGGAGCAGAGAAACAAAACTAGGAGACATACCCCATCGCTGGCATCTTCGATGGACTTCAGGATATCGGCATAAGTGGTATTGCCAAAGCCCGTCTTCTCCCTTGTCTCGGGTTCGTTATCATATCGCGGGCTGATGCGTTCCGGGCCGTAATAATAGGAATCACCAAACGGTTCGTGCACAGAACACAGCTCATCCCGACGGGTCATGAAGACCTATGCAGAAAATTTAGCTGCGGAGCCCTGCCAGATCGCAGCATAGCCCATAGGCAAGCAAAGAACAGAGGGATAGTTTGATGATGGACTCACCCTCTCGAAAGCAGTAGAACACGCCCTGGGATGGGTCGCGCAGAAGATAGGCTTCTTACTGCTGGACATGGATCCTATCGCCATGGTCTCGGAGGGGAAGAGTCGGGTAGGGACACGGTCGGGGGGATGATACTGGAGTATTGCGAAGGAACCTAGGAAATGGCGTGATGAAGCCTAGTGGAAAGAAACAGCGAAGAAACCAGGAATTCGGGTTCGAAGCAGCCGGCAAATATGCAGTTAGAGCTTAATCGGAAGCATAAATTAACGGCGATTTAGCCTCCCGGCGGTGATATCAAAGAGCTTCAAAAACAGAGATGAGAAGAGAAGATGATCTTAAGGCCGACAACAACGCGAGATGGAAGAATCCAACACAGGATGCACAGGAGAAAAGAGTCGAGGGCTGACCTATATAAACCTCTTGCACCCTTCCAGGTTGTCCTGCCCGTCCAATCCAGCTCTGAGAAGCTCTTTAACTTAACCCACGCAGCTTCTCTCAATCTGCCGAGCTTCGTCTAACCTCTTTTTCCCTGTGGCACCCCCGCAACTAATAACCTAAGCAGATCGGTTCTTGTCCGTCCCAACAACTGACCACTGATATCTTCTTACGCCCACCACATGGAGACCGCAACCAACAAAAGGTTAAGAAACGGACTGAAGGTACATGTTTGTTCCAGAGTGCGATGTACTCTTGAGTACTGCCTGCGGGATTGGTACTTTTCTAACACTGGTAGAATTGCTACCTAAGGTATAATAAACACAGACGAAGACCGATATAGACGAGGTATGTAGAGGTACTTCCGTAAGCTTCTGCAACGACTGTTGGGAACACCGAAGCTTACCTTACCTTTCCACATAAGGTACATGAAGAAGGTTATCAAAACAGGTTATTGAAGCGTTGATGGTCCCGTTTTTGGTACCTGTACCAACACCCGGCATCTGTAGTGGATTTATCATTGTACTAATAAGCCTGTAACCTGCGACTAGGACGTCATAGTTACTACCCCGCCACTTGGCTGGAACCAATTGAGACCTGCAAGGTTCCACGCCGGGGACACTAATAACGCGGGCGAGGAACTCGAGGGTCCAGGGCCGCTTTCCCCTCTCTTACCGTTTCAAAGGTCTGGAACGAGTTGAGTAAACGTATACTTGTCCGGCTGGCATGTGGAAGTCTATGACTGCCTGCAAGAAGTATATGTCTCTGAAGGATACATGGGCGGGAATCGTTTTCAGTACACTAAAGACACGAGGACGTGGGAGAACATTAAGTGGGCCAGCGTCAGTGACGATATAGAAGAATAGGTAGGTAGAGATGGAATAACACGTGAAGAAAAGTAAAGGGAAAGTAAAGGGGGACAGTCATTGGACCATGAAGGTCTCAGGCACTGTCTGCTGAGATGACATGCGTATGCCCCTTTTTCGAGCCGCTCAGACGGTATGGCACGCCGCCGAAATCAAGACATATCGAATGAGGGAAGAAGCTGGCGAGAGGAAGATGGACAAGAGGGTCTTGGGTGGTTGAAGACATAGTTAGACCGAGTGACGGGCAAGGAGGTTTATGCGGTCTACCATCCTCATTCTCATGGCATGATGGACTGCAAAAGTCCTTGTATCAAGCGTATACGCGAGCCTGAAGGGCGTCCGGAGTCCTCGCATTTTGAGAGACTGGCAGGCTTAAATGCGCAAAACAACCCTCACGGTTGTGTCCCTTCACTGCCTTCCCTCGTAACAGGGCTCAAGCAAAGCAGTCATGTGTTATGGCGTGCTCGCATCGTGGTCGGGTACAACCCTCTACTTTTTGGCCCAGGGTCAACGGCAAGCGTCCTTTAGGCGCGCTGGAGGCGCACATGACCCCGGCTTCCAGAGTGAGATAGTAGGATGCAAAGTCCCTACATGTTCCCCGTTGCCCCGGGAGCAGGACGAATCCCGCGCCAAGCTGAAGACTCATGACACAAGCTTTTCCTGCAAGAAGCCAGGTACGACATGCTTGACGACGTGTCTTTGCGTTCTGGTCTTTGATTTGTCTCATGTATGCCTGCAACCCACGCTTTTCTGTCAGCCTGCAGGAAGGCATCTCGGTGGCAATGGTATAAATCGAGGTTGTTGTCGCGTGAGCACCCTCGAAGAAGTAAGTCTCAGCCTGGCAGCCGTGGGTGTGACATTGACGCAAAGAAGACAGGGGCCGTAAGAGGACCTCGACTGATGGTCACATGAGGTGGTCACTCGTCGACCCTGCGCCACGTAACATGTAAGTAGGTAGGTAAGGTAGGAAAGGGCTAGACCGCAGTGACAATATCCCATGGCGACAGACATCATACACCCACATGGTGGGCAGATGTTCGTAAGACGCTCCCTCCCCCAGCCCTCGGAGGTACATCCAGCTTTGGTCCACGTAGAAGAAAGGGGCAAACGCCCCATGGCAGCAAAGGAAGAAAGTAAGACATAAGAGCCGAGGGAGAAAGATGGGGAGAGCGTTGACAGGGTAAATTTCTCCCTGCCGTTCGCTATCTAGCTAAGGCTCACGGCCCGTTGGTCGTCCCAGCTCCCTAACCACCTCCACGTCTCAGCGACCTCCCCTACCGCCTCCAGAACACCCTTGACCCGCTCTTCTGGATCCCGGAATTTGTGGCCCTGGAACTCGACAAAGAAGACGTACTGGAATGGCTTGACGAGGCTGGGCCGGCTATTGATGCTGGTCAGGTTGAGCTCGAACCGGCGGAAGCACCCCAGCACGTCGGCTAGCGCGCCCGGTGCCTCGTGGGGTACAGTGAAGGAGACCAGCGACTTCGTTTTCGCACCCTTGCCGCCGCCCGTCGTAGAAAGGGGGTGTCCTAACTCTGCTGAAACATCTCGTTGCGGTGCGGCGCCATTGCGACCATCCACACCAGCCCGTTCAGCGGAAGGGGAGATGGACTCCTTGCGCACGACAAAGAATCGGGTCGTGTTATCGGGGCGGTCCTCGATGCACTCGGCCAAGACGTCGATGCCGTGCAGCTGGGCAGCGACGGCACTGGAGACGGCGGCGCTGGTGCCTGTCGGATCTGCAGCCACGAGCTCGGCGGCGCGGCTCGTGGAGCTAACGTCTACGGCCTCGACGCCCTTGAGGTAGGTCGACAGGAAAGCTGTGCACTGGCCCCAGGCCTGCGGGTGGGAGTAGAGACGGCGGATGTGGGAGAGGTCGGCGCGGGGGTGGGCCCGGGGCGTCGGAGGGTGGGGTTCTGATTCTGTGGGCGTGCGGGTTCCCGACCCAGCATTGTCCTCGGCGGGACTGAACGGGACACCACCGGTGGTGGGGATGGCGGTAGAGGCAGGGCACGACACGGACGAAGGGGGGAGCCGGCCGACCAGGTAGTGATGGACGTCCAGGTAAATCTCCGCACAGACTGCTATGTCGGGATACAGCCTGTTACGGTCTGCAAAGCAGTCGAGGCTGAAGACTACGGAGCCATTGGTGGAGTTCTCGAACGGAACAACTCCGTAGGCCACATCACCTGCTTGAACTGCGGCGAAGATGTCTAATCCGGGGACAACGTATGTTAGCGATAATTGCCGATGAGAAGGGGACAGGAGTGAGCGACCCCCGGGACTGATGAAGGCAAGGAGAAGCCTTAAGGACAAACGGGAACAAACATAGCTGAAGAGTACATAGTACATTTTTGCTTCCCACACAGCAGGCTCCTACTTACCGGGAATTGTCACTAATGGAGTCAAGTCCCATTCATATTCGGGAAATGATTGAAGCGTTGCCTGAGGAAGAGAAGATGTCAGCGAGGCAACGCGATGGTTATGCGGGCTGTCACAAGAGGGGAATTGTTCAAAGTACAGTACCTCCCATAACGGGGGGAAAGGTACGCATGGTGGACGAAGTACTACTAACCTGGTGAGAATATGAAGCTTTGGGGCCCAGGAACCCGACCAACGGCCTACGCTTAACTTCCTCTTGTGCTCCCGTGGTCATCATGAGGCTCCTTTTCTTTTCTCTCTTTCTTTTTCCTTTCCACCTGGGAGGATGCTGCTCTGCCGTTTCAGATGTGCTGGGCAATCGGTTGCAAGGTACCTGTGAGCTCGCTTCGCGGGTTTTCGCGCTTGGTGGCGTTCGGTGTATCGTGGGGCGACAGAATCGAGCTGAAGAAAGGGGCGAATGCAATCTGTTAATACGAGGCAAAGTCACAATATATTATTGAACTCGACTTGGAAACTGGATAAGATATGTGTGGTTGTTGTTGCGGTTGTGGTGAGTTTTTGATTGAGGGTCAAAAATAGAACCAATCGGGAATTGGCGGCCGAGTGTCTGTCTACCTTCGGCTCATTGGATCCAAATCGGCTGGAGTGCGATTCCTTTTTCTTTTTCTTTTTCTTTTTCTTTCTTTTTCTTTTTCTCCTT